GCCCAGGTCTTTCTTTATTCGCTATGCATATCATCGTTCTAAAGAAGGTTGTTTTTGTTCATCGACATTGATCTGACCCACATCGTTGTGCCCGGCTATGCAAAGTATGCAGGCCCTGCTCCATTCACACACATAATGCTGGGTAGGTCATACCCACACCCACGCCTTTTGTCCATGTGAACCCTGGCTGCTGGACAAGACGTGGTGGCTGCCTCCTGTCGCACCCCGCATGGCCTTCAGGGCCCCTTCATGTATCTCACCCGGAGTGAGACAACCTCAGTTCGATCGTTTGCTCAAAATCATGTACGCTACCAATCCGCATACCCTCTGCAGTTTGTTCAGACTCTCGGTGTCGAACCCATAGTGGACCGGAGGAATCCAGGGATGCATTCGCAAGATGGGCTGCACTAGGAAAACAGCCGTAGCCGACCCGGCACCCTGGCTGTCTAATTCAACCTGTTCTAAAACTTCCAATCACTCATCAGTCAGTGGTCACAGCCATCGACATTTCAATCCAACGGCAGAGCCCGTTGGTCGGGAGGGGCTTTCAGGGCACCCTGGCCTACCAGCTATTGGGAGCTGGTGGGCCCGCAAAACCAACAAATCTGGCGTCGAGCAGATCTGGCTTTTGACATATTTTGCGGGACACCCCAGTCTCATCTCTGTGTCACCATCCATCATGTGTCTTGTCAACGATCGACGAGAAGGTGTTGTGAGGGAAAAGTCTCCGTCCATGTCAAAATTTATCCTCGACAAAACTCACCGCCTTGCATGAGTTCATCGGCCTTGCGATGCCAGAACTGGGACAGTAGCACAGCTCACAGTACATTACACGAGTCCTAAAGTGTCCTTTCCACAACGTGGGGGCGTTCTTCACCAGATGTGCCAAGTCTTTCTAGTGGTTACTGCTCCTGACAACAAAAAGCAATCCTGTCACTCACAACACCATATGTAGCATGCGGACTAATATCGCCCCTTGCCGCCACGGTTCAGGATCCAAAGTTGCGAGTGTCCAACCGATTGGATAGCGTTCACGACCACGCCGTCGCTTATCTCACGTTTGCCAGGTTGTCCTTCGTCATAATGACCTGCATGTGCTGGCACCTATGCCATATTAACGGCTTTCTGCATGCTCAAAACGATGAAAGACAAAGATGGCAGTTAGATCCAATCTTCCTTCCATTCTTGAATGCCCGAGCAAGTTTTACTTTCTCCTGTCTGATGCCTGATAATTCTAAAGCCCGATTTGTTTCATTGACACGTGATTACTTGGCTACAGCCAGAGGATAGTGTCTTTTGTAGAAAACGCATATTCTTCGCAAATGGATAAACAAGAGTCTTGCAGGCTGTGTTCCTCCCACCCCAAATACGGGCTCAGGGGACATACACAGACCACCATACGACTTTGTCAAACTGCTACACAAAGAACAGCGGTGACGATGGCATCTCCAGTCGAATAACTTGAGTGTCACTGGTCGACTCGTCAAAACACTGATTTTGAATCTGATTGCTTGTCTCGAATTGAGCACGCCAACCTCGGAACTCGCTGGTGGCTGTGATCAAAACGTTCACATGTCAGTCAGTATCAATTAACCGCAGAGTCGGAGCTACAAAGATTCCGTGCAGGTCATCGCATCTTGTTAAAAACAAAGTTCCCTCTACCTACTACCATGACTCGTTCATCTAATATTCGCTCGATACCACGAACAGCAAGCAACATGATCCGCGGGGATACTCACCTACAGTTTAAAACATCCGGTACGGTAAAACAGCTTCTTCAACAGGGGCCATCCTGGCAAGGCGGGACCCTCAGCGGCAGGCCATCTGAATCAGCTGCCACATCCGATCCCCTGCATCTGGCCTCTTCAGCGATATGCCTCCAGTTTGATGAATCCATCATACACTCCTCAGCGGCTATTGCGTTTTCCGCCACTCTTGTTTATGATTATACACAAGTTCGGGCAGCTTCGGTCAGACCTTGCCCAGCATATCATTAATGCATTCCGTAACCGTGTGGCAACACAAGCAACTCAATTACTCCTGGTTGTGCGAGCAGTATCACCCCCGCCTCGATCGAACGGCGTTCGCCCCGAGGTCGCACTGAGATTCTGTTGAACGACATCAATCAGGATATCAGTGCATGATCGCGGAAGAAGTTGCCTATGGCCGAGGTCTCTTCCTCTCCGTGCATGCATAATACAAGCTGCATAATACCTGTCATGAGACCATCGTTTATGCGATACCAACACCGACTACTTTGGTCGGATGCATTATTATATGATGATGATGATGGTGGTGGTGATGGCAATGAAGTTTTGCCAGCCACGAAACAGAGGGTAACATACATCGTGGGTATGCATCCACCATGAATGGCAAGCGATTGGCAATTGATTTCGACCAGGAAGTCGCGGGTGTCTTCGTCCGTCCTCTCACGAGAGTTGCGATAATTGTGTATTCTATGATCATACCCCTTCGCAGCGTTATGTCTCGTTGGGATTTTATCAGATCTTTGCAAACTAACCAAGGGTCCAAGTTCCTGTCATTGTGACATTTGACCAAGGGAACACCTGGTCCTGGTCAACTATGTTTGAGAGGAGAGACCAGGCTCATGTTAACTAACGTGTAACAGAAATAGAAGCGACTCCTAAACGGACGATTGATTGCATCCTGACAAGTTTCATTCTCTTTTCTTTTTCCACTTATCCCCTCCACTTGCATTGGTTATACTCACGTCTTGTCAAATAATCTGGGTATTGTCGCTCGACATGGCCCTGGTCAACAGTCGCCAGGATCTCGTGGTCCTGGTCGGAAGCTGGTTCTGTTGTATGGATCGATCAAGGTAATTTTGTGCAATTGACTGTCAGGCACCATTATGAGCTAGGACGATCGGGAAATGTAACGGTGTCGGCATTGTGAAACTTCAAGTTGAATAGGAAGACATATGTTGGTTGGCCGTTCAGTTAACTCCGTTTGCAATGAAGAGGTTGGTGTGTATCATGGAGGAAAGTTTGCGCCTAGCATATACTAGGCCGTCTATTGTATTGGGTGTTATACGAATAGCTCATCGGTTCGAGCAATGCAGCCCAACAATCCCTACAACCCACGGCCAAAAAGCAACTCTTCAGGGTCATATCTATTTCGACCCAATGGTACCCACCTTGATAGTGGTGGTAGAAAGGCGTCTACCAAACAAAAAGAGAAAGTGATTGAGAGCCATGCCTCAGTGTTTGTCTCTCTAGACTGTCTGCTGTCATGTCCCATTGTGCCGTGACACGATACCATACTTCGAAGCGGTTGGCCTGAGCGTCCTGTCAGACGGACACCAAACCCATCTTGAGCCGCCGTGGCCGGGCGTCCCTTGGCCCCAGGCCACGGCTCTTTCCCCGGTTCGGCCTCTTGGTCGGCCATTTTGCTTCTTCAGCCGGTGCTCCGTGCTCCGCGCCAGTCTCGGATGATGATGATTGATATTGATGAATGCTACGACATCTCAATCCTTTGCTGTATGGGTATCTTTATTGTATGGCACGTCAGCACCGCACCGGCATGTGGGCTACTCGCCCCTGTTCCCCAAGCACTCAGCTAACAGGTAGGTAGTTGAGTTAACCTTGAGCTTATGCTGGGCCTTGAAAACCTCCATAATACTACTGCGTGCTACTCTGCAGTTGTATTGCTCGGATGTAGGTGGCCCACAGCAACTGTCTTTTCCCCCTTTATAGACCATCCCGAAATCCTACAACCGACAAAGTTATTGTGCTATTCGTACCTGTACAGCAGTTTTACAACATGAAGCATTGCTTTTGTTGATAGCGTTGTTGCGTCCTGTATCTTTCCGCTTGACCACACTCCGTATATCCCCCCCGGCAAACTCTCCCCTTTACGATATGCCATGCACCCACTAATCCACTTGTGTTACCTTCTACCATGGCCCGAGGTGTCCCTTTGCATCTCCTGAGAAGGTTTCCTGACCTCACTCCCTTGTCCGTCGCCTGCGTATCGTCACACCGAGGCTCTCCGTTTCTGGAAAATCGCGATAAGCCCTCTATTGGGTAGTCCGCTCCCGTTGAGTTCCACGCGCGCATGCAACAATTGCCTGCGACGGTTTGGCTTCGTCGGTTGGCCGCGTGAAAACGAGGTCGTCCCGCTGCGCACAACAGCATCGGCTGCTGTATCTGGACTGTTGTGATACCACGACAGTCTCATCTATCAGGAGGCGTAGAACACTAAGGAAGACCAAGGTAACTTGGCTCAAGTATCACCAGTGAAATACCAACTTGATCGTCTGCTATGTTCCTCAGTGAATACTGTAGTCAAGATGATGAAGTGCGCTCCCTATAAAACATTGCCGGGCTGTAGGGTAGCTAGATTGAAAATATATTATTATCACACTTTTGACGATGGTTCACACAGTGTTATTCAGAACGCTGTTGATTCGAGAACAACTACCGTGTTCACATGTGCTTGTTGGAGTCATTGCAAAGTTATGGTGTCATAATGTTATCGTGTTTCGCGATAACTCCGCTATCTATCTACCTATATAGCTCATTTCTCCTACCTTGCGTACGTACTGTAACGCGCTGGCAGCAATAGCGAACAGGATGATTCTTTTGACTGATGAAAGTCAAAATGGAAAAGACTGACAAGAGAAACAGTGGCAGCTCTGGCATCTGTCAATGAACGACGACTAGTTGAGTTTGATGAGTAGACATGTAAGGGTTGTCTTTTGTTTTTGTCCCTCGCTGTTCAGGTTGACGATGAATAGAATACCGACCATTTGCTGGTGACTGTCATTGCTAAACATCAGCGTGCTTGATGATTTCATCCAGCTGTAACCAAAAAAGCAGAAGAAAAATACAGCTGGAAGCCCCTGATCTTATGTCTCATTATCACGATGACTAGATATCAATTCCCATCTTTATTGTTCTATGATCCTTCCAGGATAAACTCCCAGGTCTGATTCAAGATCGACCTATGCATGATACGTAAATCATAACCCACGTCCCTCACGATGTCCTTCGGAACACCTTATTTAAAAGTCCACCTCCTCGCCCTCTTCGAGTTATCTCATCTGGGGATGACACGGCCCTTATTTCCTTACCCTTGTTTGTCATCTGCGGCCCCCCATCTGATGCTGCTTCGTCTCCACGAGGAACTTCGACATACTCATCCGACTCTCGATTTACATTTGTCCGGTCAAAGTAATTGTCAGCTGCCAATTTCGAATGACCTGGCTCATAAACAGTTGCTTCTGCTTGGGAAGCTTGACCATCTCGAATTTTGGTCAAGCCGCGATCCAGGTACTCCACCATTTGCGCCTTGGTGACAAAGCTTTCGTCATCAGATTTTCCAACACCGTGAACGTCTTGTGCCTTCTTGAAGAGTGCAGGGAAATGATTCTGAAACTCATTCTCAAGGGCCTTTTCTTGTTCTACTAGTACTGTGGTTCGCTCTTCGTTGTGCCCGGGAGATGAACTGAGGTGACGTGTTTGGTCCTCTGTTTCCAAACGGGCGAAAAGAGCAGCAAGCTCCCTCTCATTGCTTGTCATGCCTTCACTGGTAGGTGCTTCCTTGGGAGGCCCTTTCTCGGCATCACTATCTTGAGCGCGGTATACGTGTTTGCCGAATGAGTCACTAAACTCTCGATAATGTCCTTTCAAAATGAAGCATCGTCCGTTCCAGCCACATGCCCAGAGCTTCTCCAGTAAAGTATCGGCTGAGGGGCACTCCCAAGGGTACTCAAGCCCACGTGAGTAGAATACAATATATCTAGCTTGCTGCCAGCGTGAGAATGTCCTCCGACTTTGTGCGTCGGGAAAGGCTCGCTCAATCATGTCTAGAGATGCTGGGCGCAGGAAGGATTGCGGAGCACGCAAATGAATTGCACCCCTGATGTGCGACCTCTGGAATTCCGTCGATGACCGAAGATCAAGTAGAAGACTCTGGCCTGGTAGAGATATGTCCAAAAGTTCACTGAGATTCGCTGGTAAGATCATGCGTGGCCCTTCGTGAGCACCGGCTTTCGAATCTTCGACTCTCAGAGCTGCGAATCGCTGGGAAAAAGCATCCCTTTCTCTCCGATGATGGAACCAGACTTCAACATGCCACGGTTCTACTCCAAGGTTTGAGGCGAAAAATGCTTTCTGGCCATCGTTAGGTAATGGTTCAGTCTGGTAGTATTCCTCTAGGCGCTTCTCCACATGAGGAGAGAACTTCTTGGGTTCTGGAACATCAGCTCCAAAAGTGGTGCGTCGGAGAGCTTGCTGTTGATTCATAATCATCTGTCTCGTCAAGTTTCCACTACCTCCTAAAGATGACGACGACTGCTGCCTCTGTAGTGTAGTAAGTGATGTTGTGGAATGCATCGGTTTCATGGACCGCTGTGGTAGGCTCTGAGGTGGTGACCCAGGTTGTGATGGCATATGCAAGGGCGAGAGCTGCTGAATAGGCGGGAGAGTAGTCCTGACCACAGGTCCGGTTTGCCTGCCGTACGCAGGATCCCGAAAAGCTCCCATCTGGCCAGTTAACCCCGTAAGTTCTGTAGGTACAAAGGTCGTACCCGAAACACCGGAAATGAACGAAGCGCTGTCATTTTCAACCGGATAACGGTTTGCTGGAACCAAGGTCGGCACCGATTGGTTTCGGGGCTTCTGAGTCATCAGGTTATTAGATCGGATAAAAGCAACGAACGATGTGGCATGGTCTTCTGGAAGCAAGTCCCAGATAGATACCGGCATGGAAACAAGGAGCATTGTTGAGTGACTCTTGAAAACGCCCTGAACCTTGACATATTTGGCCATAGCAGGGAAGGCGCCAAGCCATTGCTCCCATGCGTTGATATCAAGCCTCTGGTCATCCTCCAACGCCAAAGAAATCATGACATGAGGAGTATCTTCGTTTGGTTCAGTAAACATGTAGTCATTTCGTGAGACAGGCGTGGTAGAATCAGCCGCTCGGCCAGTCTCATGGGCCATCGCTGGCATTGGTAGTAACTCAGGGGATGGCAGGTTATCGCCGCGAGACATCCGAGACATTTCGATGCTAGGCGCTTTGTGATTAGAGGTCATCATGAAATGCACGGGGGTCGATCGGGCTTCAAAGTATTTGCCATTGATGGTGATGGGTCGAGGATGTTTTAATCGAGCGAGAACCTCGGCGTGGAGCATAGCAGCAGAGAAGGCTCGGACACGCCACTCCTGGAGCACTTCAATAAGGGCATTGGTGAAAGAGTAACGCCCAGGATCAGGTGCAATGGCGTCCCAACTCGAAGCTGAGATGGTCTCAGTAATACTGGCTCCACTTGGAAAAGTCGCACTTGCAGCTCCAGCGCAGCAATCTAACAGAATGAGAACATCTGATAGTGAGCGTTCGAGTAGAGTCTGAATTGCAGACCACCTTTTCTCGTTAGATGTGTGGTTAAGTAAGGGTTGAGGAGGGTCTTACTGAAGCCATGGCGAGTTTGCTTCCCGGGTACTGATAGAAGTTAGGCAATCTTCATGACATGCTCACAATGAGAACTACTTACGCGCACCAGGTACTTTGTCTGGACTCGTCGATTCTGGCATGCCCACCGTAGTAGACCAGAAACAATGTATCCTGAGACTCATGATCTTTGATAAGTTGCCCAATGCGCATCATCAACTCCAGATGGGAGTTCTCCGAAGGGATGGCAAATATGTCAGTGTTAAAGCCATAGTCCTCGCTCAAACACTTTTCAAGGTCTTCCAATTCAGGTATCACAAAGAGGTCATCCGAGTTCCAGTGTAACAACAATGCTTGTACTTTGCTGTATCTGGCTGAAGACCTTCCACGATTAGGAAAAGCGCGGGCTGCGGACTGGACAAGAGTTTAGAGACTGTTCTTTTGACGGTTAGGAGATACTGACATCTTCGAGTCTTTGTGCGAATTGGCCGATATGTTTAACATGAAAACTAGTACGGCTTGTGTCATGAGTTGCGGACCTGGCATAGTAATCTCCCCCACTGGATGCAGCCTAGAATGTCGCAGTGTAAGTCACTGTCTTATGTTTGAACGAAGTAAAGGACCAGACACACCATAGGAGGGCCAGTACTTCTTGAACCTGGACCTTCGACAGGTCTCCGCGAGCGAATAGTAACGTATGGTTGATGATCGACCATGGCGGAGAATGCGCAACTTGTGAATGTGCGGGTTGTTTCGCGGACCAGCCAGAACACACTCCACCGTCACTCTCGCAACTTTACTGCTAACTCTTGATTGTATCCACGCTTTCGGGCGCTAGAATCGAGATATGGGCGGTTCAGATGTGGTTTTATTGTCTCGCTCTCGATGTGGGTGGTATCGTGCTCTAAAGCTACAGCGTTTGTCGGCTCACTTGTAAAAAGGCATGGTCGTATCGTACAGCGTATCGTTGGTAGTATGTATCTACGGTCAGATGTCGTTTCACGGAGGCAGCAATGAGTATGTAAGAGGGGGAAATTCTAGATTCTGTTGTGGTATTATCATCTCGACGGTAAGAGATTATGGAACGGAGAGGGACGATCGTTGGAGCGACTTTCTTCAATTCGCGACCGAGGCGGCGTGTGGCAGACTCACCCGTCCCTTCCTCAAGTTTGAGAAAGGATCGAGCGTCGGTCCCCGAATAAGCTTAGCGCGGAGCCGTTGGCGGTAACCAAAGAGGAAGAGTACGAGGGGCAGGGGCTCGGGTATTGGGTGACGCCAGCCAGTGCCTGATGTCCATATAATCCACGTGTACTGGGTACTTTATTGCTTCTTTCAAGAGCTTTGGCCAACCAAGCTTCGGTCACCAAAACCAACGTCACCTTTTGGGGGGGAGCAACTGTCAACCAATTCACACACCGAGCGCAACTGCGAAGCGATTAACAAACAAGGCAGAAACATAAAACCCTGTTTCTTGATTGGCTAGCTCACAACTCATATACCAAACGTGATCTAAGCCTACTCAGGTACTCTGGAGTTTATCCACACGCGACAAGCTTCCTTGACAGCTCTCAGCTAGCCTCCTTGGTACCTAAGCTGAGAGACAGCTTGTATACCTACCTATACCTATGCAACACACCACAGCCAGGAACAAGCATCAGATACCGCCATAATGCGTGAGCGTGTCACATTTATCCACAACGACTATGCCCTTGATCCTGAGGAGTTGGACAACCAAGAAGCTGGATTACTTGGACCCCAGATCGAGTCAATTCGCCAGGATAAGCTCACTATCCCCTTCGATGAGTTGCCTCGTGAGCTCACCGATATACTCCAAGAGTATGAGGCTCTTCACATTAGATGGGCTAGCCCTGTCAAATCCGAGACACTCGACCCTTTCACTTCACGTATTTCACCAGGGCTTCATGTCTATGCGACTCCAGAATCCCCAAACTCATGTAACCCGTACGTTGTAATCTCCACCTGTGGCCAGTTGAAACACTAACATGATGCTTTAGAACAAAACTGTGTGGCTGGCTCCAGAGGTTTGGGCCACTAGCCTGTTCAAAGCCAGAGGTGAGTTCCATACGCCATTCAACTAACAAGAAGCTCACCAGTAACAGGCTTTCACCGAGTTTAAGCAACCAGCTACCTCCACAACCCCAAACTTCTCGTTCTATCAAGCACTAGAAGATCTGCACTCCTTCATAACTATTAGCTTTCAGGAGTTCTGCCCTGAACTGGACACCGTTTGTAACGCACGACTACGAAGCTTGTTGACCGCGACTAGCTTGGACTTATCCTTTGATAAGTCTACAAATGCTCTTGTTACTTCTGCACTGTGGCCTCTTCGGCCCCAGACGGTTGCAGTTCCTGCATCAACTGAAAGAAGGGTCGAAGTTGGCATTTTTGTCAACGACCGCTCGCAGCCAAACATAAAGGAGAACGAGCTTGGTGTTGCTGGCGTTCTATCCGTGCTTGGAGACCAGAAAAAGCCTTCGCCAACCATATTCACCTTCCCAGCCCGACACCGTCAAGACAAATCTGTCTTTACATCTAGATTTCTCACACCCACAGGACTTCACCCAACTCTTCAACTCAGCTTCAGCTCTAACAAACTTCCAAGCGCCGAGGGCGAGTGTGCGCCATACGCATTCTTGACATTGCCGAAGACCATATTTGCGGATCGTTATCAACTAGGAGACGATTTGTTCCTGGCCTCCAAGAACCTGACAGCTTTGCGATACACGACTCTACCTGTGGACTTGGAAGCACCAGCATATACCACTGAGACATGGGGATCCAGTATTCTGCTTGAGCTCGTGCCTCCTGCGTCCGAAGAAGAGCAGCCGTGGAATGTCGAAATCCCTCTTCACCTGCGATACCTCAAGCCTTCAATGTCTGGTCAAGTGGAGACCGAGATTCCCTATCCTGCTGTCTTCTGGGCATGCGCCTCAGGAGAGGAGACACTGGAGAACCCATTTGACCGTCTCCATATTGGCTATGACAATCTTTTCCCCCGAGACACTGCCTTCTGGCACGTCACCCCTCAGCCAGAGGGTGGGAGCAGACTCACGAACCGTGTCACCGTACCTGTCCTTAAGCTCGAGGGCATAGATACGATCAGATCAGGCACAGCAATTGCTGTTTCGCTAGGTTTCGCCTGGGTACTGTGGAAGTTGGTCAGCATTATGCTAAAGTCTGGAAAGCCAGTGCTCAAGAAGACCACTCAAAAGAAGCCTAAACAAACTAATAAAGCTTGAGGTCAATAATTTTAGTTCAGCTTGTTTGACCATTGGTATGAGAATGGTGGAATTGATGAAATAGAAGATGAAGATGAGAAATCAATACGAATTTAAATACGAGGATTAGTATTTTTCTTCTCTACCAACCTATCGGATTTTCGCTTATGATCTGAAACCTGCCTAGAGGTATTCTGTATCGCCCAACGTCGACTAAACGTTGTACACGTGACGTCAGACACTCGAGATAGTAGAACGCAACTCGGCCACTAGACTGCTTCATAGACTTCTTAACTATCTCCATGTCCATGTCCATCTCAAGTGACTCATCGACAACTCATAAAACTTATTACTATCAACCTAATTAAATGTTATAATCCCATTAAGGTTATAGGCCACCGTATCATTCGCTCTGTGTTATAATGCAACTTGATGGCTCCAACACCATCATCAGACGAGTCACCCGCGTCGACTTCTGGCCGGGGCCTCACGCGAGCGCCAGACTCACCGCAAAGCAAGATTAGACGAAATGTAGCTTGTATCAGTTGTCGCGACTCAAAGGTGAGTTGTCTCGACTGAGCTGAGTTGCGTATGGTTAATGCTGAATCTGGGCTAGGTGCGGTGTAGAGCGAGTCCTGTCGCGGGACAGCCATGTCAACGCTGCGCCAAGTTACAAATTTCGTGCGTATACGATAGATCACACAAGAGAGTGACAAGGAGAAGGTAATAGTCTGATTACACTACTACGGAATGACTCTATGTTTTTATCTGAAATAGTGATATTGACAGTATGTAGTAAACTTGAGCTTCTGGAACAAGAACTCAGATCCATCAAAGAAGTTGTACAACCCAAGAGTAACGCAGAATCGCCATCAGTCCCCCAAAGAAACGGTACTGTGCTTCCTACACAACCATCTCAATTGCCTCCAGCCACCAATGGAACTGTCTTTCCATTATCAAGCAACTTGCAAAGCCCTCAACAACCCCCATCGTTCGTGCCATCGGCGACGTTCGAAAAGACAGAACCTACAAAACCTCGCATGCTAGGCGGTAAATTGGTGTCTGGACAGGATATTGACTGGTATTTTGAGAAGTAAGACTCCCAGGACTGATGCTAACAGCAGTAAGACTAACAGCTTTAGGTATTTACAATGCTATCATCCCTATCTACCCATCTTGAGGAAGAAAGACCCAGATGAATGCTTCGAAGCATCAACAACTCTCTTCTGGACAATAATATCGACAGCATGTCGTCGATATGCTAAGGATGAACAACTTGTAACTACACTACTCGATTCTCTTAACCGCGACGTCTGGGGCCTGCTTCAAGCCATTACATTAGACCTCGAGTCTATTCAGACTCTCTTGATAATCTGTACTTGGCCATTCCCGACCATCAGGTTTGTCACTGATCCATCGCCCAATTTTATAAGCAGTGCCCTCAACGCTTGCATGCTTCTCGGCCTACATACTGGCCGAGGATCTCATCCTAGCTTCCTGATCGGCGGACGCCAGCACATGACATGTACGGACTACGAGGCGTCCATAACGTGGGTGTTCTGTAGTATTCTAGCTCAAAGGTTTGTTCGATCCTGCAATGGAATTGTAGGTTACTGATAATGTGCAGAGTATCTACAGGCAATGGACATCCGCCTCCATTTCTTCAGCATAATGACACCAAATGCAAAGATACTATCAAAGACACTCTTGCACCGGAGTTGCTCACTTTCTTTGAGCTGCAGAAGTTTTCAAATCGATTACATACAGCCATGGCTGCGCAGATATCAGCAAACAATGGAGTTCCTGAAACTATTGTCAAGATGTGGGAAGACGAGTTTGAGCTTCTTAGACCCCTTGTCACCCCCCGTGTCGAATCAGGTAGGCTCCCGGTAACACCCATCCTCAACATCCCATTGCTAACGACATCCATCGAGACTTTTCTCGTTTCATAATGCTAGTTGCTCAACTCGAAGTTCAGGCTTACTACTACATCTCGCCTCCTGACCAGCGTCCCAATTTTACCCTCAATACTCTCCGCACATACAATACCTCACAGAATCTTATAAACACAGCCCTCACACTCGAGTCAACATGTCAATTACTCACACACAGCCCCCATTGGGTCTACCGCGCTCTCGTTGACGCCAGCTGCATCCTCCTATCCACGCTACACTCCACCGCTGCTCCGCAACATCTCTCATCCTCAGACGCTGAAGTTGTCGCTGCGCAGGTTCTATCCCTTCTAAAAACCTGCTCAGTTCGTGATAATGACCTTCCCACGCGAGGGTCTATCATCCTTGAGACATTCTGGTCTGTAAGGCATGTACTCCCTAAGTGGGATATTCCCGTTGGTGCATGGCCGGATCGTATAGGTGCTGCCACATCGTATTGGTGTCTCACAGCCTTCAAAAACGCATTGCAGGAGGCCAAGAATATCACAGATGGTACACAAAAAGGCATTGATGCCTTTCGTAAGTCTGCACTCTTATTTATATGGACTGTAATTGCTCACATGTGGCATCTAGAACAAAGGTTCCCAGGGAACAATAACAGTAATAATACCGAAAGCAATGTCAACGCTAACACAGACATCAATGGCCAAGAACAAAGTATGGACAGTACCATCGATCCCCTCCAGGGAATTGACTGGTCCATGATTATTGATGACTTCGGCTGGATTGGAGAGGGTCCTGTGTTTCTCGGGCCAGCGTAATGGTCAAAACAAGTTTTAATTTGAATGACGGCTTTGGATCCCAGCAGAGATATTACACTTACCGCAGTATTTACTCAGTCAGACCAAAACCAGATAGATTGATTATGTGAGCTGTCCGGGTAATCACTCGAGACAACACCGTATAGATTGAGATAAAGCATGTCACATCGTAGATAACAACAATTAATTCAACTTTTGTTCCCATTGCTTATCATCAAGTGACTAAATACATGAAACTTCAGTACAAACATTAGGATGAAACCTTAACTCCGTCATGCAATCATCAAATTCGTCCATGAAAAACAGTATCACCCATCAGTGCTCCTTCAATCCCCGATTTTTACTTGTACTTAGTCGTAGATGTCCTGATCCATGTCATCCAACATCTCGTCGACTGCATCCTCTTCATCAACCATATCTTCATCCTCTCCAAGCTCACTGTCGGGATGGTTGGAAAGCACAACAATCTTGCCATCAATGAGCTCAACACGCGCGTATTCGCCATCGCGGATGTTGTTGCGCAGGATGAGGATGGCAAGACGGTTGAGGACCTCCTTCTCGATAAGGCGAGACAGGGGTCGAGCACCATAAGCTGGCGAGTACCCACTGTTGCCCAGGTAATCTTTGGCTTCTTCTGACACGTCGATATGGACTTTTCGGCCATTGTCTTCGAGTCGTTTCTGAATCTCACCAAGCCGAATATCGACAATTTTGCGAATCTCCTTGCGTGTGAGACGGTTGAAGATAACAACCGAGTTGATACGGTTGAGGAACTCAGGCAAGAAGTAGTTGCGTAAGGCGGTCATGACCAACTCCCGAGTACCGGGGTCGACACGTCCCTCCTTCACGCCAGGTCGGACAAGGTATTCTGCACCCAGGTTAGAGGTCATAACCACGATGCAGTTCTTGGCGTCAACGACTCTGCCTTGGCCGTCAGTGATACGACCGTCGTCCATGAGCTGGAGAAGGACAGTGAGAACTTCCTTGGCAGCCTTCTCAACCTCGTCAAAGAGCAAGATTGAGAATGGCTTGCGGCGGAGAGCCTCAGTGAGCTGGCCACCGGCATCGTGGCCAACGTATCCAGGAGGCGCACCAATCATGCGGCTCAGTGCATGTCTCTCCTGGTATTCAGACATATCAAAGCGGATCATTGCCTTGGCGTCGTCGAACAGAAATTCAGCCAGAGCCTTGGTGAGAAGGGTCTTTCCGGTACCCGATGGACCACAGAAAAGGAAGCTCGGCGGCTGATTGGGGTTACTAAGGCCAGAACGCTGGAGTCGGATGGCGTTGGCGACAGATTGAACAGCTTCCTTCTGACCAACAACGACCTTGCTGAGCACCTTTTCCATGTGGATGAGCTTCTCCTTCTCAGAGGTACGCAGACGAGTGACTGGGATGCCAGTCCAACGAGCAACAATCTCGTTGATGTTGTCTGCGGTAACGATGTCGGTGACCATGGCGCCACCAGAGTCCGTGGGAGCAGTAGCGTTAAGAGCGGCGTCGGCAGCAGCCTTGCGAGCCTCAAGCTCCTTGATGACAGCCTCTTGTTCGGGGATGGCACCATACTTGAGATCCGCGGCCTTGGCGTGCTCAGAGTTATTCATGGCATCCTCGAGGCGCTTCTCGAGATCATCGAGCTTGAGCTTGGCTTGGTGAATCTCCTCACTGCGCTTGATCTCGCTCTGGTATTTCTCGCGGAGAGGCTGTAATTCCTCTTCAACGTTCTTAGCATCCTTTTTAGCTTGAGCAAGACGAGTCTGGGATGCCTCGTCCTTTTCCTTCTCAAGAGCCGCAATCTCGATCATAAGCTGCCTAAGCTTGCGCTCAAGAGAGTCGATGATTTCAGGCTGAGACTCTCGAGCAACACGAACTGCAGCAGCGGCCTCGTCGACAAGATCGATAGCCGAGTCAGGCAGTCGTCGGGATGTAAGGTAGCGTGCAGCCAGATTAGCAGCAGCTACGAGAGCGCTGTCGAGGATGGTGACTCGGTGATGACGGTCATATCGCTCCTTGAGACCTCGAAGGATAGAGACCGTCTCAGGAATGCTGGGTTCCTTGACGATGACCTGCTGGAATCGACGTTCGAAGGCGGCATCCTTCTCAACGTACTTACGGTATTCGGCAAGGGTAGTCGCACCGATACAGTGTAGCTGGCCACGGGCAAGCATGGGCTTGAGAAGGTTGGCAGCATCCATGCCTCCTTCACCAGACGAACCAGCGCCCATGAGAAGGTGGATTTCATCGACAAAGAGAATGATGACATCCTTTGACTCAGTAATCTCCTTCAAAACACCTTTCATTCTCTCTTCGAACTCTCCACGGTACTTGCTGCCAGCGACAAGTGCACCCACGTCAAGTGAAAGGAGCTTGCATGACTTCAAGTTGTCAGGAACGTCACGGTTGACAATTCGCTGAGCCAGTCCTTCAATGACTGTAGTCTTTCCTACACCGGGCTCACCGATGAGGACAGGGTTGTTCTTGGTTCGTCGGGAAAGAATTCTGACAACTCTGCGAATCTCCTCCTCTCGGCCAATGACGGGGTCGATCTTCTTCTCGCGGGCCATCTCAGTCATGTCAATGGTGAACTTGGCCAGGTTCTCATTCTCCTCTTCAGTATCAGCTGTCTTGCTGTCGACTCGCTTGGTTCCCCGAATAGCCTGTACTGCTTCTTGCACCAGCTTAGGCTTGGGAATGTTGGCTTCCTTAAGAGGTCCTTGGATGGTTGAATCCTCAGAAAGCGCAGTGATGAGGTGATCCACGCCAATGTATGTATCCTTCTGCACCTTCTGCAGTTCCATGGCCTTTCTTAGCACATTATGGAACTGAGGTGCCAAAGAGACATGCTCAGGTGGGGGATCTTGACTTGGGAGTCGAACGAGGGTTTTCTTGAGGGCTCGATCGAAGAGTTGAGGATCACCATGTGCTCGCTCAACGACTTGTCGGAAGAGTGTGCTTGTGGGAGGAGGACCGTTCTGTTGATCCTTTGAAGGGTCCGGGGGAGGGTCGAGTAGAGAGACAGCAAGATGAACCGGCGCAAGCTGGGAATGGCCGTATTGTTCAGCCAAGGCCATGGCATCTTCCACAGCCTTTTGGGCACGGTCTGTAAAGTCCATGCGGCTATTCATGATTGCGGTGTTGTGGTGAGAGTGTAAAGGATAGTTGGAACAAGAGAATTAATGTATATAGTCGTACAGTAGTATTGCCCAGTTATTAGAGTAGTATGTAAGAGAAGGGCGATGTCAGGTTTTCGAAGATTGGGTATCGTTTGATGTGTGGGGTATAGTTGTTTGCTGTACTTAATGCAAGAGAAGAAAGTGATCCGGAAGACCGAGGATCAAGAGGTGAATTTATTCACGAATTGAGTGGATCTCATGGAATAATCAAGTCACTCCATAGAAGCATCTGGCGGAGGATATCGTCCGACGTGAAGTATCGAGATCTTGATGGTAGGATCCAGCAAGGTCAAGTAACATCGACACAAGCTCATGGAAACCTCCAGCCCAACCCATCAGCAGCTTCTGGCAGCTTCCGGATTCTTCGACGTCATTGGAGCAAGGTCAATCCTGGAAGGTCCATGCTGAGAGCTCATTGGTTGTATCTTCTTATCTTATCAGCTGATGTTGACAGTCCTGATCTGCTTATGCTTTTCCGAAAAGGGTAGCGTTGGAAAGTTGCAGTTGCCAACTTCCAGATGAAACCGACAGATGAAGACAATGGAAGATTTCAATTGAGTCTGAACCTTAATACAACAGAGCCTATGCACAACCGATGGACGATAACGGTCAGGTTTTGATAATTCAATTAATGAGTTAAGATGGCTATAGATTAAAATGGCCACAAAATAGAGATCAACCGACTTTTGATTCCGGCCTCACGTGACCATGCGCTCGTCCGTGATTGAACCGGCGATACTGGCATTTTTTCCAATCAGTCCCCAATATCAAGGCCATCTCAACCTCACAGTGGGCGACCATGAACACGGCACCAACATCTCGACTGGGCCAAGTGCCCAGCTACGTACGAATATGGGTGCGACATGGCCACTTCGGTAAGAAGAAGAATGGCAGAGGGTTTCCTCCACCCGAGGGACATGGGGAGGATATCTGGGTATTTGGCCACAGAAGAACAAACCAGATTATTTACAGCTTTGATAAGACGCTAAACGTGAGCTCAACTCTATTAAGTTCCTGATAAGCTCCATAGATGTGCTAACATGATGTTGTAGGGTTTCCACGATCTTAAGCAACTCCCATTCAATGGTAAAAAGACAAAGCCCGCCAAACTTCGAAAAGACTACTGGTCTCCCTTTGCACACATCTCCTTCCCCGCCGGGCAAGGTTCCATTGGCCGTTCCGTCTTCCAAAAACTGCGCGAGTTGAAGCACCTGCACGAGGTAGCATGGGATGACGACTTCCGATATAAGAACCCCGAAGAGTTCAGCGAAGCCGACCGCAAGCGAGTCACGAAGCAACAGGAGAAGGGCAACATGGACCATCGCCCCATCCGAACAAAAGAGGAGCGAGGTGTGGCTCTCAATGCCCAGAAGCCAAACTCCATTGCCGATATAGCGTCTGTCTTGAGCGGTGCTGGTCGCGGCAACAAAATCGTTGTATCAGAAGATGCCGAGGGTGCCGAGAAAAAGCTTTTGGATGTGAAGGTAAACTGGGCGAACGACCAGGACAAGGAGTACGCTCAGGAATGGTCTGGAAATGTTACACACGGGCTGTTCGAAAAGCCGAGCTACGTTTCGAACGAGCCCGAGAAGAAGAAAAAGGAGGAGGAGGAGGAGACACCCGAGCCAGTGGCTGAATGAAGAACCCAAAGAGAAGGTTACAATGAACGAAAAGGCTCAGGAGATGACACAACAGGTGGTTGGGGTTGGAGATTGAGTCTCTCACGAACATCCAGGTTCCTCCTACTCAAGTCATTATAAGTGTTCTACCTCCAAATGTATAAAATGTGTATTTTGGACTCCATCGGGTTGGACTAGTTGGAAAGTTGTGTCATCGAGTGTCTACAGCCTAGAACGAGGACATTGATCACATCAGCTGGCAAAGGTTTGTAGATGAAGGAGCATATATATATTCATCAGGTGGCGTGATGCCAAAGTCGTTGTACGATAGTAGCTGTACCATCAACTAAATGCAAGCGCTCATAAATCATTCATTACCCCGGTTTGTTACCAGGTGCAAAAGTCCAATCTGATGTGGGGGTGGAAACGCCAAAACAGGTCCAAACCGTAGAGAAAAAGCAACCCTTGAAAAGCAGAGCGCGCACTCTGCTAAATTAATTTAGATAGGCAGCGCAAACTGCTTCAGGTACTCGTAATCAGCTACGTTGTCCTCGACCGTCTTGCGGATAACCTTTTGCGCCTCAGGGCCGTACTTGGCGGTCCATTCCTTATCTTCTGACTCGGTGGTCATCGTCTTCTTTAGTTAGCGATGTCAGCCTTATTTTCACCCTACCACAAGAAGCGCGAACGAACAGTGGATGTTGTTGCAGACCAACAGGTGGAGGGATAGTGGGGAGGGTGCGATTATAAGAAATCGTTTTGACGTACCTGGTGATGCGTGCGAGGCCTCAGAGCCGAGCTCTTGATAGCATCGTTGTGCCAGCCATTCCACTTCTGGAAGGCAATAGTCGCATAGTTGCAATCATCATCATTCCACTCGAGCATCTCGGGCTTGAAGTCAATGCCCGTCTTCTCGCAGTAGAGACGGATGGTCTTCTCGGGGTTATCGAGAAGATCATCAGCGTCGATAACAACGAGGTTGTCCTTATCGACGATGTTCTCCTTGATCAGGAAGTCAAAGAAACGCACGAGCTCCTTATAACCAGCCTCATTGGGCATGAAGTCATAGAAACCAGTGACTTCATCCAGAGGTGGCACCGTGCAACGGTAGTATGAGGGGATAGCTCGGCGAGGGTGGCGGATGAGGAAGGTGAATTGGAATTGCTTCAGGACCTCTAGTGGCAAAACAGTTGGATTGCCAGGCTCTTCCTTGCCCAGAGACGGTGCAACCTTGGTAGGCTTGTTGTCTGGGGCCATGAGGTAGTAGGCCATGTCCTTGATGAAGATTCGCTTGCCCTGGTAGGAAGTGTTAATATATTGCATCAATTGATGAATCTCTCATGGCGTGGCTCCCGCCAATGGCAAAAGGGCGATAAGGATACGACACGTAACATTGATTGTATGTTCATGACCATCATGTGTCAACCAAGCGTATGCTGCAGATAAAAAACTTGGCCGTGGCACATGTTTCTTGTTTGGCTTGTAGTTCCCCTCATTCGAGAAGGCGGGGTGTGACGGGGAGTTCGGGGAGTTCGGGCGATCGCATGAACCTTGAGGAGATTGGAGGGGAGGTTTTACTAACATCTTTGCCCGCATCCATGACCTCGTTGAGGACGTCTTTGTAGGTCTTTTGTGAGAAACCACTCTGTTCACGAGTAGCAGTGTCGTTTCTGAAACGATCACTGAGAATCTCAGGACCATAGTAGAAGGCATCTCCAAAGGGTTCGTGAACGCTCTCTAGGATATCGCGGCGGGCCATGAAGACCTATCAATTAAACAGAGTCAGCATTGTAATAGTGAGCGCAATCATGACGATGTCAACACTGAGAAGGCGGCATGATCTTGGATTTCAGGGACTCAACATACCCGCTCAAAGGCCGTAGAGCATGCACGTGGGTGCGTGGCAGTAAAGATAGGGCGGGGCGCCATTTTGGGTGAAAGAACCAAGAAGAAAAGGGAGATATAGCAGATAAGTGTTGTCGCTTCAACATTAAGCTGGAGGAAGAGCAGAAGGGATGAGAAGAAGAGTAAATCTTGGAGGATACGAAACAGCAGATCAAGCCATTAAAAGGTATTTGAGACGCCCAGCGTACAGTACCTGAGTACTCACAGAGTTTGCTGGAGAGCTTCCGGACCATCGCCCGATGGTAATTGTTGAAGCGATGGTCCGTAGGCTATCACTAACTTGGTTAGATCCTCCCACCCTGAACCTGGGCGTGTGGCCCATGAACGACCCTTAGTGGTCTCTCTTTGAGTGTTGCGCATGCGGCGTGTACGTCATGTTGGTCGATAGTGGTCTCCGCTGAAGCAACTAAGACGAGATATCTCTCAAGTATCCGAGTTTTCTCGCCCCTCATTGATGCTTTTTGAGCCCATCCCACAGTCCCCCCAAGGCTTTATCGGGCCCTTCGTTTTCTTCATCCCTGCCCTCAATGACCTTGCAAAGCTTTCCAAAGGGTCAATTCCTCCGACTTGCCCCACGCGGCTGGGTCAAGCCTGATCCAGGCCAATCCCATGAATCTCAAAAAACGCATGTCTTTTTCCGTTGCTGTGAGTTGTGTCCTGCAAGTGCCTGAAACGGATTTAATAGCGTAAACTCAACATTGGCAGACATGTTCGCGTATCCCGGGTAGTGGGGATAAGTCTCTTCTCCATGGGTGTCACACTGCACAAGGCGGCACCGTGGCGATGGTCTTGTGCAAGTATACACAATGTAATGTGAGATGTTGATAAGCGACCGATATTCCGTTCGTAAAGCTTTTGTCTTTGACGTGGGACGGCCCGATGGCGGTACAGAAAATATGTGATCTTCAATGCGCCCAGGCCCTGCTAAAGAAAGACCTGTCAGGGCGACATTAGAGAGCACGCACTCAGCCCCACTGGGCTCACGGGGAGTTCCCCAAAGCTTCTAAAGCCGTTTTTATGTTTCCACGGGGAGTTCGTCCTGACTTGTCATGATGCCTTTTGCATCGCGTGTATGTAAGAGGTACTGCCAGTCGTCAAATGGAATGCATGGATGTCATAGAATTGGTGAATAATTCGTTTGTTGCTTTTTGGCAAAGTTATATGTATCTCTCCCAGCTTCCAAGCCACCTCCAACTCTCGGCCACGCGACTGATTTTTTCCAGCGCACCGTTGACCCGCCCCTCAGGATCGACATACTTGTGACCCTCAAATTCGATGAAGAAAATATACTGGAAGGGTTTCACGAGGCTTGGTAGACTGTTGATGCTGGTCAAGTTGATGTCGAATGTACGGAAACAGCTCAGCACATCCGCCAAAGCGCCAGGTGATGTGTGAGGTACTGTGAAAGAGACAAGTGACTTGCTTCCCTTTTCAGCAACAGCCTTTTCAGTTTTTTCCAGGTCTTTGGGGCCTTCAGCATTTGTACCAATCACGAAGAAACGGGTCGTGTTATCCTCCCTGTCCTCAATCGATTTTCCCAGAAAATCGAGACCATGAAGTTTAGCGGCGAGCTCGCTTGAGATGGCGGCCCAGGTACCCGTCGTGTCCTTACTGACAATTTCAGCTGCCTTGCTGGTTGAACTGACCTCAAAAATTTCGACACCCTTGAGATAGGTGGAGATGAAAGCGGTACATTGGCCAAATGCTTGGGGGTGCGAATATAAGCGCTGGATGTGCTTGAGACTCGCCAGGGGCCTGGACCGCGGTTTTGAAGGTGACGGGTCTGTGGCTGTCGGGGTGCAAGTACCGGATCCTTCAGCTATGTCTTCGACAGCTGGCACAGGGCTCTTGTGACCAACAAGGCAATGGTGAACGTCCACGTATGTCTCGCCATCGACAGTGATATCCGGATAATGGTTCGTTCTGTCAGCCAGGTTGTCCAAGGTGAAGCTCACAGAACCATTGGTGGAGTTCTCAAAAGGCACAACACCAGCTTGCACCTGGCCACTTTGGACCTGGTCAAAGACATCTTTGCCAGGACAATCAGTAACGGACATCCCGACTGCGAGATATTGACTGAAACGTACCATCGATAGTAACTGCAGGGGAGAATTCCCATGTTGACTCAGAAAAGGCCTGACGAACAGCCTATGGAGCCAGGTCAGTCAAGGCTAGTGTCATGCGGTCGCTATAGGGTACAGCTATAGGAATGACTTTACCTGATGGGTGTAGGAGGCGACTGGGCCGAGGAAGCTGACAACAGGCTTGTGCTGGCTGGCCATGATGCCTTGGTTATGATCGGTGTCACCGGATCGACTGAAATTCTTGAGGCGACGTCAAACTGAATTTCGGTACAGCGTGACTACACTTTCAGCCCTGAGTCTTAGGGTTCTTCGTATACCAAGAATGGTTAGGTCTCTAGGGATGTAGTGTTGCAGTTTCTTGCTTGAGAATGAGGCTGTCACCAAGATGCGATAACTGGGATGAACTGCAGTCAATTGGCTCGGTGATGAAACTTCTAACGAGCTATTCCGTCAGTGTTCGTATGTGGGTGTCTTCGACTCCAGCTTGTGCCTGTGTGTAACCCAATTGAACACCAGAGAAGGCGTTGGCGATGTCGTGATAATGTCGTGATCGTGGGGGAGGAATGAATTCCCTCCAAGTTGTGGGATGAAAAGTTGCAGGGTAGTACAGCACTAACAGTCTTCAAGCGGGCAAATACGGGGTTCGAGATAGTGAGCCACTTGGTTCATGCGGGGTTCAACTGGCCACTGCGAGATCGGTTTAACAAGCAGGTTGGCTTGTTGGCGATGGTAAGAAAACAAAAGGTAACTACAGGGAAGTCTTTGTGAAACGACGGTCCTGCCCGGTATTGAAATTATGTGAAGATCAAAAGCCGATATTTCCATGAAGGTGAGAAAATGAAGGAGCGAAAAGGTTAAGTCAGGGCGTTTTCTTTTCTTACGACGTCCCTCATCGTATTATACTGGGGCAAAAGTCGACATCGCTGCCTCTGTTCATCTTACAATTGAGACTAGGAAATGGCAGAAAATTTGAGACTTCAATTCTAAATGAAGAAGGGTGATATATATGGAAGGGTCGATCTATAGTTGCAAATATTTGAATTTTCGTCTATGAGCTCTTCTTTTATAAGGCGGTTCATGGGATCGACTCGACGTAGGGTAAGAAAGTGTAATACATGATAGTTTGGATGTGGACTTACACAAACACATACTTGTTACAATGACGACACTTTCACTTTTCTCCTCCCTTAACGTTTTGCAATATAACAAGGCGACCTCCTTTAGACGATTCGGCTTAAAGTTAATGCTTTAAAAAAATGTGCATTGATTTAAAAAGCAAAGGAAGTAAGTGAGCCCCAATGAAATCCATTTGGATGTAGTAAGATTTATTTATGCCCCCGTCCCATGATGCTCTAGTCATCATATGGATGTAGCGATCTCATTGCCTAAACATACCAGTTTCGTAGAGATACACGCCCTTTATGAACTTCCTCCAGGAATAAGAATAAATGTAATTGTATTACTACTTATACAAGGCTGACCGATGATAGCATGGGCTTCAAGTGTTAAATTTGTTCAACATGACGAACACCTTCACCCGATACCTTTATCAAGGATTATTCCACCAAGGCCCACAGTCTCCGATAGATATTAACCCTAACTGGTGGTGGTCTTTCTGCAGCTAGTACTTCATCCATCCCTTGATACATATCAATATCTTCAGGATCTCTGACCCACCTATCTCCCCGCTGATACAGTCGATGGCCAAAGTAGATGAGCAGAAACGCAGAGATGCCGATGTAAGCCGTGAAAAAAATCAGCCACTGACCATTGTGAAGGAAAGAAGACAGCGAATCCGTTGATGAGTAAAAGGATGATGGAGACATTGACTCCGAAGTACATGCCCCAGGGCTGGAGGCGGGAGCGATATGGGGACTCTAGCTTATGATGAGTGATGGCTTTGCGGTATCTCGCGTAAATGATACTGCAGCAGATCCAACTGATATAACCGGAGGTATTGGTGAGATTGATTAGCCAGTTGAAGACTGTCAGACTACTATTTGACAGGCTGAGGTATGCTAGACATCCGAGGGAGGCGGTGATCAAGACTGCATAGTATGGAAGGCCATATCTGTCGCATCTCTTAAATATTGCAGGTGCATTCCCGGCCTTTGCGAGTGAATAAAGATTCCGGGAGGCAGAGTAGAGGAACGCGTTCGCAGCCGTGATCGCTGAAAGGAGGATCAGTGCGTTGACGATGCTATCCAGGACAGGGATGCCGGCGTTCCGGATGGCAATAATGAAAGGTGAGCGTGCAGTTCCAGATGCTGTAAGTCGGGGATCGTTTGATGCGCAGACTACACCAATTCCGAAGACGGCGGGCATGAAAAGAATGATCAGGCGCCAAATGTATCATCGAGCGGCTCTGGGGAGGTTATAGCGTGGAGATTGCATCTTGCCCGCTGTTACGATGAGTTGTTCAGGAGCCAGGACGAATGCGATGGATGCTAGAACAAAAGACTGAAGGAGTGCAACAAGTCGTCCGGCATCGCCCTCCACGATATAAGTGTTCACTGGACCAGGGTCTTTCCAGTATCCAAAGTAGAGAGCATCTTTATGAGGGCCGCCCCCGAAAAACAGCAAAATGGAGAGAAAGATGAGGCCCAAGATGAGGAGAACTTTCATGCCTGCGCTCCAAAACTCGCACTCTCCAAAGACTCTGACCGGGAAGAGGTTAATAATGACAATGATAACATATATGATGGTGATCCACACCGCGCCATTAACCACAGTGCCCCAATAGTTGGTGAGAAGTGTAGAAGCGAAGAATTCATAGGGGATCAAGATGCCGAGTGAGTACCAGCAGAGATATCCCATTGCAAAGCCCATGCTGCTAGACACGTATTTGTGCCCGTAGTAGGCCATAATGCCTCCCGGAACAGGGAGATAAGTTGCAACCTCGGCAATTCCAGTGACTATGCAGTAGACGGGTATAGACAAGACTCTATAAGAAATCAGAAGGAATAGAGGACCACCAACGCGAAGAACCTGGGAAGTTCTTAGGAACAGTGAAGTTCCAATGGCACCTCCTATGGCTATCATCTGAGAGTGGCGAGGCTTGAAGCCACGGTGTGTATCTTCGTTTCGTTCGGCATCTGATGTACCATTTCGAATGGTTTCAACTTAACCAAGATGACTTGGGGACTTTTCTTGCTCATCTCTGGCTTTGAAAGGATGGGACACCGGACTTGGGGGGATAGACTCTGACATGGCTGGGATGAATATTGGTGCACCAACGAGACAAGGTCGAATAGAGATTCAACAAGAGAATAAGAGTGGTTTGCAAGACAAGGACAAGGGAATCTTCATGCTTATTTTATATTGATCAGAAACGCCCATACCACTACCACACAAGTCGCCCCAAGCGACCATGACAAGGAAGAAGCCTTGACCAATTGGCCGCCAGAATACACTAATCAAACTAGGTATCATCATCAATACCATAGGCCAAATCGATAGAGAAAGGTGAATCTCATCTTGGTTTGATTGTGACTATTAGCAACATGGCAACCTTCACTTACACAGTTATCAACTGATCCACTACCAGCATCTAGAGGCTTGCAGCGCGGGGAACTGTGGGGAAACCTTGTATATCAGTAGCTGATTGTCTGGGCCTTTCCATGTCGTTGGCGCCGAGGGAGCTTGATAGCGGCGCCAACGGCGGGATTCATGAGGGGGCTTCTTGATAAGAAACTCCGGGATTGGTTCGGAGGCTGATACGAAGTGGCCTAAATTATCCTAAATATCAAGAAGGGTGAAAATAGAGTGGAAGATATGATGGATATATCTAGCAAACTTAGCTCTCAAAGATTTAGATCTGGCATCTAGCAACAGGCCGTAAACCTCAACTTTCCAAGATGGCTCACCCTTTTGTCTCCAACTCAAGCATTCTCTATCGTTCATTCGCTCATCAACCTGAAAGAGTCGTTTCTGCCTCAGGAGTATCTCTGTTTCTCGAGTCTGGCCGTGAAATTCTTGATGCTTCAGCTGGACCAGCCGTATCATGTCTTGGCTTTGGACGCCCTGAGATTGCTGAAGTGGTGGCGAACCAGATGAACCTGCTCCCTTATCTCTACTCTGGCGCACGTTTCACTTGCGATGTAACCGAGAAACTTGCGTCGATGCTTCTGCAGGGGCAACTTGGTGGCCTATCCAAGGCCATATTCGTCAACTCTGGAAGCGAAGCCACTGATGCTGCTATCAAGCTGGCAACACAATACTGGCACGAGCGAGGAATGCCCCAGAAGCGCCATGTTATCGCAAGAAAACAGAGCTATCATGGCAACACGATTGGAGCACTCTGCGTCTCTGGCCACCAATCTCGAAGGGCCATGTATCGTCACTGGCTCTCTCATAATGTCAGCTTCGTTGATCCTTGCTTCGCTTATAGGCTGAAGGGAAACGAATCCGACGAAAATTATGTCAAAACGACTGGCATATCAACTGGAGGCAGAGATCCTTCGTGTTGGACCGGAGAACGTTTCTGCATTTGTGGCTGAGACTGTCAGTGGAACTATTCTAGGTTGCCTTCCTGCTGTACCGGGATACTTCAAAGCTGTTCGAGAGATTTGTGACAAACATGATATTCTCTTGATCCTAGATGAAGTGAGTTACTGTTGATTGTACCGATAAACATACTTGCTAATACATTTTAGATTATGTGTGGTATGGGAAAAACCGGAACTATGCATGCTTGGGAGCAGGAGGGTATTTTAGGGCCTGATATTCAGATGATAGGCAAAGCTCTCGTTGGAGGGTTTGTTCCCCTATCTGGCGTGTTGCTTCGAAACAAGATTTTCGAAGCCCTCGCAGACGGATCTGGTGGATTGGCCCATGGCCACACATTCCAGGTATGCTTTATATGACAAAAAGTTGACTTGGAACTGGCTGACTTTCCCAACAGGCTCATCCAGTGGCTTGCGCTGCAGCTCTAGAGGTTCAACGCATCATTCGGGATGAAGATATTCTCACCAACGTCCAAGAAATGGGTAAAGTCTTGGAGAGGCTCCTGAAAACACATCTTGGCCCCTTGGAATTTGTTGGCGATATCCGTGGGCGTGGTCTTTTTTGGGCTGTTGAGTTCGTCCAAGATCGTTGCACCAAAACACCATTCCCGGCCAATATGAGACTGTGTCACCAGATCGTAGACAAGGCGCTTGGTCTGGGCTTGAACATATTGGGAAACCTGGGTGAGACTGGGGATATTCATGTTGATCATGTCATAATGTCTCCCCCATATGTGGTGACTGAGTCTGAATTGGGGAGGATGGTTGGCATTCTACGGGAAGCTATTCAGACTGTGATGGCTGAGGCTATTGATATTCAAGGGGCGCGACTCTAATCATACTTCCAGATAGATAGTTCGTTAGTTACAGGAAAATTTCATCAACATCCAATCCAATGTCGATTCAGGTATTGCAAATAGCTATCAGTCTGTCTAAGCTCCATGTTCTCTGACCTTTTGAGAAAAGAGATCCGTGCCGTCCATAGCTGTAGTAGCCACCAAGATAGCTAACGACTCCAATCAAACTTGCAATATTACAACATCTTCCTTTGTGCCTGCTGTTTTCTGACCTGTTGTTTATTCGATATCTGCACTAACAAGCTTGCACAACGATCTACCCCAGGATTAGGTTCCCCGCATACCCCCACGTTACCATCTTCAGATTAGCCTCTCCCGCCCATAGCGCCGTGCATAAGGGTCGTTGATAACGGGATGTGACCCGAAACTTTCGATCTTTGATCTTCCTCTCTAATTCTCTTCTTTCATATCACCGCCCATAGCGCTCTTGATCATTTCAAAGCTCACTGAAGCTCCTGGTTGGAATCGGATCAATATTTTGAGCCCAATGAACGAATCACTTAGATCCCCACCTTCGGTTTCAACTCGGAGAGGTGGCTATCCTCGACAGAAGCAGAAGCAGGGATGTCCAACATGTCGTCAACGGTATGTCAAGGGTCTCATGCATCAATTAGGCCGCAATGCTAATTAACCACAGAAAGAAGAAATGTGATCAGCTATACCCATTTGCAGTCACTGCTTGCGTCTCAACCTAGTTTGCAAGCGTGAGCCACCACGTTCAGTACTACTGTCCCCATTGGCGGCAACTGGAGGTTCTCAAGTGACCGAGACAAGAGTTGTGAGAACTCCGAGCATAGACCAGCAAAGCAAAGAGGTCACGCAACTATGCCAACCTCTTGGCTTATCGCTGGACCCTGGTGACTCCAACTCGGGAAATCTTGTGGGAAGCAGACGAGTGATGCTGCGTTACTACACGGTTACACTTGCGTTTCTACTGACCACGAATCTAGAAAAAAACTGTTTCCTCTCTGGTATGTGCGCCGAACACTTGATAACTTCACTAGCTTACATGCAAAGTTATCCTACCCATGGCGTTCGAATGCCCAACCCTAATGTATGCTGTTTCAGCATGGGCTTCTTCTCACTTAGCAATACGTGACGAAAAGTTCAGAGCGGAGTCACTAAGGCACCATGGACATGCTTTGGCCCAGCTTCAGAAGTCAATGCAACAGAGTGAACTGTCAACTGAGATGTGCCTGGCTGTGACTATGGTCCTCTGTTCCATGGAGTCAATATCTGAGGCTACTGATGCCTGGTATCCTCACTTGACAGGCGCAGCTGCTGAATTGGCTTGGCAACCTGAGAATTCACTCTCGGTGGTAGATCCGAAGCAAGCTGTCCAGGCTACCTTTGAGGGGAGGTGGCTTCTCCGCAATTTCGCCTATCACGATATCATGATGAGTGTCTCGATGGATTGCCGTCCATTAATAAGGGGCTTCTACTGGGCCTCAGAGGATGACACACTTGCAGATCCCTATTTTGGATTTGCGTCGCGGATACTCTATCTCATCTCCGAGACTAGCATTCTGAACGCTGACTTCGCCGAAGCCAAATCGGCATCGCAGACCCGTGGTTATAGTTTTGCTGAACGTTCACAAAAGATAGAAAGTGAACTCCAGAGTTGGGTTTGTCCTTCAGGTCAAGATGATTCACCTCTAGCCTTACTCGGTGAAGCCTATCGCAACGCGGCACTCATTCATCTTTACCGAACCCTTGCTCGTTACATTAACAGCTATTCTGATATCTTGAAGACGAAGCTGAAGACTTGTGTAGAGTCGATATGTAAGCTTAGCAGAAAAGTGTCAGAAGGTTGTCTCGTGGAATGCACCCTGCTTTTCCCGCCGTTCATGGCGGGAGGAGAAGCCCACGAGACAAGTGAGATAGAAAGCATTAGAGAGAAGCTTTGCGAGATGATTAAGTGGCGAAAATTCCGAAACGTTGAAGCTTGTCTTGACGTCCTTGATGAAGTATGGCGGCGAAGAATGGATGGATCAAGGAGGGAAGACCAAGGTAAGGTGGACTGGCTAGATGTGGTGAAGCAACGGGGCTGGAAGCTTTCCATTTCGTAATTGCGAAGTTCCGAATACCGAGAACAAACTCTTTCTTCCAATTGAATACAAGTTAATCCTTGGAAAGTATGTCAGCGATATACGATCTTCAATTAAGCTCCACCCCCGATCTGGGACCGGCGTTGGCGCCGCGGTTGCGCCATGCGGGTAACGACATGCACTCTTATCACCTCACTACTGCTGCGTTAGACCTCAAATGTATAAACAGGTTACCGTAAAGGTGTTGATCGCCTAATGGTAAAAGATTATAAAACACCACCTTGTCTCATGAACTCCTCACACCAACACAGGCTAAATCTCTCTTCTCATACCTGAAGAAATCTAATCAATCACCAAGATGGCTACTGCAACACAAACCGTCACTATGACAGCGAATAACTCGAAGCCAGAAGAGCTCAAAGAACGTGCGGATCAAGCCGCTGTTCCATACCGAGGTCCCCGTCTTCCCGCTGTTCCGGACGATCTTGTCGTTCCAGGAATCTTTGACATTGAATGCGACGAGCGTCTCTGGGTCCCAGAAGCACCAGACGTTTGGTTCCGACCTCTTCTCCTCTCCGTCTCGGGCGGCTACTTTGTCAACATTCTTCGAGTCCGACGATCTGGTATCCTCTCACGCCATCGCCACGCTGGTTGCGTGCACGCAACAGTTCTCAAGGGCCGCTGGCATTATCTCGAACATCCATGGTGGGCGACAGAGGGCGGTTATGCATTCGAACCTCCTGGAGATATTCATACTCTCGAGGTTCCTCAGGATGTGAAGGAGATGGCGACCATGTTTCATGTCACAGGGGCTTATATCTATGTTGATCCTGATGGCAATCCTGTTGGCGTGGAAGATGTTTTCAGCAAGTTGGATAAGGCACGAAAGCACTATGAAGCTGTTGGACTTGGAGCAAGCTTCGCAGATCAGTTTGTGAGATAAACGAAGAGTTAAGCAAAAGGAAAATAATTTTAAATATGAACTGTTCTGTTCGGTGATCTTATCTGAGCCAAGGGTTTGATCTGTCATGGGCCGCAAGATCAGCTTGCTGCGTAGTCTAAATCGATATCGCGTTGCCGGAATAAGGCTCCTCTTTCTTCGTGACTTTCTTTATCGAGCGCGCGCATTAGAAAAGTTGAATGTGTTCGTGTGTCAAGTGTTCAACTTTTCAGGGGTTATAGAATCGACATGCAATAGCTTGTGATTGTTCTTCTCCTTGATTACCAAGCCAATTCTTTATCTTGCTTTCCCAGTAGGTCTATGCATCGAGCGTCTTGTCCAACTGCAAATGCACGGTATATTGAAGGACCTCCTTCAGCGTTCGAACAATGATGGTGAAGATGGATATGCCGAAGGCGATATTGAAGGAGATGATGATATGCTGGCTATTAATGCTAACCACCTATATCATTGGTGCTTGATGCACAGGACCCGTAGGGGGGTACACAGACGGGATGATACTGATAGCATGGTACATATTAGCATTATAAACAAATCGATCGGATCGTAGGGCCGGGTGACGATTAATGTCTATATGCGCCTGAATAATCCTTGACAGCCTCCTTATAACCTTGGTCCTTATACGTCGCATTGACTCCTGAAGACTTACAATTTGAGATGCCCCTATCATATTGTCGGCACATATAGGACAAAGCTCTCAGGAGTGCGTGGGTTTCGATATCAGATTGCCCACTTTCCGATCAATAAAGAGTCCAAGTGTAGAAAGCAGGCACGGATTACGAGGCTAGTTACGATGACGAATTTCCTTTGACGACAATACTGCAGACAGTGGTCTCCGGTGAACGGCACCGAAGTGTAGATATCTATCAGGGGGTAAGGCGTCTAGGTATCGAGTGATATCAACAGAAGCAATGATATTACCTTCTAATGGGTATGAGATCCAAAGTTCACAAATTAGATACCCTATGCATACCCCGGATAACATGAAAGACTCATCAGAGATACAACAGAAAACAAACAAATGAACGATGCCGAAATTAGAAGTCCCCGACCACTGATAGGTGACAAAGGTGCTGTGGATGTGGATGTGGATGTGGATATGGCCTGACAGCCTCCATTCCTACCTATGAGAGGTCGGTAAGCACGTGGTAAGCAATTAAGTTACTGCTGCCTTATGCAAGATGGGAAGAAGCAAGTCAGCCATTTAACTCAATCAACCACTATAATTCAATAGCTCGTTCACGGACATTTTTGCATTCCTATGTTGTTTCTCGAACCATTGGGGAATATTAGCAACACGTTGATTTTATTTCCCTGTATCAGACTACACAATCACCAAGAAAATAACTGGACAGAGGAGAGAGATGCGCTCTTTTAACTCGGACGGCGTCATCCGAGTGGCCCCGGTCGAAACACGGTCTGTTTCATCAAGGACCAGCATCTGACCTATCAAGACAATTTACAGGCGCCTCGATCCCAGCATCCAGGGTCTAGGCTCACTTTGTTTCATGCTCCGACACTCCACGAATCAGCAAGCCAAGTTGGAGGTTGTGTATTTAGTGACGGTGAGTTACACTCAAAGACACAATATCTGTCGCTGTCCGTCTTTGTGCTTCAGTTTCAAGTTGTGATGGTTTTCGTCATGGCGCTAATATCATCTATCTTTGGAAGATTGGGCACGACATGTTTCGTGGGCGGAGACTGTAGAACATATTTGAAACTCGCTCGCGCGCATCCATTGTCAGCAAAAGCCCTAGCCTCATTTCTTGTGCATGAAGGCGACCAGAATTCTATATTCTATGCACACGAGACTTTAGCGGCGGCTCTGCCCTTGTCTTTTCGTCACGATCAGCGTGGCATGTGGAGCTCTCTTCCCCTCTGGAACTCTGTAACGACGCCGCGCGATCAGATCGCCCATCCCATCATCCCTTCCATCTGCTCTGATTCTGGGGATCGCTTCGTGTTTACCTCTTCTGTTGTTCATGGTGGAGTTTTACCCAACTCTCGGGCCATCGAGCATTAACAATTGCTCCCTGTAGCATAGTTTCGGTCAACTTTTCAGGTCCTTCCCATTAGCGAGTCAGTAGTTCATCCAACCATCCGGCGTCTATTGATTCGTGAGCCTTCCCATAACATCCACCACAACGTGATTATTAGCCTACAGGGGCCACCTGTGACGCTTTAGAGCTGGCCAAGACCCCCCAAACCTGAACCAGGCTAATGAAGCACCACATCACCGTCTAGAAGGTACCTGCAGGTCTTGCAGATACCTTACTGGCGCTGCTGATAGGTAATACAAATGCGCACTAAAATGTTCTAGCTCAAAGTACCCGCTGTCTTGGTGGTACCTTCGCCGCAACCACCGCCAGTCCCCTGCTCTTTCTCCATTCCCCTGCACCCGAGCTGCCAAACCATCCCATTCCCCCTCAGGCCTGGCCTGGCCTCTTGGGCTAATAATTTGTATTCCACCTCACCATTGTCCGCCCATCGTCACTCTTTCTCCTCCAAACCTCACTTCACCACCAAAAGCTCAGCTTCAGCTTTGCTGGATCTGGACCCCTCTATACTCTTCTTCATTTCTTTATGAAGTGCTTCGCGTTGATCGCAGTTTTTACTTGTTTGGCTTCGCGTTACTAATAATACAGACTGAGTAGAGCTTCCACTGGCTCTACGTCCCATCCTCCGCCACTTCGCACATACTCCAATCACCATCGGGTGAGCGACCATCGATCGACTCAGCTGGGTCTGGGTATCCCACCTCGATTCGGTGTCTCAGGCGCCGCCATTTGACGACGAACAATAAACTTGAATATCACCACTTGCAAACCCTTGGCCGCGCATTCACCATGGCCATGCTGGCTTCAAAATCGTCGTTTCCCGCCGGCTTGGGTGCTTCGTCTCTCACTCCTGTTCCTTCTCAGCCCACAATGGCCCCGCCTAGAAGAGCTCCAACGATGCCCTCTTCAGGTGCTTACGGCAGCCCGACAGAATCCGAATTCAACGAAAGCGATCCCGCCGAATCCGTCAAGAACTGGGACGAAGATCAGGTCTGCGAATACCTGCGATCTGTAAAATGCGGCGAGTATGAAAAGATCTTCCGAAAAAATCACATCAACGGCGAGAACCTCCTAGAAATGGATAAAGATGTGCTTAAAGAAATGGGTGTTGAGAAAGTCGGCGATCGTGTCCGCCTTTTCCTTAGCATCAAGAAGCTGAGAACCAGGGCATACGCCAACGAGAAGAAGCGGAATCGGGTAGGCTATACTAGCAATTGTCATATTTGCTGGGCTCACAGACTGACCGTGACTGTCTAGGATTCATTTGGCGGACTCGATATTCACATCACTGCACCCAACGACTCGTCAAGAATGCATACATCGCGAGGTGTTCCGACATCTTCTAACAAGCGGTTTTCAAGACAAATGGATTTACATGGTGCTTTGGATAATGGCATGACTTCCTCAAGACCCAACTCCCCTCTCCCTGGTACCGATCTGCGGAATCTAAGGGCCCGAGGGAAGACATATGTCACAAGTCCTGTAAATGCTCAAGGCCAAAGGATTGTGATTACCAACCCGGATCTTCCGGCAAACCGTCTGGTAACGACCCATACCAGGAATAACTCCAGTATGGACGGTTCACTGATGGCTGCCTTACCACAGGGTCAAGAAGTTATCCGCGTCATATCGACTGGCGGCGTTACGAAGGTTGTCAAGATTTCCGCGTGTAATACTTGCGAGGAAGTGATGCGGGTGACTCTTCGAAAGTTCGCTCTGCGTGAGGACCACGAAAGGAACTACTGCTTCTGGGTCTTGGCTGGTATCGATCCTGATCCAGGCCAATGCCGACGACTGGGCGATACGGAACTTTGGCGCATTATCAAGGACCAACGACGGCCGGAACGAAATCGACTGATATTGCGGAGAGTTCCAGCAGGTGAACCAGGGGAGGCGGAATTGCAGCGGGCTGCTGCCATTGCCATGGAAGAAGAGCAACAGAAGCACGCCCGAGCTCTGGAAACAGTGGACAAGCGAAGTCAACTGAAGGTTCAGAAAATGCTTGGGGAGAAATGGAACGACCAGCTCCAGTCCCCGTTGTCGCCGATATCTTACCAGGATCGCGAAAGAAACTTACACAATGCAGCCAAGGATCTGGAGCGTCCACCATCAGAGATCGAATCGCGACCGGCTCGACGTGTCGGAGCCCTTCGACAGTTTGGAGGTCTTCGACCTCCCAGCGAGTTGATTGCTTCTGATCTTACATCGTACTTCCCTGACCATACCAGAGAGGACATCGACCGCACGGCCCGACTTTCCATGCGACGGTCAACTCGCTTGAGCAAGGTCAACAGCCGGCTCAGCGTTGCTAGCAGCCTCAGCTTTGCCTCCAGTATCCAGGATGCACCCCCCATCCCAACCATTGCTGATTCTTGGCTTAATGCTAATTCTCAGCTTGCCAAGGTGAAGTCTCGGGATTCACACATTCGGGTTCCTCAGAATGCCTACAACCGGGATTCAGTAACATCATCAGTGCTTGATACCCTTCAAGAGGAGTCTTCTCTCGAGCCCAACCGCAAGTCTTATGTCTCTTTTACTGAGAGTGGCTCTGACTCGGCTGCTCTGAGTGTCACTGACCCTGAGGGCAACACCACAGCCACAAGCTACTATGATGGTGATAACTCAACAGGCTCTGGATCATTCCAGGAGCTTCGCCAAGCACTGACCAACGATGGCGACGACGTAGACGAGGAACTACAAAGCTTCCTGGCTGGAGAGTCCTGGGGCGACGACAAATGGATGAAGGGCGCGCTGATCGGTCAAGGTTCATTCGGCTGTGTGTACCTAGCTCTCCATGCTGTTACTGGTGAGCTTCTCGCTGTGAAGCAGGTCGAGACACCTGCTCCTGGAGCCAACAGCCAGGGCGATACACGCAAGAAGGGCATGATCGAAGCACTCAAGCGAGAAATAAGCCTTCTTCGCGATCTTCGACATCCCAATATTGTGCAATATCTTGGTTGCAGTTCATCAGCTGATTATCTTAACATTTTCCTCGAGTATGTGCCTGGTGGATCAGTTCAGACGATACTCAACTCGTACGGCGCGCTCCCAGAGCCGCTGGTTCGCAGTTTTGTTCGACAGATTCTGACTGGCCTTTCATACCTACACAACCGAGATATCATCCATCGCGACATCAAGGGAGCCAACATCCTGGTGGACAACAAGGGAACCATCAAGATTTCTGATTTCGGTATTTCAAAGAAGCTGGAGGCCTCCAACATTCTAAATGGCGCCAACAACAACAAGCACCGCCCGTCACTGCAAGGATCCGTTTTCTGGATGGCTCCTGAAGTTGTAAAGCAAACATCGTATACTCGCAAAGCAGATATCTGGTCGCTTGGATGTTTGGTGGTGGAGATGATGACTGGTAGTCACCCTTTCCCCGACTGCAGTCAGCTCCAGGCTATCTTCAAGATTGGGGGCGGAAAGGCGGCTCCTACAATCCCTGAACACGCGAGCGAGGCAGCCAAAGAGTTCCTTGCGCAAACCTTTGAAATTGACCACAACCTACGACCTAGCGCGGACCAGCTGATACTCAGCCCCTTCCTGATCCCAATCACCTAATTGTAATACGACCGGGTTTATCAGGCTCCATTGGGGTTTCAAGGCTGAACGAATTACGATGTGCTCAACGTTGCTATTGATGGGATACGGAAATTGCAAGGCTGTTGAAGGGATTTGGATTTGGAGGATACACCCAAGTTATGAGTGGGGGCGGGGAGTGGTAATCTCAGACAAGCGGGGGATGGCCCGAAAGAAGCAGAATGTGTGTGACTTACAAAGGAGACTATGCCTATGCGGCGTATGCGTGATGAATGATTTGCGATACCACGTTCGCTCTGATTTAATTTACCTTAACTAGAGGATTGCATCAGGATTGGAATGAATGGTGGCATTTTCTCTTTAGATATGGGATAAGGAGTTTGGTAGATGAGAAGATGAACGAACCTAAGTAATATGAGTCAAAAGAGACAAAGAATTCCAAGAGACAGCCCAAGGATTGTGACAAAGACAAAAGAACAGGAATTGTACCAAAGTTCCATTTTTCACGGATGTGATTTCATTTGCTCGCTCGGATTCTTTGAGTGAATTCGAAATGCATATGTTTTCTTGATAGCAGTTGGTGCGAGGCGGAGGCTTGAAGCGCCTTGCTGCCTATTCACAACCCACAACGGTCACTCGAAAGTCCCATTTGCCTTGATGCGTCAGGCCGCCCAGGGGCGATTCAGTTGTTAACCATTCATCATACAAGAAAGTCAAGAACGGCACAAGTTCACGCCGACATCTTCTAAGCTCACGCTGATATTCTGAGTCTACGCCGAATAGTCACTTTTATTATTGGTATGTTGAAGGCTGCTAGATGATGGACTATGCATGCTCAGTCGCGACTAACACTCGCTTAGAGGCTATATAAGCCAACCAACGAACGACCAGAGCAACCATGAGCTCTCAGGGCGATAGCCAACCTTCACAGGACAGCACCATGACGCTCATGCAGGAAAACCTCTCAGAGGTTCTCTACTTTGCATACGGATCAAACCTTTCAACTAAGCAGATGCGTAGACGCTGCCCATACTCTACACCCGTTGGCCTCGCATATCTCAAGGGCTGGAAATGGATCATCAATGAACGCGGCTATGCCAATGTCGTACAGCTCCCTATCGACTCAGACGACGATGAAACGCCTGAGGCTGAAGACAACCGCCAGCTGGGCACAAAGGGCAAAGGGAAGCAGAAGCAGAGGCCCGAGGAGGGTGTATATGGGCTACTGTACCTTGTTCCGGCAAATGACGAGGAGAGTCTTGATAGATACGAAGGCGTTCCATTGGCATATCAGAAGTTTCAGGTGGATGTCAAGTGGGCGAATGCAAACAAGGAAGAGGACGAGACGTTGAGAGCGTTGGTGTATGTTGATGAGATGAGGGTGGAGGAGGATGTGCCACGAGAGGAGTATATTGAGCGTATGGAGGATGGAATCGAGGATGCAGTTGAGAATTGGGGGATGGATGAGGACTATGCTGATCGAGTTATGAGGAGATTCTGGACTGAGAAGGACTGATAATGAGGCGACATTGAACTAGGCTCATTCTCTGAGAATGTTCGTTGGCTGATGTGTTGTCCTACTTGTGTTCTTTTTGCCATCTTTTTCCTTTGTCAGAGCAAGTTTGGTTTATGCAGTTAGATATTAGGCTGGGATCAGGACAGCATTGCCGAGTTGTTTTTATGAAGAAAGAAATTAATATGCTCTTTTAGAAGTCCAAGTTGAAGTAAAGGTAGATGCAGTGATGTTACAGTGCATCAACCACTAAACATTCAGCGTCCACCATCCGGCACTGGTCTCGGTCCTCCGAGCGATCCCCGGGCAGATTGAACCTCTATATAACATGCCCTCGACTTATAAACAACTTGTATAGATTCATTCGGCCGGAATACAGCAATTATGACATCTCGCAAACTCTTATCACGACATATGATCCGTTTAGTTGGAGTCTCCGAACCCCGCATGATGACTACCTCAACGCCAACCTCAAGCTTCCCTGCATGGTTCGCCCGTGGCGGAACATCAAACGGTCTCGTCATCCACCGTAAAGATCTTGCCCCGGAATCTCAATGGCATAAAGTACTCCCTTCAGCAATGGGCTCACCCGATCCCTACGGACGCCAGCTCAATGGCATGGGCTCTGGTATCTCCTCAACCTCAAAGATCGTCATCCTTGGATCACCTTCGAGAGAAGACGTGGATGTGGATTTCACATTTGTGCAAGTTGGAATCCGCGATGGAAGCCTCGATATGGCTGGGAATTGCGGCAACATGTCGTCTTTGGTTGGTCCTGCGGCGTGGGATAGTGGGCTGCTGTCGGCTCAGGCCAAGACTGTTGAGCAGGATGAGGATGGATTGCAGTGGGCCACTGTGCGGTTCTTGAATACCAATACTAATAAGGTTATGAGTTCGAAGTTCCGAGTTGAGGGCGAGCCTCTAAAGTACACGCATCAAGGAGATTATGTCATGGACGGAGTCCCAGGAACAGGCTCCAAGGTCATCATGAGCTTCATTGATCCTGCTGGTGCGAAGACTGGCAAAGCTCTTCCAACGGGAAACCCCGTGGATATCCTCGAACTACAAGACGGAACCAAAATCATGGCATCTCTTGTTGATGTTGGAAATCCTGGTGTTTTCATCAGTACCGAAAGCTTGGGACTTGCTGATCACATGTCTCTCACACCAGCTATCGTGGAGTCAAACCCCGAACTCAAGACAAAGCTTGGGGAGATACGTCGAGCCGGTGCTAGTCTTATGGGCCTCGATCCCAACACGGAGAGTGTTCCCAAAATTGTCCTTTTATTCCCCTCGAGTGGTTCGCCAGACGTTGATATCAGATGTCTCGCTTTGTCTATGGGCCAGGCACACAAGGCTGTGCCATTGACTCTAGCGCTTTGCCTTGGGGCTGCTTCCCAGCTCAAAGGGACACTTGCGTCTGATCTTATAGGGGGCCAGTCAAAGGAGACGGTTAGTATTGGGCATCCGAGTGGCAAAGTTGATATAGGGACTGTCATTCGAGATGGGAAGATTGAGTCTGCGCAACTTTTGCGGACGGCTAGGGTACTCATGAAGGGGGATGTATACTATTAAGAATTTGATTGTATATATTGTATATATTGTTCATAAGCTTCTGTATTATTGTCACTATGAAGGAATGGTATTGTCGGGGGTTGGCCTACGTTTGCAAGGGTACAAGGCTATTTGAGCAGGCGGAAAGACACGAAATGTCGCCCAACTCAGGTAATGGGACACATGGCTCTGCAATTTATCAATTGGGACTACTCCGTAATTACATCAAAATTTACATCGACGTCGAGTGGACAGAATGATCTTGCACCTGGGTCGACGCCATCACGTGATAGACAAGGGGTTAACTAAACCATCACCAAACAACTGCCGGTTTCTCTTCAATATTCTAATTCCACAAGTCCGTTGAGTTTTTACTAGAGCTCAAAGGTCTTCGGACTCTACTAAGTCCTACTCGTTAACTTTTCTCTCTACTGATGATCATAAATTGTCTCAAAGTTGCGCAATGGCTGACCTTAAACATCCATACTTTCCAGTAGACGCCGTCATCCCAGGATATCTCCCCAACAACACTCCAGTGGCAGAACTGATAGTTACCTTCGGTGCCATCGTCTGTGCTGTGATTGGGTTTAGTCTTTGGCAAACGACACGTACTGCAAAGCCTGTGCGAACGATCGATAAATTTGCTGCTGCTTGGTTTGCGTTGTGTAAGTCAAATCCTGCACTTATACAAAAGAAGAAGATAAAAAGATTAACTGGGAGCTGATTGCAGGCGGCTTCTTGCATATTGCTTTTGAAGGTGAGGCAAAGAGAAAGCCCTCGTCACAGCTTCAGGATGCTTACTGGTCAAGGATACTATCTTGTATACCGTCATCAACTCCCTGGCATGTCGACCCTCTTCGCCCAGCTATGGAAGGAATACACTCTGTCAGACTCCCGCTACCTGACCCACGACATCTTCACCGTGAGCGTAGAGACCATCACATGTGTAAGTTAGGCATGTTTCTCTCGCTTCACTGGCTTACACAGCCTCTACAGCTCGCCTGGGGACCACTCTCATTCCTTGCTGTGGTAGGTATTCTTAGGGACTGGCACAGCCGCCACGTCGTGCAGGTCATCGTCTGTACTGCACATGTGTACGGCGTTGCGCTATACTACCTGACCAACTGGAACGAGTCGAGAGTGCATGGCGTGGCGTACAGTCGCCCGGAGACGCTGTACTTTTGGGTCTATTATGTTGGTTTCAACTTGCCTTGGGCCGTTGTACCTCTCGGTGAGTTATACTTTCTAATTAAGGTATCTAGGCTGACTTCGGGATGTAGTGTTGCTTCAAGACAGTTGGCTGCAGGTTGCCAGGGCGTTTGCAGCCTTGGAAGAGAGGAAGAGGGAGTGATGGATATAAGACGTGGAGTATAAATTGATGCTGTCACAGGTTTCAGGTGAGAGGTCATATGTGGCATATAAAAGCAGTGAAACAATACAGTATACAACAGACTGCTCTGGAAACAAGTCATGTGCTAACACTACACTACACTACACTACGGTGCTATGCGGTACAGTTGGTCGTGTAGACCGAGAAATGCATTGTGTGTTAGTTGGAGCCCCCTATACAATTCTCACGCATCCTTGAGGCAAGTAATCTTCAATTTTAAATCTATATGAGAAGCTAGTACGCCCTGTCACGGTTCGAGGTGACGGCAGTGTGGTGTATTGTTTCATAATCATCAATTCTATTCTCCTCTTACTCAAGCCTCGCCCAAACAAAGCCTTCTCTACACCGCCAGGATCTTGCCTCCCCCCTCCCCCCCCTTCACCCTTGTCTCCTACACACTATAACCAGTCTAATCCCATCTCCCGTCTCGCCTCGTTTCCAGATCCGCTCTTACCGTGCTGTCGGATCCCGAACGTTGTGAGCCGCGCCCATAGCACAAGCACATGTTGCGGGCCTCAACTCATCTTCAAGGCTTATACTGTGGCAAGCCTCGTTGAACCAGTCACTTGGCCTGATGATACTCTCGTTTTCATGCACTTGATGTAAACAGTCCTCTCCCATTCGTGATATACGACATGCCGTGAGGCTATCGACAATGGCGAACTGCTTCAGGATCCTCTTTAGAGGCGGTTGCCTATACACTATGTCTAGGAACAGTAACACGGCATCCCGATGGGCTGGAAGCTATATGCATATGCATGCACAGTATCCAGTCGGTGAAGAATATAGTCAGCCACTACGGAGCTGAGTTGTTCTCGACTCTACTGGGCATGTTTGGCATTCAGTGTTCATCAACACCAACGTGGTGATACACTTCGTCGGCGCACAAATTCGTGACATATCACATTTTCATCTTGTGATATCGTCAAGAGTAGTCATGATATTCGTCTTCACTAACTGGAAGAATCCCTGTTTCCCGTGTTAAATCCCTGCTTGGAGCTGCATTAGATTGCATATTAGCCACACATTCTTTACCGCCTCATCCCCCTTTATCAATGTCCTCCTAGCGTCGATTAGTTCCCGCCAACTCTGCTATCTCTACAAGGCCATGATCATCAGTTATAATGCGTTGCAGTGGTAAAAGGTCGAACCACTACCGTCATGTGCCGGTAAAGTGAGGCGGGGGCTGAGCTAGGTCCTAGTCGCTCAATTTATTAATGGCTACCCGTGTGCTTTGAAATATCCTGCCAATAGGAGCATAGATCTGGACACAGTATCTGAGTATCGACCTCAAATATTACTCGTCATTATATTCGCACAAGCCTGCAGTAACACAAGTGCAAGTATCAGGGGTAACGGTTCGAATATGCAGAAAGCACAATAAGGTTTCTTCTAATAGAGGCAGCTAGACACTGAATATGTAACCAGTTCGGTTCACGTCCATGGTAGTAAAGCCAAGTTCGGCAACGACAGCCTTTATTCACAAAGTACCATTCTAGTGTTAAGAAGCTTGGCGGAGTCGCTCAGAAATAAAACATCCCTGACTCAATAATGCGCCGGTGACCCAATGTGCACCGTTTGTTAATGGCAGATATCTCTTGTCATCCCAATCTCCCGTCTCAAAACCCTAGTTTAGCACACCTATTCTACCCGTTTCGCCGTAGCCGTATGCTCACTGATACATTATTGCCATCTGAAAAGACTGTGTGGCACTGTTCTCAGTGCTTGTGGGTGGTGCAAAGTGATGTGATTTCAACATTTAGTCCGCAATGTCGACGCTGCTTCGCGAGGAGGCAACCGAGGCGGGACGCGGAGGTGGCATTGGTGGGAAGACTGGGACAATGTTGGCATTGATGATTTCAATCTCGAACTTGGGGATGCTCGAGGTACTGCGGAATAAGGCAGATAAGTCATTTCCAAAAGCCGCGATCTCATACGTGTCGTCCTCGTCCAGCGTGACACGGCGTACTATGGCTCTGATAAGAGCGTTGCCGTTGTTAGGACGACTCGGCAAAGGGAGGTATGGTGCCGAAGATGAGTTGACAAACCCCGTGGGGCGCATTTTTGCCTCGTTGACTGCAATTTGCTGCAGGTAGTGAACAGTTGGCGAGACATTAACAAGCATGTTCCTCTTTCCATTGCCTGGCCAGGTAATGTTGAGACGTGCAGGATACGACTTGCCAACCATTGGCGGAATGGGAATGTTTCTACCTGGTGGTGGAGGAACCATCGAGGGACCTGGTCGAATGCCTGGAATAGGGGCAGGGACTGGTGCCGGTGCTGGTGCCTGTGCTGGCATCGGATAGCCCCATGGTTGAGGGGGAGGGGGATGACTGTGAGATGGCATTCCCGCTGGACGAGGAAGAGGTGCCCCCCAAAAAGGAGTACGACGACTAGTAGGCTCGTCACTCTCGCTACCCGAATTTGCCTCTACTCGGTCTGGCCGTGCCTTGGCTGCTTCACCAGTCCCTCGGCCACTGCGGTAGCTTCGTCGGTGAGAGCGACGGGGAGGAAGTGCAGAATCGTCAGAGTCCGAGGCAAAGGCTTCGCTGTCAGAGGAACTACAAGCAATTACATCTGGTTTCACTGAACCACCGCGCATACCAGATGAGCTCTTGGTAGCACCAGGAGGAAGATCGTAGCCGTGGCAGGTAACATACTGATCTACCAAACGAGCCGAGGCTTCGTGAAGCAGTTCGAGTGCACGCTCGGGTCGAGAGGCCTTGTCCTCAAGATATTTGGTGCGTTTCCCGCCTTCTGTCTTGAGAACGAAAGCGTGCCACTGATGGCTTAGGTCGATCCGAGTCAGGACATCGAAGTCAGCATCCGAGCTTTCGGTGGACACACGGCAGTTCTCTTTGGTCCGGTCAAGTCAGTAACGTATTCACCAATGAATCGGTCAAAGTTAAGGTCCAGACTCACGCAGAATGAGACCCTTCAAATCCATATGATGAGGTGCCATGTCTGACTGAGGTGGAAGTGCGGGATCCTGACAGGCTCGACGCAACAAGGTCATTGATGAAGAAAGGGGTTGGTAAAGGACTGCTCAATGTGCTGAACAGAGATGATGGCGTGGTAGATTTGAACTTTGTAAAGTGGAAGTGCAATACCTTTATGTAGGTATAGCAAAATGGGTGATGGTGTGCCCAGTGTCAAAAGCATCTATAATACCTCACACCCAAACAAGGCCTGCAAGGAAGGTGTTTCTAACAAGCCGATAGATGACGCCCCCATATGGAATAAGGCGGCCAGTCACATTTGTCCCATTTGGGAGGTATGTATAGCCGAGCAATATAGAAGATACTTGCCACAATAGTTCGTCGCGCAAAGACCGCAATGCTCTGATCTTCCTTCCCATTACCGAGGCCATTTCTCGCGATTCATGCTGTGTAAGTCTGGCATAGCCCAACAGCAGACAATTCGTAATCGTGATACCACGAAGCGCCTTGGTAGAACCTCATAAGACACGTCGTGGGCTATCGTGGCTATCCGCAGAGAAACCAAAATATTGTTCCAAAGAGCCAATGGTTGATACCAGAAACGGACACTATGCATTCCGACAGCCACTCGCTGAAACGCACTCAAGCTGCAGGCTGCATTTAAGGCAACCTATTTTGGCCAGTAGATACCCAAGAATCTCCCTGTATCGTTCGTGTGTGGTAAGCACCCAACGGAACTCAAATGTCTGCCTTGTTGTGTCCTTCATTTTGTCACACAACCACAAAACCAGAGCAAATACTTCCTTTCTTGGTTTCTGGGCTTTGTTCTCGTGTTTGTTTGGGGAATCATATACAAACTGGAAGAAAACAATTAGCAAACGCTCATGCAACCAAACAATCATCGTGTAGCCACAAAAAAGCTCACTAAGTTGATTCATGGCTGTCGATCCGCCTCGTGAGAATGATTGGCCCACAGCCAAGCATATTGTACCAGCCTGTCTTAACTCAACTTCTCAACAAAGCAATATATTCTGCTGAAAGTAAAAAGGGGGCTTGTCAGCCCAATTGTGTTGCCGCGGGGTTACAGATAGCGATGCCAAAGCCTTGCTTCCATGGTCAGCGGTTTTTGCTTTTGGTCGAGGTTCCTTGTTATTCGGGATATGTACTTGACAGTCGTATAATTGTTGCTATGCCGATCTCTGCCTTAACTTCGAATTGCCCCTCCCTGCTTGCTTTAATGTGTAAATATGCCAATGAGAGACAGTCTTAGGTTTGACTTCACTTGCCTCGCATTTCAAAGAATGGTTGCACTGGGAAAGATTGTCAAGGAATGAGAGAATGGATCGAAAATCCAACGGAAGCACTTCTTATTATACTCTGCAGAGTCGTAGGTATCGTACATATATCAGTTTCAGACACTGGTTTGCAGCCGTTCCAGTCGTGCAGTGACAGCATCCACCAAGGCTGTTTCTCTTGATAGAAGTCCTTGGACCTGCTGCAACTTCGCCCGGCGAACCTCTTGTGGGATCCGTAACTCGGCCGAAGGTGTAGCAGGCCCATCCGTGTCCCCTGTCGCCTTGTTCATGGCCTCCACTTCGGCTGCAAGATCAGCCTGCAGGTGCTTAATGTCTTCCAGACGTTTCCACAGCTGTTTAGCCTGTGCCGGTGCCGGTGTCGCCTTGGCTTTGCCTGATGCCAGTTCCGCGTAATCCGGAGCCGAGATGCTGGCTTCCATCGACTTCACTTCCTCAACAAAGGCACGTTCCTTGGCACTCAAGTCACGCGTGGTCGCCTTACCCACAATCTTGCGTAGGTTTTCAAGGCGCTCAGTCAGCTGGTCCTGGCGGTCCCTTGCTGCAGTAACTCGCCGATCGTACATAGCATTATCCGCCTCTCCATCGCGGTGCGACCCGTTGATTGTGTCGATCTTACCCTTTACCTCGTTCGCCTTCATGACTTGTTGCTTAAGCTCACTCTGAAGAAGCTCACATCGCCGGAATACTTCAGCCGCAGCCATTCCAAGGCGATGCGTCTCATCTGCCAAGACCTTATGCGCATCGGTAAAGATTTGCAACGTAAGCGGGCTTAGTCTTACTTCCTGGTTGACAACTGTCTTGTGACGGGATGTGCGGAGCCTCTCAAGCAGTGTAGGCAGAGCAGAGCCCTCATCAAATGTATGAGATGGGTTGAACACGGGGCGAGGCTCATAAAAGTCCAGTGGTGCCATGCTAGCTTCCCGTTCATAACTGGGGCTTTCTTGGCGAATTGGAGCAAGATCGACTTCTGGTGTGTCAAAAGTCAGGGCGATGGGCTCGTACGGGGTCGCTGAGAGGAGAAAGTATCCAACGTCAGGGTCTCGCAGAACATTGCATGCGGCTAAGGGCACCGCAATATCAGCAGTGGGCTGTGAGTAGATGCGGTCCCTTGTCGACTGAGAGTTGACAAGCAGGCCGATTCTAAAGTCAGTTCCTGCTTCGGAATCTCCATTCAACTCGCTCTCAAGGCGGAAGATCCAAGAGGTTAGAGAAATAAATGTAATCGCAGCATGATGTGTGACAAAGAAGTTGTAACGAGATGTGACATCGTTACTAAAAACTGGCCAGCTATCCTCATTCATTTCCACGGGTGTCATTGTATCAATGGCCTGGAAGGAAAGAAGAGATGGCGTATCAGCCTCAGCAAGTAGCCGACCAAGTTTGTTTTTGTTCTTGGGTGGCAGCCACTGAGCCTGGACACCCTCGAGATCAAGATATACGCGAACTTGACCGCTCGTTGACAAGAGGCAGATCACGGTCAGAGAAAGGCCTTCTTGGTCCCCGTCATCCATATCCAAATCCTCTTCTTCGCCCATCATAAGCTGCTCCGTTTCTGTCTTCTTGCCGATGACGAGCATGTCGGTAACCGATGTATCCAGCTCATCGCCTGTATCAGGATCTGACTGAAGCTCAAAAGGGCCTTGCAAGCGAGGGACGATTCCGGGTCGAGTTGGTCGCGTGTAAATTTCCGCCACAGGCTCACCAATCGGTCCCTCCATAATTGTTGGCTCTTGGGAATCTAGCTCTCCCATCCATTCTAGTTGCTGTTGGGCAAGTAACTTTTCCTGCTCTCCAACATCCGGATCATCCTCGATACTTGCAACTGTAGTGACGATCGATACCGATAGAGAAGGGATTAATGTTGGAGGAGGTGCCCATTTCTGAGGCAGCAAAGGACACAAGGCGTACACGTCTCCTTCTCGCATCGCCACCCACAACGTCATGGGGTTCCAGCCGCCAGCCCCTTTAGTAGGGAAACTGGCAGCAGCCACCTCCATTTCGAACGAATCAGGTGAGAAGGCCGTATTGGTGGCCGCTGCTGAGGCTGAAAAGTCCTGATCCAGAGTCGTACCGTCCACCAATTTCTTCAGGTCGACAGACGTAGTAGGTGTGTCGAAAGACCATCGATCGGTGGTGGACAATTCCCACACACGTACGATAGCGTCAGCAGTAGTCGTAACGATACAAGAGCCACTGACTCCTAAAGGATGCCAGAGGGCCGAGACGATAGGAGATCGAGAGGTAACGTGAGTGGTTGGACCAAGTGTGAAGATCTTTGGTTTAAGCGGACCAGCATCTTCACTGGTAAGGTGTGAAGGATCAGGGAGCACGCAGATATGGACAGTATGTGTGGTCAGAATGGCCAAAAAGTTCGAGTTCGGGGACATGACCAGCTGTCGAATGTCGTCGGCAACGGGTGTCTTGATTGTCTGTATAGTGATAAGTTAGCTACCGATGTATAAATCATGATACACGAACATACCCTTAATCCAGCAGCGCTCTCCAGGTCCTCGTCATCGAATGGCTGTGTCGAGTCCTCGCGCTTGATGCGAATGCCTTGCGATGATCCTCTCTTCGAATAACGATTCGCCCATTCATCCTTCAAATACGCAAGATCACCCCAACGGATTTCACGGCCAACAGCAACAAATACTTCAGTCCCTCGATGAGCAATGGTTCTTCGCGGACCAGGAATGGTTTTCTTCTTGGAGGAATATGTTGACTCCAAACTACGAGGCTTGGATGCCTCGGATGATGGTTCAAACAGACGATGACCGGGAGCGTTGCTGGACAGCCAAGCTGCCGAATAGCTCTTGACCTTAGGCATGATGAGAGGACAAAGTCAAACTTCGTTAGCGAAGGTTTTTGCGCAGCTTCGCGAAGCTGGCGAGGTGAGAATGTGAGCTATATAAGATACTCAAAGTAGGTGTAGCTGGGCGTAAGTCACAATCTTTGGATGTTTGGAAGAAAATAACGAGGCTGAAGGCCTGGGGCTGGCGCACGATCCGTCGCTCAAAGCTCTAGCGCTTGTAACCACAGCACCAAGAAGCAGGGTGCCCCAAAGTAAGATACCTTAGGTAAATGCCACATGCACCGCCACACTTACTTGCAGGGTCCACTCTCATGGCAAGGCTGCTCTACCTACACCAACATCCATCATCACAGCTATTGAAGTCAAGAAGCATCTGCAGTACCTTGTCGCGCACAATCACCCGTTCTGATAAACTCGAGATCTTGCCGACTCATCTTCGAAACACGTAATTAGTAAAGGTCACAAGACAATGCGACCAGGCGCCAGAAACACTGTGGAGCGGCTCGACAGGCCGAGCGCCTACTACCAGAACCGCGTATGGTATCTGCCCACGCTTTTCAAAGCACTTATTGACACCATGCTAGAACAAGAGGAGACGCGATCGCGATGACGATCATAATGACCAACCTGCAGAGCCCCAGGCTGACCCTCTAGCCAACGCCACAACACTCTATGTCGGCAACCTGTATGTTTTCCTTACTGCAATGCTGATAATACCACACCAATCAATCACATAAGGCTGACTTTCATCTCACCAACAGATCCTTCTACACAACCGAAGAGCAGGTCTATGAACTTTTCGCAAAGTGCGGCGAGATCAAGCGCCTGGTCATGGGTCTCGACCGCTTCAACAAAACGCCTTGCGGTTTCTGCTTTGTTGAGTACTACACACACCAGGACGCCCTCGACTGTCTAAAGTACATTGGCGGCACCAAGCTTGACGAGCGCATCATCCGTACCGATCTGGATCCCGGCTTTGAAGAGGGACGTCAATATGGCCGTGGCAAATCTGGTGGTCAAGTTCGCGACGAGTACCGTGAGGACTTCGATGAGGGCAGAGGAGGTGTTGGCAGAGCGATACAAGCAGATGAGCGAGACGAGTACGCTGAGGGGAAGTAGTTGGGCAGTAGGGAAGCGGCGGTTGTCCCTAACGTGTGATTAGGGACTCGATACCCTTAGATTTTCAAACACATAGCATTCGATATTTGGGAAAATAGCTGCATTCCCTCTTCTATGTGCATATATGGTATTTCTTTCCTTGTTTTCTATCCCAATGTATACCACTGGTCTGCTCCTTCACCAACATCCGAGACTGTCTCCAAAGCCATTCGGTTTGTATCATATCGGAAAAAGTTGTCGTAACATTGCCTCTCAAGTTCGTAGTTGAAACATAGGTGTTGTACATAGATCCCAATGCGGATCTGCCTGCAATTCCCGCCATGGGATGAATACGCCGTTCTCCGATCGATCCTCAACTCTCGATTGTCCTGCTCCTCCAATTCTGTATAATCGCCTTTTTAGTAACCAGGAGGATTGATTCGTTGGGATACCCTTGTCCACTTGGGCAGCTCTGTGCAATTGTCAGTATTGTAATCCGGGCAATTGGGTGGTCTGAGCAGAGTGACATACTGTGAATGCCCTTGCGGTAACGCTTAGCTTTGCGGTCAAACATGGTGTATTTGTCCTTTGGAAGCATCTCCGCCTCGGTGGGCATCTCGGCCTTCCATCGCTCAAGAGCCTCGAGGGTCTGTCCCTTCTTGGCGAGAGCGGCATCAACGGTTGCTACAACATTGTCGACAGCTCGGAGGCGAAGTCGGTGGCGGCGTTTCTGGAATTTGGACAACCGCCAGGGTATCTTCCAAAGAAGACCACTTGAGAGAGGATTTGTGATGCGGAATGCGCCGAACATTGTCGAGTATCGTTGCGGGTTGGGGACACAACCAGAGGAGTGTTTTGGTGATTGTCGAATGAACGTCAACTTTTTCCCGGTAACTGGGCGCCTGTTGAGCCGCGCAGACGCTTAGCGCAGGAAAGCTGGTTGGCTGCATTGGCGGCGAAGCTTAGCGGAACATTGTGAGAGCCGGACACGGGCTATGGGCGGCGTCTCAGTGGGGAGTGTAGGTACTCCAGCAGGGGAGCTTTAGCTAGAGCAGTGCAGCATTCATTCATTCCGTTCATTATACGTAGGGCATGCGACAACATCGACGTGACGCCTCCAAAGCTTTGAACAAATCGCCTCTACTCAGCGAAACCAAAGGATATTGTTAGACCGCGGTCGATGCAGCACACGGCACCATGAGTTACTACTTCGCCATTGTCGGCACTCAGGACAACCCTCTATTCGAGCATGAGTTTGGCACCTCTAAACAGGGCGGTGACGGCCAGTCGCGCTTTAGTGATCAAGTCCGCCATTTGAACCAGTTCATCTTACATTCGAGTCTTGATATTGCAGAGGAGGTCCAGTGGTCACATGGACAGATGTGAGTTGTACCTACACATTCGAAGAGGGTGGTTTTGGAGCAGACAAGGGGTTGCACATGGCCGATTCAAAGAAAGATGGCACAACGCGACATAATACTAAACTCTGTTTCTTATACAGGTATCTCAAGTGTATTGACAAGTTCTTCAACAACTACATATCATGCTTCGTCACCGCCGGCAACGTCAAGTTTCTCCTGCTCCATCAACCCATCATCCCGACAGGCACATCATCACGGTCATCAACTGCCATCGGGGCTAATCCCACAAGCCCAGCTACTGAAGAAGCCATCAAAATGTTCTTTACGGAAGTTTATGAGAATTGGGTCAAGGCCATCATGAGTCCCTTCTATCGCGCCAACATGGAGGTGCGTAGCCCTATCTTCAGAACGAGGGTAGCGGCAGCGGGGAGGAAATACCTTTAAATGTTGACAGGAAAGTTACGCATCTTATGATACCATGTTTGCATCTCAATACAATAGACAGTAAATCTGATGTTCGCATCTTGATACGGGTGCCCAAGTGCTCTATTGTACTAGCGGTAAGGTGCAGGCAGACCATAAATCACAGGTGGAGAGCATATGCCTGGATGATGAAGTATTATCAAGTGATCAATGTTAAATGTGGTATTCATTTCGCAAGGTCGTCTTCCATGACGCCTATGGTAATATCATATCCGTTTCCCCAACGCCTTAGTCAAATACATCCATCCCAGTGTCTGTAAAAGGTGCAACTGTATAATCCTTCTCAAAAGCGAACCATCAAGCAAGGCAGAAAGTCGCTTAACCACCGAAACCGTAGAGGGTACGTCCCTGTCGCTTGAGAGCGTAGACGACATCGAGGGAGGTGACGGTCTTGCGCTTGGCGTGCTCAGTGTAGGTGACAGCGTCACGGATGACACCCTCAAGGAAGGTCTTGAGAACACCACGGGTCTCCTCGTAGATCACTAGGTAGATAGTTAGCATCTTCAGAATATGCAAATACACTGCTGTAGTAGACTTACTAGCAGAAATACGCTTGACACCGCCACGACGAGCGAGACGTCGGATAGCGGGCTTGGTGATACCCTGAATGTTGTCTCGCAAAATCTTTCGGTGACGCTTGGCACCACCCTTGCCGAGGCCCTTGCCGCCCTTGCCACCTGATATGAAGCGTTAGTATATGTTGACAAGCGAGGCTTATGGAGTTGAATGCAATTCATCAACGCGTCAGCATGATCATCACCGACGACCATGCATCGACACGAAGTGAGGCATCAAAAAATAAAAGGTACTTACGTCCAGTCATGATGATAGATAAAAGTGATAAAGTGTTGATGAAAAGAGATGAATGGGGCGCGTTATCGCGATGTTGTAGATGACGTTGAGACGCGTTGAAGATGCGGAGTGAGAAGAGTGGAAGGGGAAAGAAACGCTGCGGGGGGCGAGAAGGGGAGAAATAAATACGTGTAGGCAATCAGTAAAAAACAACAAGTGTAGGTGCCAAAAATCACTGCTGAATTGCGGGCAGGATCAGTGAAAAAATGGGCACCGAAATTCGCTGTAATTGAAGCGCTTTGCCGTTTTCGGATGCCCGCGTGAGAGCTGCTGTGGTTCGATTTTTTGATTGGCTGGTAACTCAGATCACTCCCGTCATGCCAGGTCCAGCTGTAGCCAGAATTTAGAGGTGGGGAGTGGGTCAGTTGTTTGAGGACGAAATGCCCAAGCCATGATAACTCTTTGGTTTAAAACTGCTCAAATGATATAGCATTTGAGCAACTTGGTGATCAGTTTGTTTGCCTTGCTTGTATGCAGATACATGTGATAGAGCAATTAGGACTTCGATATAAGTTTACATAGTGAGGGTGCGTAAGGCTCTTGTTGCATTAGTAGGTAGGTAGGTTGTTTTATCAACCCACCTGAATAGCCTCATCACGGCACACCAAGTCTACCAAAATGCGACTTCACTACAATAATGGGCTCAACCCTTTTACTCTGATTATCAGGGTATCTATCATCAACTCGCCGCATCTCTAAATGCCTATTCCCGTAATGTACAGGTACTACAACGCGTGGATGTATGCTGCTCATGCTACATATACACAAAGCGAAGTCGCTTTTTCCATTTGCACAGCACGCATGAGTCAGGCCGCTCAAGAAGCCTATTCATGCCAGAAAACGCCGATGCCATGCCCATGCTCTCGTAACAAAGTCAACTGTAGCGCCGACCGCCGGTCCTCATCCCATATATCCGACCCTCGCAATACGAATCAGTGCAATACGAATCATTGCCACCACATCCCATATACTTCATTATGCCGATCGTCCCAAAATCAAGGCTACCAAACGCAAGTGCAGACTCGTTAAAATCGCAATGTTCATTACAATCATCACATCATCGAGTCGTCCATCTCCACGTCGTCCTCGAAACTCTCAATTGCTTCTTTGATCTGTTGGCTTGCCTGTTTTATTGTCAGTATGAACGCCACGCAATTGTGAGAGGTTCCACTGGCTTACCTTGGGATCCAGGGCAAGGGCAATAGTAAAGTGACGCACTGAGAGCTGCTTTTCGCCCATGCTTCTATACAGTTTGCCGAGGAGGAAGTGAACTGTCGCCTCATCTGGCGCCAAATCCTTGAGTATCATCAACTCCTTTTGCGCCGCATCTAGTTGACCAACAGCAAGCAATGCTCTGGCCTTCTTGTATCGGGTTTGGGCTGCACGAGGTGCGAGGTCAACTGCTTTGCTATAAGCTTGCAGAGCAGGCATTATTTGCTTCTGCTTCTCTAGCACCGTTCCAATGCAAGTTATCAGCACTGCATTGTTGGGGTTGATGCTCTGGGCTGCATGGAAGTGCGTGTACGCCTTATCGTAAGCGCCGAGACGTTCCTGGACCCTTCCTATGCCGTAGTAGGCATTGTAGTGGCGCCGGTCGGCTGATATTGCTTGACGATATGCCGTGAGTGCCTTATCATATTCTTCGTTGGTAACGTGCTCATGTCCTTGCAGGGTGAAAGCATATGCGAATTTGGGGTCCAATTGAGTGGCTCGCTTGAAACACTTAAGTGCTTGTTCATGGTCGCGTGCCAATGACCAGGCATTGCCTAACGCACACCAAGCCTGCGGTGAAAGCCATGCAGAATCAACCAGCTCATGTGCGAGGAAAGACAGGTCTGTCTCCCGCCTTAGATGCCAGAGAACTGTAGAGTATACCTCCATATCCTCGAGTCGTGAGGGCGCTTGTACACGCATCTTCCGGAAGAACTTCTCAGCCTCAGCATATGAAGCCTGCTCAAAGTGAGCTCGACCCATCTGTGCCAAAACCCACGGTGTGTTTTGATGAGACATCGGAAGAGATTGAAAATGCTGAAGGCTCTCGGTGCATTGGAACTGGGATAATGAGTAGTATCCGTTTGCAAGCTTCTTGACGAGATCGAGCAGCCATCTAAGTCCTTCTTCGAGCCTTTGAGCATCAAGCTCCGATGTCTTGTGCACAGGCGGTGGAGGGGGGATCTCCTTGGCTTTTGGTAGCTCGCTGTGGTCTAAATCGGCTTGTGCTTCTTCGAGAGGTTTGCGATTACCACTAACCACGCGGCCAACACTAGAGCCACTTGATCCAGGTCGAACGATTCGAGAAATTGGGGGCCTAGCCTTCTTCAACTCCCTGACGGCCGAAGTTCCCATACCGGTCGCGCCTGAGTTTGCTTTGGACGATGGTCTAAACATGTTGAGTCTTGCACTACGTCGAGTTGTCGCTGGCTCTTCTGAGTTTGTCGTTCGCTGTGCTGGGTGTCCCGATACAGTCCGTTTTCTTTCCGCCGCTGGTATGGACGATCGCAACGATGCTGAGGGTGCGGCGTTAGACGCATCGGTCATCACATTTTCTGTTGATTGTTCTTGGTGCCCCTTGTCTTGCGCCCTTGTGCGTCGAGATCCTATGCGATAATTCATTCGTGGGGGTGCCTCCTGCGCCTGGTCGATAGCTTGGGCATGCCGTGTCCTTCGAGGTGGAGCCTGAGGAGGCTCATGAGAATGGCCGATGCGAGAGGATGTCGTAACCGAAGATATCGTACCTGGAGGTGTCTCCATGCCGTCGAAACCAGAGCTGCTGTTAGTCGATGTCGCATAGCGCATGCGTCCCTCTTGGATCTTCTGCATGAATTCGCTCTTATCGACTTCCTGGCCAGAGTCGCCGTTAGTAACCTCATGGGTGGTGGGGGAATGACTAGAGCTAAACGGATCGCTCGCAACATCCATTGTAGCATTTCGTTGCGACTTCTTCATAGGGATATCTGGAGCGATTGGTACAGATCCTTCTCTTGATATTGAAGGGCTTGTTTCCACATCGAAGCTATGGACTAGCGTATCGTTGGTTTTGAAAACGTTGGGTACACGGACGGTGACGCCGAGGTCGCAGAGAGCTGCGAAAGCGTCCCACATGAAAGGATTCAGCTGAAGAGCTTCTTCAAAACAAGCAACAGCCTTCTTCTTGTCGTCATATGCGCGATGGAGTCGTCCTAGAAGACAAAGAACTGCAGGCGCATCGGGAAGAGCGGTTCTAGTGGTTGCGCTGTGCTTCCCTAAGCTGCATTTCGATGCCCAGAGACTTCGGGCTTTCTCCAAGGCGGAGATGCCATCCTTATATCGCTCGAGAGCCAGACATGCTTGAGCAAAGACCCAAGCACATCCCAGATGAACGCCACGGTATCCTATAGGTTTGCCAACGTCGTAAGCTGAGCGAAAGTTACCGAGTCGCAAGTGGCATAGCGCATAGAGGTATGTAGACTCGCTGGACCGGGGATCCTGCGCCAGCAAACGTTCGGCGAAGAATAGGCCGTTGTGATAGGAGGCATTATCGAGATGATAGTATATCACTTGTCTTAGGAGGCCACTGGTGACCGTCGGAGTGGGCGCCATACTGAGTGTTGCTGTCCAGCGACAAGGCTTGAGAAGGATGTTTGGGGGTTCGGACGGTGATCGCGCTGACGGAGTTGCCTAACGACGTGTTCTTGCCATGAGACGATCGATGGATAAGATTAGAATAAAATGATTCAATGGGAATAGACCCGTCGGTTCGCGACCAACACAATGGTCTTCTTGACCAAACAGTTGTTTATTGTCGTGCTAAGCCGTTCGCGTGAGTGGCGGGGACCAGCCAAGTCGAAAGAAAACAAAGCAGCCGTGGGTCAGTCGCTGGGCGGTCGCAGTGGGTATCAGTGTCGTAAACAAATTAATGATTAATAAAACAACAAAGAGATGCAGAGCGCGAGCCAATTCTGTCGATTCAATGTAGCTTTTTTTATGTCGCAGCCTAGGAAAGGAGCAAGAGGCGAGTCGTTAAAGGCAAGCAAGTGTCGATGGGCTCGCAACCTTTGGTGAATGGGAACGGTGGGTCCTAACGAGCGAGCGAGAGAGCGAGAATTGTTGATGAAGACGGGACTGAAGGAAGCTCAAAAGTATAGAAGGGATGAAGAAAAAGAAGAAACTTCCCTGCTACCAGCTAATACGACTTCGATATGAGTTACTCATGGTATTAGACGGGTTGCAAACTCAGCCTGACCTTAGGGGATGCGGTAAGTAGTGGAAGGTGCAGTGAACGTTATGACCGTGCTTGCGTGAAACAGGCCTTGAATGTTTGGTGGTGACGGATTGGCCAAGCGCGCGGTACCTGCCTGGCGTGACTGAAATGATCTGATTGGCTCAGGGTTGCGCCTAGCAACCAGCCACCAAGTATATCTACCTGCATTCACTCATAAACCAGGCGTGATCTCAAGTACCGAGACCATTTTGTCTTGGTCCTTCCAGCCACTGAGATTTCGCAGTTGGTACTATCCATACCTGCAGACTGTCTCCTCTCAGCCAATTCGATGGTACGGTACCTAGGTATGAATAGCAGGTATCCGTACCTAGGTCAAAAGAAATTCTTTTGATGCCGATGCCTCTGAAGCAAGGTCTTTCTATGTCAGTTTGTTCATACCTTGGTTTCCTTTTTTTTCTTTTTTTAAGATTCTCAATTCATAGTGAGCGATCATCTCCACTACCAATGCATGCTGGTTAGACACATGGATACTTTGCTTTGTCCATAGCTCCTGGGCAAGAGCGAGTTATATGCTGTTCGCAAAACGTGCCGAGTCAAAGTCAATATGTCAGACAACACACAACAATATCATGATCTTCATAGTTTTGAATGGTAGAACACGAGGTTCCCAGAGATTCATTAATCATAACTGAGTATCTTATATCCACCACTCTTGCTGTGAGCAAGATCTTGATGTTCCCATCATTCCCTTCCTTCACAATGCCAGGACGAAGCCGAGCATCTCGACCACTGACTAGGACAGTGTCCACATTTAAGCAGCAATGGTGACCTCAACCTCAACACCGGCCTCGACTGTAACACGGTTAGACTCTGTTCCAATATTCTCAAACGGCGGGATCCCTTACTGTTGACGATGACGGACTTGACAACCTCGGTGGGGGCGTGGAGGTCGATAAGGCGCTTGTGGACGCGGAGCTCGTAGGAGTCCCAGGTCTTGGAACCCTCACCACAAGGGGTCTTGCGGGTGGTGATCTTGAGGTTCTTGGTGGGCAGACGGACGGGGCCCTTGATGGTGAGGCCCTTGCTGCGGGCACGCTCAATGAGCTCAGCGCTGACCTTCTCGAGAGACTGGACCTTTCGGCTGGTCAGGGTGATTCGGATACGGTGGCTCTTCTATTGGAGGGGTTAGCATCGTGCCAGAGGTTTAAATTCGCGGTGGTATCGACGTACGGGAGCATCACCGACGTCCTTCTCGTTCTTCTGGTGAGACATTGTGAGTGGCTGTCAAGACTCGGCAAAGGTGACTGCAACGGTAACGTGATGACGGCCTGGGAGGGATGAGGGATTGATTCCTTTGTTGAAGAAGTGTTTAGTTGACGATTAAGCCCCAATTAACAAAAAGTTGTGCGCTTATCGCTTATCGCTAATTCCCCCCACCTCAAGTCACGTGATGAGCTAGCCCAGACTGAAGTCCTGTAGTCCAATTCCAAAGCGTCAAGCGTACCAAGTGGCTGAAGCTAAAATGTAACAAAAGCTGCATCAAACAGAATATCTTGGGACGTGAATTCGGAAAGCATAGGCACCAATACTCAAATTTCTTTTCTCAGTGTCTAATGCTTCTCATTTCGTAGTCTTGTAAGCTGTAGCAGTGCAACCTGCAACCCAAGTCACCAGCCCAAGGGAGGCACAGAAAACTTAGGTCCTTTTTTCCTAGATGACAAAAAGACTCAAATAAGTTTAGTATAACTTAGTGAGCCTTTAGACTAGCTAATTTTGATATCTTAGTTCTAAGGTCAGAAGTTTTCTTACTCCCCGAGGGTGGCTACTAAGGTAATCAGTGGTGGAGTTGCAAGCGCTCCCCTGTCATCAGCATCGTCATTCCACTTCTTCAGTTAACACTTGAACTTCATCGACCTAATAACCGCGTGCTCTCAACTACCACCACCTCGCGGTTAGAATTGTATCGACTTGAGCGTATTCCTTAGTACTCATATACAATGGCTCAGAAAGCGAAAAAGGACCGCGCCAAGTCCAACGCGGCGGCACTTAACAACCTACACATCGGTTCTCTTGTCGTCAACGTCCTCTTCCTTCTCTCCCACTTCCTGTTCCGCGCTCGCTCCATCTGGCTCTACGTTCTCCTTTCGGCGCCTGCACTCATCTGCGAGTATATTCTCGAGGCTTCCGGTCGACCGAAGTACGACCCGACTACGCGCGCCCTGCGTATCGCTGGTGAAGATCTGTCCTCTCCTGGTTTGACCGAGTACATGTTCGACGTCATCTGGGTTACCTGGGCTGCAGTAATCCTCGTCATTATCTTTGGAAATAAAGCTTGGTTTCTGTGGCTTATTCTTCCGGCATATGGCGTGTACCTGGGAAGTGGGCTACTTGGCATGGGAAAGCAGAAGATGGCTGAGTTCCAGGGAGCTGGCGATGGTGCTGGTGTAGCTCCCCAAGGGAATCGCAGAGCGCGTCGGGCTGCTTAAATTGTCCAGCCGTTATCGGAAGGATTAGATTTTTCCAGGCATTTTAAGTCTACTGGCTGTCTAAGGGTTCTGTTTCGGACGTTCCCCCGTCCAGCGTTCAAGGGTATCATCGTCCACATTGCGGACTAGAACATGAACATGTTCTAAAGCGCGCACACTTTGAAGGGCGACCCAATTCTTGAACCACAACACTTGGCTCTCTCCATCGGGGCCCAGGGCATTGATAAATGTCTTTTCGATAAATGACTGGACCAAAGCTCTACTCTCGGGTGTCATATCACCGGTCTCGGGGTCCGTAGGGATGGTTGTGCGCAACCATACGACAATGTGTCTGATATTAGGTTCCAATCCATAAGGCCAGTCATTGATCAAGATGCGGTAGTCTGAGGGGTCCTCGAAAGGGACTGTAGATCTTGGTGTGAATGGCGGGCTTCCCCATTCCCGAGGCAGGCGGTTTACAAGAAGATAATTCGTCATGGAGCCATATTCTGCTTTTGTCTCCGCGGTCCATGCCATGTATCGGCGAAGGTCAGAGGGCTTGCGCTTCAGTACAGAGAGGTTGTTCGTCCCTGTCCAATGTCAATGACTGGGCTTAAAACAGAGCAGAAATGCCGACTAGAAGATTAATTAGAGCTGCTTACTGATAATTTCCTTTAACTCATCCCAATCGTGTTTGTGAAACTCTTCATCAGTCTGCGAGAGAACCCATCTGTCGACTGCCGTCAGAGGGAAGGGCGCTTCTTCTGGGGGATTCTCACCCATCTTGCAGCAGGTTGTTGGGGATATGGAGAGTCTGAAAGATTTCCTCTGCCGGCTAAGATGGGGGGTTGATATCGATGCTCTAGTGCGTGCGTTTGTTACTTGTACCGGTATTATCAGAGATATAGCGCTAAAAGTTATGCTCAGGGAAAAGATGGTTCTGAACTCACAGGCTTGTATGGCCATCGTGGTGCTCATGCGGTGAGAAGTTGGCCCCAGCAGGCTTATGTCAGCGACGACGAAGCAGCGAGCCATCATCTTCACATGAATGAGAAAAATATCATTATATAAGTGCTACCGTTGAGTAGATGCAATTGCTTAGAGATAGGTCTCGGTAAGTGTCATCACATGTAAAGAGTGTCGCCTCTTATCAACCGTTAAGAAGCTGCGCGAGCCCAGAGTTTCAAACCCAGACTATTGGACCAACGCCAGCCCCTCCATCATCGATCTCATCTCTTCTTCAACGCGTCAGGGACGTTTATGATCTGCTCAAACTGAACCAATTGGAGCCATAAAATCACACTTTATAGCCGATAGCACTTTCGATCGTCGTTGCCACTAACACATTCACTTAGAGGGAGAAACCTACCCGTAACTCCCTTTCACACCTCACGAAACGCCTCTGCCATCAAGAAAAGACTTCCCTGTCATGATCCTTGGTCCTATAAGCCTCGTTGACTGCGGAGTCTTTCTTATATTTCTTGCGCCTCAACTTATATGGCACGCTGGATTCTTTTTGACATTATTCACGGGTCTCAGGTCCTTACCGTTTCTCAGTTGGTTATCCCTCACTACATATCATGTCAGTCTAACTTATTTAACATAGTGATTCGACTTCCTTATGAGTTCATCACTGATCGTTACCTGACTCATTCAACTCGCCAACTTGCGTTTACTCAGACAGCTACTGTGTTTGAGGATCTTGTGATACGTTGTGTGCGCTATGCCTTCGCCAATATCCCCGCCAAGGTTGGGCGAGTCTTCTTCGGCAAACATGTTGCGTTACCATTTATTCACTGGCGCATGCTCCGTCATGGCTATATCAGATCTCCAGTCCACTATAGAGAATACAACATAGGAAAAGTTGGTTTTAACTACTCACTATGGCTGCTTTGAAACTGTGACTAACTGCAAGCAGGGAGATGTCCAAACAAAGGGCAGTTGGATTATGCATCAACCGGAACATCCTCCGGATTTCGTCCTTTACTATGCACACGGTATGTTCAGAACAATTACCAATCGTGTGTTCACATTGCTGATTATCACAAGGTGGCGGATTCTTGATGGGCTCAAGTTACTTTTACCTTGAATTCCTCATGGCCTGGCATCACCTCCTTGTTGAGGCTGGATTCAAAAACCCTGCAATATTTGCACTCGAGTACACATTGGTGCCTGATCAAGTTTACCCAAGGCAGGTCCTGGAGGCACTTGAAGGCTACAAGCATGTCCTTGAAGTCGTGCAAGACGCATCCAAGATCTGCGTTTCGGGAGATTCGGCTGGTGGCTCATTGGTTCTCAGCTTGTTGCTCGAGTTGGGCGCCCAGGCTGGCAATCAAGATAAGAAAGGCATCAAAGTCGACATCCGGGGCGTTCTCTCAGATGCGAATCCACCGCATCTGCCTCTCCCTCGTATGGCTACACTAATTTCACCGTGGATAACACTGATGTCCAACTTACACTACAGCTCGAAGAGTGATTTCCTGGACAAGCGAACATTGTGGAAATATGCAAATGAGTACGCAGGAGAGAACATGATCCAACAGCAACCGGCTTCCCCTGGTAACTGCGTCGATGAGAGGCTCTGGAGAGCAGCCAGTCCCGAACGAGGATACTTCATCATCTTTGGAGAAGAGGAAGTATTCGCGCCAGATATCGAAGAATTTCTCAAGCGGCAAGCCAAGATTGGGATTCAAGCTGAAGGGCAGAAATTCGACGGAGGAATACATGCGTGGCCGGTAGCCTCACTATTCCTATCCAGTACGGAGGAGAAGAGGCTGCAAGGACTTCGAACTGCTGTCAAGGAGATTAGAAGACGAATGCTTGAATGGGGTACACTGAATGAGGACAAAGTATAAAATCAGATTAGATCAAGTAAAAATTCATAGACGAGGCCTGTAGTTGGTGAATCAGGAACCATAGTACAAAACTCGGTTTCGTCCTCACCAGGCCTGCTCAGGGATTAAAGCTCAACGTGTATCATCACCAGGATGCAGAGGCAGAAGAGGATATGCAGGTAGAAAACAGTGGAACTCACCTGATAGAGAGAGATATATCTGCCTGCTGAAGTTCAAAGGTGACGTGTCCATAAGCCAGTAGATCAGTCACCGATGGGTGTTGTGGGTGCATCTCAACGATGGGAGCCTGAAGTGAGCGCCTAGGGCTGCCACAAGGCATCTAAGCCATGCCAGTCACTCTGGGATCTGAATCAGCGCTGCATTTCAGCACCCAGGAATGGGCTCCACCGGCGCGTAGGCGGCACATGCGGCTGATATTAGGCATATCTTGTAAAGCAGATAGTGTGAGCCATGTTTATGTTATGTTTGAGGCTGAACATGAAATGCCTGTGATGAGTCTCTGCTGAGGGACATGGCTAGCTCACAAGGAGACAACCAACATTACATCATGAGCTTCAAGATATGAATGAGCAAGTGAGTTGGAGAAAAGAGGAGTGAATAAGGTTACACGAAGCGCGTCTTGTCGACTAATAAGACTGCAGATGATAACTTACCCAAGAGTTGTGTCATTGATAAAACACGTAAAGCGTAAATGATATTGAATTACGGTGTGGGCCACACGTGGTAAGCACGTACGCATCCAGCTCGTTCCTGCCCTGAATGCATGGAAAGGTACCTCCCTAGGTGCATAACGTGGCGTGGGAAGGATCCCCCTGGATGGTTACCTTAGGTTCCTGTCGATTTGGAGGGATCAGCTTGAGACGCCGTCGTCTCTGATTTGAGGTTTGGGCGGAAGTCACTTTGTACCTACCTTAGGTAGAGAGCGAGTCCCCGCGTCCTGCGTCCAGTCGTGCATATAAACGCCCGGCATTCCCTCGTTTCCCCCGCCATTTGCCGCCGCCGTGTCGAAAACGATTGCCGACTAACTTCTGACGCTGACGTTAATAACGCCCCTAATAAACATTTGCGAAAGCGACTCATGGCCACAGTCTCAAGAAGCTTCACGTTACTCGCTTGTTTTTCAATCCTGGGGACCTAGGTTTATTTCACTATCCGTTGCACTCAAAGACTTACACCATCCTCATCTTGACTCTCTGAAACTCTCCCTGTCAACCAAGAACTCATCGGTCCACTCAAACAAGATAATCGATAATCTATCTACCTTTCAACGAAGTCGCCAGTTTCACATTACCTCCTGTTGGATCTCAACCCTTTTCGACTAAGGTACTCGGTCACTGACCTTCATTAAAGTACGTGAGGCTCAACACTTTCTGCCTTGTCGGCTTATACGCGCACCATTACTTTCCGAGCCTCATTTCACCCGCGCATTGTACAACCTCCAACAAGGGATTTTGTCGGGTGGCCATCTCAATAACAAGGGGTCTTACACACAGCCCCTGGCAACCCGCACCCCTCTTGCTGCACTGCAACCAACCGCTTCGATAGTTGAAAAGGTAGCTGTTTGTCTTCTTCTACTTGTCTACCAACCTCATCATTCTTATCCTACCAGCCTACATGTGGTGGCCATCCTGCATTATCCAGTTGTACTCCACCATCACGTCAATCAAATCATATCGTCATTCCCAACCCCAGTCCGAGATGGGAGCTCGAGCTTGCTGATTCGTGAGCTAAACCTCTTCTTCTTCTTACTCCCCCCTGTCTCCTTTGCGCACGCTTCTTATTAGCACCCGAACAAGTGTGAGCAGATCCGTCTTGTTGATTGGATTTGTTTGATATAAGAACACAACGTTCCTTCAGTTTAATCGCTTTGTTTCTCCCTGGACACCATATTACATGCATCATACTACTTGCTATTCTTGGATATCCACGCACCTTTGACTAACCAGCCATTCAAGCACAACAACTTGCACAAAGAAACAACTCGACTCATAAATCCAGATATTAAAATTTTATCTATCTTCGACATCCACAACTTGATTGCATTGTCTTTGGTCAAACAAAGTAACTTCTACAAACGTTCAGAGGCGCTACACCAAACTTATTCTGACACCCTTTCATCCTTCGTACTGGCTATTTTCAAATCACCCCACTGTTTCTTTCGACTGTACCGCCAAGCATTTACATTCTCCACAACACTATCAAAGACGGCCGAGTCGGATTTGCATTGCAACGGGTCTCTATTCGTTCACTGCTGGACAAAAACAATCTCATCCCGGCCGCTTCGGCGTGCAAGCCCCACCATAATCCTAATCATTCCGCTACAAGCACCGCAGACAAAAAAAAAAAAAAAAAAAAAACACATTTATTATGTCGACCGACGACAGCTATGCCCCAAAGTCTCCGGACCTCTCTTCTTTTTATTCAGGTGGCCCCACTCAGGAAGAGCTCCATCATCCACAACCCAACAGTCACTTTAGCCCGGGATACGAATATAAAGCAGAGTCCCCAACCTACACCAGATCTGCTTCCTTTTCTTCCTATGTTCCACCATCCCTAAACTTTAACAACAACAACAACGGCGGTACATCCGATTCTAAGTACCGGCCACAAGTCGACTACCAGCAAGCATCACAATTGAGATCTACAAAACCGGAATATCAATCTTACCGGTCGCGACATTCTTCAATCCAAGACCCCTACGTCTGTTATTCGCCAGACAAACGTCTGTCTCCTAATAACGGCTTTGAGGATACCTTTGCCCCTTCACATACACATCCACAACACCAAACTCCAGCGCGACCCGCGCCGTACTGCCAAGCCTACCCAGAACAGACTCCGCTTTCCAACGCGACTGCGTACGACACATCCTACGCCCCACCAGCGGGAACTGGTACAATAGAACGCGCTTCAACATTCGGTGCTATACCTTTTGCCACAGACATGCCTCCGCGCAAAGCTGCGCCGCCTGCGGCGCCCGCTATCGACCCATCCCCAGTCCGAACCAAATTTCCAACTGCCAGGATTAAACGAATTATGCAGGCTGATGAGGAAGTTGGAAAAGTTGCACAGCAGACCCCGATTGCTGTGGGCAAGGCTCTTGAGCTTTTTATGATTCAACTTGTCACAAAAAGCGCCGACGTGGCCAGGGAGAAGGGTTCCAAGAGAGTTACAGCACCGATGCTCAAACAGGTAGTCGAGACCGATGAGCAGTGGGATTTCCTTCGTGACATTGTCAGCCGCGTCGAGAACGAGAAGGAGGGTAGTAGATCAAAGGCCAAGCAGGATAGTTCAAGTGATGAGGAGATTGAAGAGCCCAAGAAGAGAACACGCGGCGGCAGAAGAAAGAAGGCGTCATGATGTGCTTTCAGTATGGGGTATTCTCTGTTGTCTTTGCAAGGTTTGGAATGCGTCATGAGGGATAATGATCAAATGGTAGGCGTTTGGGGGAACTCGTATCAAGCCGGAGTTTGGCGCATTGAAGACAATTCATCGCATGGCTTTTGGCATACTGGATATTTTAAACGTTTGCGCGCACTGGCGCGCTTGCGGGCTATTATAATATTGGTTGCTGGTGCTGCAAAGCATCTTGGCGAGTATATTAGCATAATTACACGGAAATCAAAGCGAAGGGACAGTGGCCAAAACTGTCACCTTGTTACTTACTGGCTACTACATTATGAGTTCTCCGTGTAGTTTGACTCTTGCTACCTGCCTCTTTGTAATTGTTATTGAACTATGTTGACGATCTAACAACGTGCCTCTTTATTTTTCAGGTCTGTGTAAGATACGATTAGAAGTGAGGTCTGAGACTATTGTGCAAAAACCGGGTGCTTTCCGTGTCTATCTCTCCATGATTTTGTTCCTCTACCGGTATCCTTCCTTGCGGCGTTAGCTGGGTCCGTGTTGATTCTTTTTCAACTTGAATCACAGCACAGGAGCAACGCTTCCTCCACGTTATAATCCATGGTCTACACATATATAATCAAGGAGATGAAATCAGCTGCCCCCTAACTCAATAAATTTTGAGGTATATAATAAGAAGAAATTTGAAAATAGAGGACCACTCTGTATTATCTTCAACCCAGACCGTATTGTTGACTTGATAGAAGCAAATAACTGAAGTCCAGACTGAGTATTATATTGCCGACGCGCCTACCCTAGAGCTTAGTAAATACCATTGACCACTGACGTAGGTGGAACTGACGTCAACATACCTCGTATTGAAATATGGCAATATCTAATATGAGATGGGAACTGAGTTACAGAGGTCGACAATTGACACAGAGCCTCATGACGGAGTATATCACAACTAGGTCTCCAGGCTCGGGCATGGGTTAATGAGTCGTTCTCAATGGGAAAATATGGAGAAGGAGGATGGCACTCCGAGTTGCTCAAAAGGGTCCATGCCCGGACTTGGACCATCCAGAGGTTAAGCTTTTGGTGTCAAGTTTGGTGTGCCTCTCCAATGAACTGTCCTGTGGTTGAAACATCAGCGCGGGATTATAAAGCAGATCAACAACTACAGAATCTGTCATCCTTTTCAAGATTGTATCAGGAGTGGCTCCAGAGTATTACAAAAATTAAGAATACCTCAAATTGCAACCCCTGGACCTCCCGCTCATAGGTACTCAGGGGTTCAATGAGCTTTCTCATTGGGCTATCGGAACGTTTGCATTTACTTCTCTGAGGTGAGAGCTCCTTAGCTTCCAATGCCAAGACCTGAGCTGTCCGCTCCGGCTCCCTAACATTATCCACTAATATCCGCAACCACTGCTGTAAATCTTCTGAAGAACAACCCATCCTCCACTGACTTGGGCTTGACGGTTTCGTCAACCTCGAACATCAACCAACTTGAAACCGTCGTCACTCTTGCAAATGGACCCTTGATTCCCTCTCCCTGCTGTCACGCCCGCTCTCCTGCCACGATATCCTGTATTCCTTCCTTCATTTTTATCTCAAACCCTAGATGACGAACCGCCAGCTGTCCCTTACAGGCGCTCGCTCCCCCGCGTGAACCAAAACCAAATGTCGTGGGACTTGCTTCAGAGGTTCCTCGAGTCCGACGTCTTCAACTCCAACCCCTTTCTCCCCGTCTCATACCTCTCGTGAGTCCCCTACAAACCCCCGCACATCCTACAGAAGCCGTCGATACTGGCCGCCATACACATTCATTATACCTCTTCATTCTCGCTTCTTCCGCCCGCTCCGACGTCGCCAATCGCTAATGCCACCTGTCGCGACAGCCGATACGCCGACCACGTGGGGATTCACTATGTTCTCTGCCAGAAGCTCCGCCAGTTTCCCTACGAGGATATTGAGTTCTTTCTACCGCAGTTATGTCACCTCATAATCAGCGTGCATAATGAGTCAATGGCTTTGGAGGAGTTTTTGTTGGACTTGTGCGAAGAATCCGTCACAGCTGCGCTGCTGGTACGTTTGATGATGATATTCAACCCACCCACAACCCTTTGAAGGATGGAATGCGCGAGCCACCGCGTCATGGGAATGTTGATCGACTGGGATACGGCAAAAAAGAAAACTGACAATTGCGTGCGCAGACCTTCTGGCTCTTTCAAACATACCTTCATGATCTCTCCTCGAATCCGCAATCCGACTCGTTTCAGACATGTCGCCGTGTCTACAATAAAGTTCAGCACATTGTGTTTGGACTTGCTGATACCGCTCGTCATGAGAAGATTACGGAAAACGTCCTCCCAGTCACGGTACTTTCTAGCTTTGTCCTTGCTAGTATTGCGCTGCCTATGTTCCCCCAATGGGCTGGCCCTCTCGCTGTCGCCCAAGCCCGCAAGCCTCAGCCCATCACCAATGAAACGCAGGAACCGAAGGAGAATCCTAAGCCCACGAGGGCTCGCACAGTTACCGTCGGAAACTCGCGATCGCGGCGTGTTCGAGATAATGGACGGACCTTCAGTGCGCCAGATCCTAAAGGGTCGAGAGACTCTTCGCCCAAGCCCGCGCGCAGTCCTCGACCGCCTTCGGTGATTATTCCGCCGCAAAGATCTAAGACACCAATTGGCACGACTCGACCGTCCGCTCTTGAGTTGAGATCACTGGAAGCTAAGCTTAGCACGTCATCTCTTCCACTACCATCTGCTCAACCTACAACCAGACCGACGACTCCAAACTCAGCAGGTAATGCGCAGCGCCCGGTCGATAACGCAACCCGACGGCATTCGCACCATGCAAAAGCAGTCCTTACTGTCAGTGACATGTCGCCAGTGCAAAAGACGAGACTTTTGAGACAGCATTATTTCAGGTCACAAACACAATTCTTGACGGCCTTGGAAGGCATCTCGAACCGATTAGTGTTGGTCCCTAAGCCTGCTCGAATGAGCGCATTGCGAGCAGAATTGGCTTTAATATCACAGGATCTACCTGCCGAGATTGATATTCCGGTCATTTGCCCCCCAACTCTGGTTAACGGATCGCCTGGGAAGAGCCGACATCACCGTATCGTTCGTGTGAACCCTGCCGAAGCGACAGTACTTAATAGTGCCGAGAAGGTTCCTTATCTGATCATGGTAGAGGTATTGAGGGATGATTTCTCTTTCGACCCTGACGCGCCTGAAAATGACCGACTTCTCAATAGCTTACTAGGAGGCAGCGCTCGCGCAAAGCGTATATTCGATCTTTCAGACTCTCCTCGCCTCTCCCCCACGGTAAAGGTGCCAGAGCCCATCTTAGACAGTGTCTTTGAACCTGCCTCCGGCGATCTGGGAAGCTCGCCACTTTTGAAGGGTATTGATGAGTCGCCAGTTAGAGTCTCTTCGAGGCCAGCACAGAACCATACTGCTCAGCGTCTGCCAAGCGGAGCTACAACATCGACCTCGACATTGGATTTGACAACGCCGCGGTCATCGGGCACAGGGACCTCACGGTCCAATAGTCCAGGACCTGTCTCACGAAGAATGACCATGCCTATTCAGCGAAGCGCACCAGCTGACCAGCCTGACTTCGGTGCCTTGGCCACACACATGCGAACTGCTTCTCAGATGCTTGCACAGTTGGAAGCCACCAGCGGAAAGCGTCCGAAGCAGGAAGTGGCTGCCATTAGAGCTAAGATCATAGCCAGCATGCAGAGTCTTGAGGAGAAGAGTTTCGATGTCGACGAGCAAGGTCCAACCTTTGACACAATTATCGCCAAAGCCAGCACAACGCCGATTCCCGTACACAACCCTGACTTGGAGGAAGACGTACAGATCGACCCGAACCTGAACGCTAGTGCAGGACGTGAGCGGATGGAGAACGATATCAAAACTGGTGGTGTCCAACGGCGTGGAGATCGCGATGACCCTAGTGCGGCCGTCTTTGGTGAGGCTTGGGAAGCTAAGAAGGAACGAATTCGCAAGTCATCGCCTTATGGTTGGATGAAGAATTGGGACCTGGTTAGTGTCATCGTCAAGACAGGAGCTGATCTTCGACAAGAGGCATTTGCCTGCCAGCTCATCGATGTGTGTCATAAAATTTGGGTTGATGCTGGCACTGATGTCTGGGTCAAACGTATGCGAATCCTAGTAACGGGAGAGTCTTCGGGCCTGATCGAAACCATCACAAGTGGCGTATCTCTCCACTCGCTGAAGCGAAGTCTAACGTTGGCCTCCGTTGAGTCTGGCCAGAACCCTCGTAACCGCATTGCGACACTGAGAGACCATTTTCTCAAAGCTTTTGGCAAGCCTGACAGCAAAGAGTTCCAGGCTGGCGTTGATGCATTCAAGAAGTCACTTGCAGCATACAGTATCATCTCTTACGTTCTCCAACTCAAGGACAGACATAACGGCAATGTCTTGGTGGACAGTGAGGGCCACATTATCCATATCGACTTTGGCTTTATGCTTTCCAATTCGCCTGGCTCAGTTGGGTTTGAGGCGGCGCCGTTCAAACTGACGCATGAGTATGTCGATGTTTTAGGTGGACCTCTTTCTCCTGATTTTGAAGACTACAAGAGACTTTGCAAGCAAGCATTTCAAGGCAAGTTACACCAAAAATACGATGTTAGAATTGTGCTAATATCGTGTTAAGCTTTGCGTCGCTCGGCAGACAACATTATTGACCTGGTAGCGATGATGGGACATGACTCCAAGATGCCTTGCTTTGCAGTCGGCATTGCTCAAGTTACAAATACCCTTCGACAGAGGTTTCAGCTTCATCTGAGCGCCGAAGAAGCGGAACACTTTGTTGATGATCTCGTTGCTAAATCATTTGGTAGTTACTACACTCGACTGTAAGTCAAACTCGCTCTGGGTTTTCAAATATCGTGTATTGACTTGTCTCAGCTATGACACATTCCAATATCGTACGCAGGGTATTTACTAGACAAGTTCAACACAGAAAAGACTTGTCAGGCAGGGAGTAGTTGATTTCAATGCATAAGAGAAAAAATAAAAAATCAAGAGCTAGGAGTAGCATTGGGATAATTCGGGGGCATAGGAGATGGCGTTGCGGATGATAGACATGGCTGAATAGCCGAATCACTTACTGATGCGAGTTTTATATGACAACTGATGAATTGTACATGTTGAGGAGGATAAGAAGTGGTGTAGGTTTTTCATTTGGGATTAGAAGGGTTGTAGAATAAGGGGATGAATGAATACTTGAAGACCCTTAAGGCAGTGCCGACACACCCAACCAAGCATATTTCTATAATGCCCAAGTGACAACCCAAGTGACAACTATGTTGATGACTGCCTTGCTTGCTTTTATGCAATATAGACAAGGTAGATTTAATACGTAACTCATGGGAAGACTTATCACTACCTGACCTCACTTGAGCCGCTGACTTTATATAATGACTTCAAGAGCGCCTTTTCATTTCAAGACAGGATCATAATATACACCTTGCGATACCTGCAAAACTGTCAAGCAAGACCCTGCTATCTCTAACATGCAAACCTATTTTGAAGTCTCTTGCCCCATGGTCCTCGCTTCCCGTCGTCCAGCTGAACCCAAGCTGGCATCCCGATGAAAACTCGTGTAAGTGTTTGTGATTTTAATGCAACACCCCTCTCCCTTCTTTTTTTAGTTACTCGTACATGAATGATTTAATTCCGTATAATGCATCAACCGCCAACACCTGATAGTGAAGAAAAAAAGGGGAAATCTTGCCTCCGCCTTGTAAAGCTTGAAGATTAGGATAGAACGAGAAATGATCAGAACATGCCTTTCATTGTCTTATAGACTTGGTGGCACGTTTCTTCGAGGACCGTTTGAGTTTCTAACCCCATCGATCACCCTCCCTTTCTGCCTCGAGTCTTCGCATCCTCTCCTCTTCGTCATCACCGTTGATAGCTTCGCTTCGGCGCGATGCAGCGGCAGATGTTGAGGATCCCGTCCGACGACCTTTGCGCGAGCCCGTATCGTCGCCGTCATCGCCCCGGTTGCGCTTCCAACCCGCCATACCTGCGATACGTTGCGCTTCTTTAAGCAAACGCTCGCGATCACGGGCCTCACGCTCAAGCGTGTGAGGGTCTTTGCCTGAGTTGTCAGGGCGACTCGAAGAGCTGTTTTTCAATTTCGTGTCGTGACCGCGAGGACCAGAGGTAGGCTTGAAGTCTCCAGCATCCGTTGACTGGCGTCTGCTGCTATATCTCGAACCTCGATCGCGATCGCGATCTCGTTGTCTGTCTCGGTCTCTGCCACTTTCTCTATCTTTGTCCTTCTCCCTGTCTCGGTCTCGGTCGCGGTCACGATCACGTCGGTCCCTATCCCGATTTCGATCTTTGCGATCCTTATCTTTCCGGTCTTTGTCACTGCGATCTCTGTCCTTTTCCCGACGTCGCTCGCGATCGTAGTCTCTATCCCGGTGCGAGGAGCGGTGGCTGGACTTTTTGCGATCATCATCTTTGTCCTTTTCTCGATCCCTCCGCTTGTCCGAGTCTCTATCTCGACGGCTGCGGTGGCTGGATCTTTTGGATTCAGCTGGTGATGCGGAACGGTTTCGGTCAGTATATTTTTCATCCTTATCCTTGTCCTTGGAACGTGAAGACTCTTCATCATCGTGGTAGTGACGCCGGCTTCTATGCTTCTTGCGTCGCGAATCGTCATCATAGCCATCGTCCTCAACAGACTCTGAGCGGTGACGCCTACGTCGACGGGAGCTTCGATGTCCCCTGCTGCGACTACGACTCCTGCTGACGGTTCGAGATGCTGATCCTGTTTGGTCTTGGTCTCGGTCGCGTTTGTCGTGATCGTGAGGTCGCTCTTTGCTCTGCTCGTGACGAGACTCGCGATCCTTGTCCTTTTCACGAGCGTCAGCACGGCTTGGAGCTGGAGAACTACTCCTAGACCGGGTTCGGCCCCGCTCTGCCGGGCTATCTCTCGCTCCAGTAGGCTTAGAGGGAGGGACTTCACTTCCCACCTGGTAACCGCGTGCTCGAAGATGATGAAGACTTGTGTTAGGGAGCCCCTGTCTCATAGCTTTGGGCCCAGTAGGCGCATTCAAAGGAACATCAGGGGCTGCAACTGGACGAACAGCACCGGAAACATTACCCTGAGCAAGGTCTGCGTTTCCAAGTCCCATATTACGTGTTGTAGAGGAAGCATCACCGGTAGTGGCATCCGCATTGCCTATGGCCTCACTGGATCCATCAGCTTGTCCGGCATTGGCAGCCCCTTCAGTGCTATCGCCCTGAATAGGTTGACCGCTTTCATCAACTTGCTGCAGAGCATCACCCTGATCGACACTGTTCTGGCCATTCTGACCAGGTCCAACTTGCGAGAATTGACCTTGGGTCTGATCCTGGTAGTTTGCGTTGCCTCCGAACTGGTAACCTCCACGGCCATATCCTCCGTAGTAACCACGGCCACGGCCCCGACCACGTCCGAAAGTGTTGCGGCGATAGTCATTGAATTGACCATAATTACCTTGATTGAATCCTGTCTGGAATCCTGAGTTAAAGCCTCCAAAGTCACCAGTTCCCATGCCAGGACCATTTTGATTGAAATTATTCTGGTCGAAATTCCACGACTGTGAACCGTTCCAGTTATTATTGGAGCCTTGGCCAAATCCACCTCCAAAGCCACCCATGCCGTTCATGCCCATGCCTTGAAAGCCACCGTTCATGTACATGTTCTGCATCGTCATTGGGTCCATGCCCATGCCCATGCCCGGCATACCTATAGACATGTTAGTGTTACTACCACGTAGGGACTTAGCCATTTTACAACTCACCCATCATGGGAAAGCCACCGAAAGAGTTCGGCGCCATACCGTTCTGCATAGCCATCATCATTTGCATCTGATTGAAATCACCAGAGCCAGAAAATGCGCCATTGGGAAAATTGCCGTTCATTGACTCGGAATCGGGCCTCTCTTGATCTTCGTCGTTTTCGTCGTCCATTTGTTGTTCGTTTTCTTCGCCATTTTGAATCACAAGAGTCTGCTCATCAGAGTGTTCGATGGGTGCTTCCTCTGTGCTGCCCTCGACAGGCGCGCTCTGAGCGTCACCTGCCTCGACTTGCCGAGGACTCTCAGTAGCAGGAGTGTCATCAAGATGAGTAATATTCTCCTGGAAAAATGTCAGTGGAAGGTCCTTATAAGAATCGGAGGTTCAAGTACCTGGTCTACGCGTGGAGGATTAGCGCCTTCATTAACTCTGTCGGCGCTATCAACCTGTCCTGATGGTGCGTTGACCCCTGAATTCTGTTCTATGGGTGTCTCGACTACAGATGTTTCGGTTGTAGGGAGAGTCTGTTTAGGCGCCTCGACTGGCGTCGCTGGTTCTGAATCTTTGTCTTCCTTCGGCCGGCTTGCCTCGCGCTTCTTCTCCGCAGTGCGCAGGAAGACTCTGATTGTGGTTCTCAAAGATTTGTTGGGATTGCAATCCTCGGCGGACAAGGGTGAGTGTTCGCAAACAGGGCACGACGCGGGCAGATTGGATTGACCTTGACGCAGTGTTAGCACGAGCATATAGTGGGCTATCTTGTAAGGACCAGTCGCGTACATGATTCGCATATTGCCTGTTCGCAACAAGGAAGACGGTAGGCGTTGACCGCGAGCTTACTACAGATCGCGCATCGCAACTTGATTGGGATATCGTCGGGCGCAAGGGACCTGCAGAGAGGGCATTAGCTTGCGCGTTGGCGCGGTCTTTCAGGCTGTGTAACATACCGAATCAGCTCCGCCTGAGCTTCCGTGATTGTTGATGCCATTGCGAGATGTTGCTGATCCGTTACGAAGCAGCCCCAAAACCAAGGACAGAGCCTAATATAGCAGAAGAAGCGTCATGGGAAGGTTGTGTGTTGTAAGAAATGATGAGAGAAAGAGGAGGAGAAGGATATGCTCAGGCAGATATGCAGCAAGGCCGATCTTTTTCAATGTTTCTGGTGCAACAGAATCACAGTCACTGTGATCGATTGGCGCGACGTTAAGAAATTAGTGAGTTAAGTACTTATGCAGTAATTCAACTCGGTCGAAGAACAGTGAAGAAAAGAAAATGATTAGTATAAAGAGAGAAGCCAAGCCTGTTTGCTTTCTGACGCAAAGGCCAACGGCAACTGGCTGCTCAAGGGCTGTGATGAGGTTCAAAATCGTGGAAAAAAGAGTGGGTCATACCTTAGGCACACGCCAAACCCAACAGGTAGAGGCGGCAGGATCCGAGAGTCATCACGTGAGCGAAAAGAGTGTTATCGTACCTCAAATACCTCCGTCCATAGTAGTAAGAAATGAAGAAGGACTAAATGTTCATGAATATCAAACGAGGAAGACTGAACTTAGTGAACTAGTGTGCAAAGACCGAGTCATAGAGAATGTCTTGATTGCGGCTTGGTTGAGTAATTCTCGCAATTCGTATCGAGGTGCGAGGTGAGCTGAAATAATTGATAACAGAGCACTCAGATATAGGCTTGACTCCAAAGTGTAAATCCATAATATTCAGAGGCTGAGTTTGTAGAGAACTTATACAAATAAGAAAAAAAAAACGATCAATGAGTCACTGCTTGGATTAGGCTAGCGACTGATATTGCTAGAGTACACAAGAGATAAGGTACACAGGTAGTTCCCGATAACAAAGTAACTCTTTCCCAATCCCTATTGGAAATCGTATATGCTCAGTCGATCAGTTTTGTTATTACGAAAGAGGTAGACATGACCACTAATTGCCCATTCATGCCGCGACAAAACTCAGCTAGGTAGTAACAGAAAAAGAAAAGAAAACCGCAGAATCAACTCCCATGCTCTCCTCAGCATCAGTCCCAAGCAAACGGCTCGCAGGAAAAGGGCAGCATAACGTGCAATACAAAATCAATTGTTGTCTGCACCTCCAACTTCATCCTCTCACCCTCATCGACGTATAAACAACTTAATTCCGACTAGCAAGCACAGCTGTCCTTAGCACCAACATCCTTAGGACCACCGAGATTCACTCGTTGCTCCTCGCCTGCCCGGCTGGTAGCATTTGATGCGCCAGCTCCTCTGGCACTCTTCAATGACGTCTCGGGTATGGCGTTTGCGATGGCAGTGAAAACCTCAGTAACGTTATGTCCGCTCTTGGCACTGGTCTCAAAGAATAGTAATCCCTCCTCTTCCGCGTATGCCTGGGCCTCTTCTGTTGGAACCTTACGTGCGTCGCCAGAGTCGTCCCCTTCCTCACCATCTTCACCATCAGCAGCGCCAGAGTCACCCGTAAGATCCAGTTTGTTGCCAACCAGTGCGATAACGATGCCGGGAGATGCTTGCCGCTGCAACTCAGCAACCCAGTGCTTAGCCTTGATCAGAGAAGTAGGCTTGGTGAGATCGTAAACGACGAGGGCGGCCTGAGCATTTCGATAGTACATGGGAGCCAGTGAGGCGAAGCGCTCCTGGCCGGCGGTATCCCAAATCTCAAATTTGATTGTCCTTGTGGGAAGATTGCATTTTTGGGTCAAGAAGGCGGCTGTTGACGCAAATGTTAGCGACGTAACCGAAGGACTGAGGAGGCACAAGATACATACCACCAATAGTGGGCTCCTTGTTTTCTTGGAAGTCGTTGTTAACGAAGCGCAAAACGAGAGACGACTATTAGCTCAATTAGTATGCTGGGAGATGGTTTCGCAACAGATGGTTGTCTCAAGCGCACCTTTCCGACGGCGGCTTCACCGAGAAGCACCAGCTTGACGCTGCTGCTGGGCTTGGGAGCGTTGGCAGAGTCGGCCATGATCGCGGGATCCCTCGGAGATGAGGTCAAGTTGGATGAAGTAGTCTCTTTCTGGTTGAGACAAGTCGGAAGATCGATATTGTCGCCAAAAGTGGACACGTAGCGTAAACGGAGAGTTATTAAAGACAGAAGGAATATCGGAAGTTTAATGGTCTTGATGAAAGTTGCCTGGGGCAGAGGAAGTAAAGACGCGACGTCAGTAAGTAAGGTAGAGTTACCGTAAGGTAGTGGAGGTCAGTCCAATGGAGTGTACCTAAGTAGGCGAAGGGCCCAGTTCCAGGCGCTTTTCTAGAGGCTTTTAGTGGCCGGGGTTGGTCAGTTCACTTGCTTGATGACGAAGCCACATGCAGCCGCTGCCAGCGATCAAGGCTGCTAAGAAAAAAGTGGCCCTTTATTGGTTGATTTTAAAGCAGCTGCACACCCTTCGGTTTAATATTTCACCATATTCCGACTCCCCGCCAAATTTTCAAAGCGGCAGAAAAAAAAAAAGTTGGGACAAGCGCATGGAAGCTCTAATTGGGTCTTATTGATGAAGATAGCTTTCGCTTGTTACTGTCTTTTCTTACAACCACTCCCTCAACGCATGCCAATTGCTTCTTTAATTAATCACTTGCTTCCAAGAACCATCTCCATCATGGGGAAGCCCAACGAGGATCCCGAAAACACCAAGCGCACCCTGCTCGATGATAGCGACTCCGAATCAGACGATGGAGGGGCCGCTATTGCCACGACAGGCTTCAAGGTGAACGAAGACTTTGCCCGTCGTTTCGAGCACAACAAGAAACGAGAAGAGAGACAAAGACTAGAAGAGAAGTTCAAGAATACAGGAAAACAGCCAGACAATGACGACGACGGCGAGTCGTCCTCGTCTGACGAGGAGGAAGATGAAGATGGTTTTCTTGCTACAGAAGATCTCGATGCCCAGATCTCTGCCACTCTCCAAGCCATTCGCAACAAGGACCCCAAGGTCTACGATAAGGAAGTGACATTCTACAAGCCTGATGATCCCGCCGCTACAGCCACCGAGAAGGAAAAGAAGGAAAAGCCAGTCTACTTGAAGGATTACCATCGAGAAAAGTACATGCGAGGTGACACTGGTGCCGAAGATGCAGATGAGGATGTTCCCATGACCTACAACCAGGAGCAAGATGTTCTCAAGAATTCAATCGTGGCTGAGATGCACGCTGCCGCCAATGAAGACTCTGACGATGAGGATGGTGGTTTCATGAAGCGAAAGGAGCCAGAGAAGGCGGACTCAAACGGCTTACACCCCTCGCGGAAAGTAGCCATGGCCATCACCGAGGTTGATGTTGCTAACGCCGATAAGAACCCTGAGACTTTCTTATCAAATTTCATGAGCGCGCGTGCTTGGGTTCCACCAGATGGTTCGAACTGGAAAGCATTCGAGTCGGATGATGGAGAGGATGATGATGATCGCGCCGACCAATTCGAGCAGGCTTACAACTTACGATTCGAGGACCCAGAGCGGAGCAACGAATTCCTTCGATCATATGCTCGTGATGTTGCCGCAGCCAAGTCAGTCAGGCGCGAGGAGAAGACCGGTCGCAAGCGTCAGCGTGAGCTCGAACGTGAGCGTAAGGAGGCTGAGAAGAAGGAGAGGCGTGAGGAGAAGGCTCGTCTAAAGAAGCTCAAGCTTGATGAAGCCCAGGAAAAGCTGCGCAAGATCAAGCGCACAGCTGGCAACGCGGGCAAGGATCTCACCGATGAGGACTGGATCAAGTTCCTCGACGACGCGTGGGAGGACGACAAGTGGGAAGAGGAGATGAGGAGGCGATTTGGTGACGATTACTATGCTCAACAAGACGATGCTGTCGCATCAGATGAGGAGGAACAAGACGGTGAAAAGAAGAAGTCCAAGCATCCCAAGAAGCCAAAATGGGATGATGATATCGACATCAAGGATATCATTCCAGACTTCGAGGACGATGAAGAGAAGCCGAAGATCAGCCTAAGTGATGTCGAAGACGACGCCCAGGAGGAGGATGATGATGATGAGGATGAGGACGGTCGACCCTCCAAGAAGCGCAAGACAGACCACAAGAAGGCCCGCAAGGAGTCCCAGAAGCAAGCTCGTCAGGAGCGTGCTAAGCTTGAGGCTCTCGTAGACTCCAAACTTGAGCTTACCGACCATGCCATCTTCAAGCAATCATCTCATGCTCCTTTCCGCTACCGCGAGACCTCCCCTCAATCTTTTGGAATGACCGCGCGCGATATTCTTCTCGCTCCCTCCGACGCTGCTCTCAACGACTATGCTGGCCTCAAGAAGCTTGCCACCTTCCGCGATCAGGAGAAGAAGCGCAAGGACAAGAAGCGTCTCGGTAAGAAGGCTCGTCTACGCCAGTGGCGTCGCGAGATCTTTGGAAAGGAATATGAGCGCGACGGTCCTACATATGGCTTCGAGCGCTTGATCTCTGCCGATGAGGAGGCTGGTGGCACCGTGATTGAGCCCGCGAGCGACAAGAAGAAGAAGCACAAGAAGGAAGATGGCGAGGAGGATAACGTCGTAGGCGATGTTGGTGAGAGGAAGAAGCAGCGAAAGAGGTCCAAGAGCAAAAAGAATGCTACCACCACTACAGCGGAGGAATAGAAGGGGGTGTTGGGGGGATCAATCAAGATACCACTGCGATAGCATAGTAAAAAACCAGGCGTTCCATGTTGTATATCTAGGTAGTTAGGCTTTTTTTATTAAGTAGAAGTGTTAGGGCCATCTCATCACAAAAGCAAGATGCATTCATTTCAACAATAGTTTTAGAAACTTTGATTTCTTAACGAATTATCTTATCTCTTGGCAAACGAATGTCAACTCATCTCTAAATGAGCATGACGGGTATGATGGTATCTCAAGTATAAAACACAATTTTCCTTCCCCCATGGTTAGATGACATGCCCGACAATGTTCGCCATACAAACTTCAATATGCCTCTTCGCCAATGCCCAACCAAATCCAGCCTTATCTCTGGTGCAGATTCCCATGCGGAAAGTATAAAGAACAAAAAAGAATATAAGACATCACTCTAAGGCTCGTAGCCCATTTCAGGTTAAAATCCTGGCTGACATTGTCCTTTGGCCACACTGCCCACGTCAATATCGGGGCCCAGTGAATTTGTGTGGCCGCGAAGACCTCCGGGAATATGGTGTTACCCAGGCTAACCACTCCGACAGTCCCTCCTAAGGACCCTGTTGCTGTAGCCCACCCAGTGCATTCGGCGTTGCCAAACCACTACCCCCTCCCCCAAACACTCCCGTAAATGGGTCAATTCCACCCATGTTGAAGCCGGGATCTTGGCCCATTTCTGGAGGCTCCATGTTGAATGGCATGAACCATGCGGACGAAGCTTCCGGTCCACTAAGTCCTGCTCCATCAGCCATACCGGCTGCTTGCCCATTCATGCCCGCCTTAGCAGTAGACCGCCGGCCTTGTAAGCCTCCATCTGGATGGGCTCCTGAAGCAACAGCGTCCCAGTCAAGACCACTCATTATATCCTGACCACCACCCAAACCTGTAGTCGCGTCCAAAGAGTATCCCCCAAAAACAAGCTGACGATCAAGCGGGTCAATGTTCCCATTGGCGCCCTGTCCAAAGTTCATGGCTAGCAACTCAGGAGGGAAGAATGTGGGAGTGTGAGCATGATGGGAGAATGCCGTCATGTTGGCCGGACTCATAGGTGACATAGCTGTGCTGAAAGCTGGGTTCTGGGGGGTTGATACTGCGAGAGGGTTGAAGCCACCGTTGGATGGCAGCCCCAGCCCACCCGAAAACCTACGTTCTTGAGCCCCAGAGACCGAGTCTGCGTCTGTCCCTTGTATAGATTCGAGATGCTGGCCGGACTGTGTCGGCAAGCCAGCTTGTTTCTTGGCGCTCTGCTTCCTTTTAGGTCCCGCGGCGCGAATGGTATCCTTATGTTCGACACTCTGTGGTGTTGGAAGCGTGGAGAAGTATTCTTCCACCGATTGTAGCTCGGGCTTCGCTTCGAGAACGCCATCTGCTCCTGAGTCCTTCCGTTTGTGGGTGGCAGGGTCCATGAATTCGGCATCAGAGAGACCATGCGGGTACCGATTAAACCAGTCTCCGTATTGAAGAAAAGACGATTGTGCAGCACGGTCTTGCAGATTTGCACCAGCTCTCATGGCATCCAAGGCATTTCGATACTGAGTGCGCACATTCTCCACCATCCAGTGAAACATACCCCAGTACTTCTTCATCTTGTGAAGATACTTGACGTTGGTGGTCAAATTGGCTTCGGCTGTTGGCTTCATGTTGGGATTTCCAGATATGACGCCCAATATGTGGACTGTTGTCGAGGAAAAGGCACAGTATCCAGCAAAGGGTGCCGAAACAAAGCATCGCGACTGTTCGGCTTCACGAAGGAGCTCAGATATCTGGTTCGCAGCGCTGAAAGTCCTCTTACTCGCTTCAGAGAAAAAATCGTCATGAACACCCTGCTGCTTTCGCGCTGACATCGCCGCTCGACTCACAAAAAGAATGTTATGCTGCAGGCAGATATGCATGAAAAGAAATTGACTTGCCGTGTTCTCTGTCTTGTGGACGTCGAGGTTCTCGGCAGAGTACTTGAGTGACGAAGGTAAACTGGCTTCAAGATTCACGACATCGTTGAGATGCTTTACATATTGGGATTCGTCCTCCCACATGGGGTTCGGGTCTAGATCTTTTCCCCCTTGGCTAAGGTAGGTAATGATCCGTCCCCACAAGGCGATGGCTCGGATCAGAAAGGCTGCAACTCCCATGTTCTCTCGTGCATCAGCAAGTTGCCCATCATTGGGCGATGCTGGGTGAGGAACTTGACCGTCCAGCATCTCGGTTGGAGCAGGCATATCGAACTGGAAGTATTTCTCCTTCACTGGCAATGGAATCTGGATCGTATCCTCTCTAATGAACATGGGCCGATCTGTCCCGGAAGAGTTGAAACGATCCATGAGAAAGCAAGCCCACATTATACGTCGCCGAATCTCTCGGTCGATGAAGCTAAGCTGTTTTTTGGGACCAGTACGACCGGAGGGGTCATACTCGAGGTCTTTATGCAGCTGAAGGGCGAAAGCCATGCGAATAGCTTGACCGCCCAAGGCCCAACTACGGCCACCCTGGCATGTTCCAAATTCGTGAAGGCCCAAAATGAGGAGACAGGTCAAGATCGTGAGGTTTGGCCATTCGTATCGCCTGGTACAGATATCTCGAGCGTGCGACGCCCATTCTTCGCCGCGTAGGAACTCAGGTCCTGAAGAATTTACTAGAGGGCTCGAAGTGAAACGAGCAGCTACAGCGCACACTGTGAGGACAAGCACTGGAGGCAGCGTCCCATTTCTGTGGGCCATTAGCAAGACACACACATGTTTTAATCTTGAAAGAACTCACTTTAGCTTTCGCATATAGCTCGGTTTGTGAAGAAGATGGTAAGATTGACCATAGATGTTGTCGAAAAACACCTCTGCCAGATGCTCCTGAATTTCTTTGGAGGGGAGTGCCTCGGTGCCTTCATGCTGAAGCTTGTTCTCCTCGGCTTCCTGTACTTGCAGGCTACTGGGCCTATCATCGCCATCGATCTTAGGCTTCGAAGGTGCCTTGGCCCATGCTTCTAGGTCAGGTCCAAAAGCTTCCTCGGCGCCACGCTTTTTGGTTGGTTTATTTGAAGGTACGGTCCCTGGTATCGCTGGTTTAACAACGGCCCGAGTTACAGACGAAGCTATTTCCTGATCGGACTTGGGAATGACCTTGATGATGCGTTCTTCCATACGCTTCAACCGCTTATCGAGCATGGCCATGTAATCTGTCCGTGGCGCCGCCTTCCGAGTGGTGACTTTATACACACAGGGTATACGTGAGCGTAAACAATGCTTGCAGGCGGGCTTCTCGCCTGAGCAGCGGATCTTCTTTCGGCGGCATGCAATGCACGCAAGCGGGAGGCGTTTTCTTTCTTTACCGGCTTTTGTCTTAAGCTCACTCCACGCCGGTGTGGCATCGGCTTTATCCTCCTTAGGTTTACCGCCTAGATCCGTGGCATCTGCACGACTACGGGAAGCCAATCCAAACTCATCAGTAGTCGAGTCTTCGAGGGCATTGGATGCGGGAGATGTCCTATCTGGAGGAGCTTCGGAGCCATCCATACTCTGGCTTCGGTTGCCTGCAGGGAGGGTGCCAAATGGCAAACCGTTATGTGCAAGACCAGACATTGCCTGGTGCTGAGGAAATGCAGTGGGTGATTGTGAGGCGTGGGCGTGATCGGCCAGAGAAACGAGAGAAGGTTGGTCAGGAAGACCTTGGTAAGCAAACGCGAAATCGTCGAAATGTGAGGGATCCATTAAGGCGCCGTGAGAGGGAGATGGCACAGCGTGCAATTCAGCGACGTCGCGATAGAGTTGAGGGCCGGAACCGAAGGACTGCTGGGCATGTTGAGAATTCGAAACGGCACGACCGGACATGGCTCTGCCAGAGACAGAGTTGCGACGCGGGCCTTCCGAGGCCAAGAATCCGGTGATGGAAAACAAAATCTACCGGGCCGGTGCGGTGTGGTTACGATGATGAAGCGAGACGACAGAATTGGGCAGGGGTTTGAAAATTGCGAGTGTAGCCCAACTAGGCGAAACGAAGTCTTTATAACGGTTGGCGGGAGCAGCTGTTGTGCAGGTTAAAACGCTGCAGCGCAAGAGCGTTGAGATTTGAGGTAACCCGAAGTCGTCCGGGGAGTTTATGGAGAACCAACGGGTACGGATGAAGTCAGTGGCTCCCCGCACTGGGAGCTGGGGACTGGTCTGCGCCCCAGCTGGGGCGAAGGAACTGGCGGAAGTGAGTTTAGAACCGTTACGAAGGTTGAAGTGATGCAATGGGTATCGGATCAGGCCGCTCGAGTCGAAATTCCGTGTGGAAGAAAACCCGTCTCTTCGGAAAGCTGCGAACTGAGCTCTCGATGGTGTTTGAGAGAGGTGCAAGAAGGAGGATCGGGAGCAAGTTAACCGGGTCCTTGGTCTTTGGGCGGAAGAGGTTGAGTCGTGGAAGCTGGGGGTTTAAGGCCCAGAATCACAGAAGGGTGGGGACCTTAAGTGGTAGAAAATCAAATGGCAGCGATCACGATAGGTTAGATAGGTTGTAGTGCACGGTCCTGGTGTGCGACTGTGGGGTAGAGAAACAGCAGTGTCTGTCTTTTGGGACTTGAAGACTTTTGGTAGTCTTGGTTCAGGGTTGGGCCGCTTTTGGACTCATCTCTCCTCTTGTCTCCCTTCCATGGCGATGCTAGCCATGCTCATCCATGTTCACAACCATGCCCTGGCCTGCGAAAGAGACAAGGAATTGGTGGAGCGTCGGCCGTCAACAACGCGCGTGGTGGAGGCGGGTGGTGGGTGTGGGAGTCCCCTAAACGTTTAGCACAGTCGTAGCAGCTGTAGGGGGTGACGTGATGTGATTGATTGATGGTCTGTGTAGTGTTGTTGTGTTTGAGTTCATGCCATGTGTAAACCGTTCGTGCATACAAACGGGACAGGAGATTTGTGGTCGTCATTCAGGTTGAACTGACTGACTGTGTCCATGAGTTGATGTTGATGTTGTATAGAACAACTTGGTTGGATCGGAGAAACGTACGTGGATATAGATAAACGAATGCCCATCTCCTTCCTTCCTCGCTTCACATCGCATCCAAACAACGGGCAACAACCAGGAAGGAACCAAAAGACATTACCCAAGAAGGAATCTCCGCCCAGGGTCTTTTCTACTCCCGACATCGCACCTCCCAAAACAGATTGTACGTACCAACCCTACAAGGCTTAAGGTAGAAGATGGATTTGAAGCTGCCCTGAGTCGGTGACTATGACACTGCAACTTATTACAGACCTCCAAGCCTCTCTGCCTCATTATGATGTTCACATTAAAACCCTTCTTCCCTGAACGTTACTGGGGGAAAAACTCAGCATCTCCTTGTCAGATCGAGAGGCATTTCTCCCGCTATTAATTTTAGTTTGACACGAACACGTACGTACGTAGTTATTGCGGCTCGTTCGGCTTAATATGTGGCCTAGTCGCTTGTATTAACTCTACAAGGCATCGCGATCTTCCTCATATTGTCGTCTTTGGTTTGGCTTGGGTTGTCACTGTTAAATCAAGGTTCACTCAGACAAGGCGCGGCAGGATATCAAAGGGCTAACTGGGTGAACTAAGGCGGGCCAGGGGACCCTTGAACCTGTCTTGGCTTGGCTTGTCTGGCCTGGTCGTCAAGAACCCAGGCTATCAAGGCGATGCAAGCATAAAAATGGCAAAAGCAGGGCGTGAGTTCACCCAACAAGAGACCGTCTCAGCTCGATCTTGGTCTGCAGGTGCACTAAAACCCTCTGATGGCATGAACTAGTCGAGAAATGCCGGAGCCGGCCAGGGTCTATACCGCTCGACTACCGACCCGTGTTGTGGGCATCACGTCTCGTATCGTAGCATTCTGTTCCCCTGCATTAAGACGCGGTGTTATTCTCAACGGTTATTTCCCTCTTGATGGTTCTTCCCTGCAGAAGCGACGATACATGGTGCCAAGAAAGCATCGACTATGGAACAGGCGGCTCAGATGATCTGCGGCTTAGATGCCTTAGGAATCACCAATTGAGCAGACCACGGGATATCTTGCATGCACTCCAGCCCCGGCCAGGGTCGATGTCCTTCGAAACCGCTATCCCAGACCCTTGTTCGACGTCGACGGCATCTTCCGAGAAGTTTGGGATGCTAGGCAAGTTAGACTTCACGGCCCAAATAACTAGGTGTCATAATGTTACGTCGACCTAATGTACACAATAGGGGAAGCATTATTGTTCTGACTATACGGTATGATGGTTTACAGCGAATCGAAACATGTAAACGTGTTCATAGCTCAACAAGTGAGGCGCCTGTCTTTACTACAGGGAGACAAACTACCCGCCAGCCGCCTGCATATTGAAATAGATTATCACATATCTACCCGAGTCCTACCCATCATACGTACTTAGTAAGGCTTAGACCTGGGCGAGGAGAAAAAGGAAGAGGCATGAGACAGAAAACGACTGTCCTCTCCTGCTGCACAGACATTTCAATACATGGATCCCTTGCCTACCCAAAAGTTCCTCGTCTCCTCCAAGATCATCTCCCTAGGGCTGTAGGTAGTGTAGCAACTGACTCTCTCGCTCAACCCACTCACCCGGTCATCACGATGTGGTTGAGGGATACTGTATGATCGCCATACAATCAGTCGAGCATGGATATCGTGACAAGCGAAAGCGACTGACGATCCGGTCTAGAACCTCAACATGATGACCTCTCATTTTACGGATACTTTGCTGTCTACAACCCCCTGAACGTCAATGACATATACAGAGTTACATACATGGTCCTCACCATCTTTCTGGTGCACATTGCTCGCTCACACGCACGCACGCACGCACGCAGCACTACAGCACAGCGAGCATCATCCTCGTCGGGCCGGTGCCTCTGCTGCCGGTTCCATAAATGATTCTCTCTTTCTACTCTGAACGGGCGTAATAGCAACGCGGTCCGCCCGTCGCAGACGCTACTGACCAAGGCGAGGTAACATAACATGCATGTGCCATAGCATCTGTGTGTTTGCGCCGCACTGCATCATCCTGGTGATCAGCAGGAGGTTTCCTTGTATGTTTTGTGTGCCAGAAAAGGGACAGTGACATCCAGGCTATACAATTTAGCTGTTACTTTGTTTTTGTTCTTTGCCTTTGCGGTACTGTACAGTCAGTATGTGGGATAAGTGGGATAATAAATACGAGTGGGGCTGGATTTATACACGTGAAGAGCAGATATCAAACCAACGAAATTAGGTCATTATCTCAAACACACTGAGTCCTTGCACACGAACTCGCCTAAGCCCTACAAGGAGTCGGCTTAAATTAACACGCTTTTTGATGCCGAAAAAGGATCAAATAGCATATGCTTATGACTATGTCTATGCGTCTGTTGGGCTGCGCGCTGAGCTTCATTGGAATAGATTACCCTAGGCAGCTCAGGTTGTCGGGGCCTCAAAAAAGAGCTTTCTAGCTATTTCACTCTTCTTAGACTAGACGACTGACGGATAGTAAACACCTGCCAATTCCAGGATATAGACTAACTTACTTCACTCTCTCGAGTCTCAGGTCAGTCTCCTCTGCATCTCCTTCTGGAAGGTATCACAACATAGTTTCTCAGCATATGTTGACTGGCACTTAGATATCCAACCATCTTCCTCAGCCACTTACACCGTCCGACCTGCAATATGTCTGAGCCCCGGTCCGTTTCGGCCATGGCCCGATCTTGGTCGCAGAAGTGAAACCGTTGTTAATGTTCCACTGCATAAAACGTAGATGATATCTCCCGGTTGTGGCCATGCTGTCACATCAACAACATGAATCATCCACACAAACAGAAGGCCATGTGCACCTCGAACTATAAACAGTGGAATCGTGAGAGAATGAGCAAGTTAATAGTTATCTAACTTTCAATCTTGGGTAGTATCCAGAGATATAGCTCGTCTTCCCCTGGCCTTTCACTCAACATAGCCTTGGGAAAATTCAAACAGCCGGGCCAATTATGGATCATAAACTCAATTTTGATCATCAGAAAGCACTATTCCTTCATTAATCTAAAAGCAAACCAGGATCCCACTTATCCAAACTCCCGGAAATGCTAAGCTATCCTGCTACGCCATGCTATGCTACGCCTTCTAACCTCTATCAGTATCAGCCAGAGACGCGATGCTTCGTAACCCTGAAGAATGAATAAACAACCAAACACCTCGCCCCCTATTCAATCAATCTTCCCCTCTGTGCTTGATGTACACCGGGATGCCATACAGTACCACCGCCGCGGCGTTGAGATACCGGAATTTGCACGCCTCCCTGGACCGCGCAACCGCCTCGGCCAGTGACACGTTGTTCATTACTTGACCGTCTTCCTCCGACTCACTCTCGTCCTCGCTCGAGGCCCGACTCTTACCCTTGACTCGCTTATTCTCCTTGAACGTGCCCTTGGGGAACAGTCCCCATTCCTCAAACGATCGGCCCGCGAACCGATCAATGTCCCTATCCGTCACGTCCCATAGTGTACCCACCACAGCTGGACATCCAGCCATCATGTAGTTCCACACAGGGCCGTAGGACTCAAACTCTCCGGCTTCCGTTAGCGACGCCGAGCTGCAACCCATCAAGAAAGTGGCTGGTTTGCATTTCTCTAGACGACGAATCGTGCGTGCTCGAATATACTGCGCACCGCTTCCGTGTCCAAAGTAGAGGAGAACCTCAGAGTTTGACAAAGCTTCTTCAAACTCGGCTTCTTCAGGAGCACGGTTAACAATGCCTGTCCAGCTGCTGAGGCCTTTCATAATCGGCTGGAAGGTAGACTGTGTGTTGACCAGGTCTTTCGAGGGATTCAGGATGTAAGTGCCTTGCTCGGCAGACACGTAGTGGCCCTCTGGTGCGTCTTCAGAATTATTATCGCTTGCTGATGGTTGCGATTCCGTAATAAGTTGCCTCAGGCAAGCCAACGAAGGTACTCGCGAAATTGCAAGTCCTTCCATACAAGGCATCGACTCCCAGGGGAAAGCATGGAGGGCCTTGTCAAGAACCAAAACAGTGTGAGCCCCTTCTGCTCGGTCAGATCCCGTCTTAGCCGCGTTGTAGTAGCCGCGCAGGGCATCATAAGTCTCGACCACCATAGCGTCAAAGTCAATTTCGTCATAAGCGTTGCGTTCTCCGTGGAATTGAAGAATGTCAACGACAAAATAGAGCAGGTCATTGAGAGCCTCGTCGTAATCACTGTCTGGATCACTGGGATCACCCAAACCGATGAAAAGGTCAAGAACTCGTGGGTCAAGGGCCACCTTGGATGTCTTTGCCGATTTCTTGCCCCGCCCTTGCTTTCGAGAGGGCAGATTACTGTCGAGTATCTGTTGAAAGCTCTTCTGGAAACGTGCAAGGAGGTCCGATCGACGTTCGTGCTGAGAAAAGATACCCTTGAAACCACCTAACCAAGTTGTCTCGATAGTGCTCAGAAGATCCCTAAGCCGATCATCCAAAGCCTCTCGTTCGGCCCACCAAGCGGCTTTCGCACCCTTGACACTGAAGTCTCGACTGGCAGAATGGCTCGTCTCGTTAGCGAGCCGAATAATCTCCATCATCTCGTCCTTCCCGTTCTCGAAGTTGAAGATATCCGAGTCAGCATCTCGAGAATTGGCACGCTCTAGAGGTAGTCGGAGAATAAAAGGACTGTGACCAGCCCGGAATTTAGTGATACACAGATCATGGTGGTTGTCGCTGAGAGAGACGGAAACCACACTCCAGTTGTGAGGTACCATGTCGATATAGTTATTTTGGAACTGGGCCATCTCTGTTGTGAGCTCAAGACTAGACCGTCTTGAGTTATGAGTAGAGTCGATGTCACCTGGTTCAGCGGTCTCTTTGTTTTGAAGAGTGCTTTGCTCGCGCTTCCAAGTGACGTTACGAGCCAAGTCTACAGAGAAAGTTGCAAACCCCGAACCAGCAAGGACTCTAGATTGTGTCGTAGAGGTAGCCGAGAGAAGAATGACTGTGTTCTGTAGTAAAGCCGAAATGCGATGAACCATGGTGCTGTTAGCTGTCGACAGGGTTGAAGCATGAGCTTCGAGAAGGAGTTCTTGTGCTTGTCTCAATGCTTCAGCGAATGCAGGAACACTGGCCTCCTTGGAGTTCTTTCGTTCAGTGGCTCCTGGGCGTCCTTTACGAGGAGGCGTCTGGCTCTGCGTAGCCTTGGTCTTGTCAGAAGTAGCAATGGCAGGGAACGAAATGGTCGAGTCTTGGATGACGGAGAATACAGGGTCGTGAATCATCTGCTCTGTGCTATGGCCGATAAGAGAGATCGCAGTCACAACTTGTTCCTGAGACAGAGCTCCGAAGAGTTTTGGCAACTCTCTGGCATCTTCCAAAGTTGACAAAGCAGAAGCCCAATCCTTCTGACTGATGAAACCTAAAGCCCGCGATAGGATGACCGACGCCATGAGAGATGCCTGGTATACATCTTTTGGTAGCTTTAGCACCTCTGCAGCAGAAGGCTGAGCCTTGACAGTGACCTCTCGCTTTCGGGTTCGTGGTGTAGGATTTACAGTAGTCTTGGCCCTTGTCGTCCTGGTGGCAGTTCGAGTAGCACGTGTAGCAGCTGTTGCTCGCGCTTTAGCAGCAACCGGAGCGGTTTTCTTCGCCTCGTTCTGGATGCTTAGCACCCTTCCATGATCTCCAAGGCGTTGAGCAGTCTCCTCGGCAAGCTGAAGTAGGTCACGAGCCTTGTCTTCGTCGCCGCTATCGCGAAACAAGCCGCCAAGTTGGCAAGCAACCTGTACTCGAGAAGCTGAGATATCTTTCGGCAACTCTTCGAACGCCTCATTGCCGAAATCGAGTGCCTTGGTTAGCTTTCCAGCTCGGTGGTAGACAGAACCTGTCCAAGCGAGAACCTGTGCCCGATAGAGCGGTGAGCCTGTGCTTTCAGCAATCTTTTGGGCTGACTCTGCGTAATAAATGGTCTCCTGGTACATGCCAAGATGGGCATAGACAGAAGAAACATGCAGGAGACCTCGCAAAAGAGGGAAAGCAAGTGCCCAGAACCGAGGACCAATCACCTGGCCAAGCTTGGCGTCAGCCTTGACACTATCAAGACTGGTTGTTGAGATGTTCATAACGCTTGTGCTGGTTGCTCGGGATGCTGTCGCTTCGATCTTGGACCAATCATGCGAAAGAATTCGAACACTTGATTTAACACAGGTAAGTGCGTCTTGAATTCGACCACGCTTCAATGCGAGAACCGAGTCTAGGAACGAGCTGAGGGCGAGAGACATGTTGACTTGTGATTTTGACAATGCCCACGATGAAGTAGATCCATTGTAAATGGTCTTTGCAGCCGCCAACGATGAATTTCTAGAAATGGGTTAGAATGACTTCATTCTCTTAGTATTATGAACTCACGCTTCATCGATGCTACCAATACCAGAGTAATACTCGGCTTGTGTCAAATGAAACCCAGCAATTAGGCCACGAGAGGCACCGTCGGCTTCATCCAAAAGCTTCTTCGTCTCATCAAGTGTTTGTTTTGCTTCAGAGAAGTGACCAATGTTTAGATGTTGTGATGCAAGAAGTGTATGATTAAGGATCACGTTGTTATAGGTCGGTTCGGCTAGAATCTTGGATAGAGGTGTTAACAGTTCTAAGATCTCAAGCTGCAGACTGTTCTCACCCCGAAGGCTGGCGAAATGGCTGGCAGATTGTAGGTGTGTTAGAAGGCCATCGGGATTGTCAATTCGTTCACAAAGATCGTTTCTGGATTTGCACGATTCAGTCATCGATTTCCAAGTGACAACAGCTTCTCTCAGGGCAGACACCGGAAGAGGAGCGCTAGTGACAGCCAATGCAGACATTGACTTCTGCAGTGCCCTGAGATGTGGAATATAACGAAGTAGAGAACCGTCATCACCATAGTCTTTGCTGTCCAGTTGTTGGATTGGTTCTTCAGCCAAGCTGGAAATTTGCTCCATCTCGTTCTCTTCGCCAATGATTTGGAAGAGCAGCTGGAGCAGAACTCGAAGGCGCCGAATTGGGAAGCGCTCTGGCGTGTAGATTCGGAGAAGAGCCTGGACTGATGGATCGTGTAGTTTGAGTGGTTCTCCCCTAGATGCTGTGTCTCCCACGATTTGCATCAAGTGTTCGAGTACTGCAGCTCGCTCACCCTCCGGCAGAAAGAATGCCCAGTCGTTCCATGAGTGATCAAGCTTAGCAATTGAGCGTAGTGTTCGGGACAATATCTCTGCCTTATCATCAGCACTCCAAGCAATGCTCGGAGGTTGAGAATCAAGCGCTTCAGTAACCTTGACTAAGGCGCCCTCCTCAATCATGTTGGTGCAGATTGATCGGAGTGTTCTGATTGCATCTTCGCTTCGGTTGGCAGCCTTGCAGAGATCGGCAAACAACTCCAGCTTTGTTGACATATGAGCCTTCTCCTGTTGGGCCATGGGTCGATCTTGAATAATCTCAATGGATCGACTCAAACACTGAAGAATCTCCTTATTGATTTGTTTGGACTTGCCGAGGTCCTTGCGTATTTGATTATACCTGGCAAAATACAGACTGGATATTTTCGCAAAATAGCCACTGAGCTGCTCCGTTCGTGCTCTTGAAATCGTGGGATCGAGAACAGCATCAACCAGTTTGTTGCAGTCCCAGAGGACCTCGTCCATCTGCTTCCAAGTGATAGAGTCCGATTGGATATCGCCGTTTATGACCACTAACGCGCCATCGATAATCTGATTGATCGACTGCATCAACACTTCTCGTCGTTGGTCGAATTGGAGGAGGGATTTGGCTGAAGCATCCCTACAGGGGGGAGCGCCTAGCCAACGGCGGCCGAACCGTGGAAATTTCGTGATGAAAGTCTTCAGATGTTCCATGATCAATTCCAGTGTGTCATCCTTTACTTTTGAACCATTCGAGTTGCTCACAAGGAGCCCAACGGCTGACCGTCGAGCAAGTGAAAGACTCTCTAGCAGTTCATTAAGATCGGTGACATTTCCACTCAAACTCCCTTCGAGGCTCTCTGTAACTTCTTGAACAAGCCGTTGCGTCTTGTTATCATGCTTGGATTGTTTCAAAAGCGCAGCGAGGAGGCGGGCTGAAATGGAAAACATGCGAATAGCCGATTCCTCATCAGGTTCTAGTATATCCTTCAATTTCTGGAACCAGTGGCATGCTGCATCGTATTGGCGGTCCGTTTGAGCTGCAACACCAAGCAGTTGGTAAATCGAGGTTAGGGGAGAGTCGAATGAAGCCTTGGCTTGGGACTTTTGTGACCCAACTAGATCCGTGAGCTCGTGGAAGGATGTAGCAATCAAATCGTATGTTAGTCCATTCGTGGGTGGTTGTCGTCGAGTATACGCGCGAACGCATCGAGAAAATGGCGAGAGAATATCGTCGTCAACGTTTCCGCGATGACCAGCCATTTTCCACCATCTAAGCTGAATCTTGAAACAGAGAACTTGCAGCTTGAAAGCTGAAGTTGGAGACGGACTTAGTCTCAACTCTGTCGCAACTGAATCTTCCTTGCTGGAGACACTGGGTGCTAGTGAAAGAAGCGTCTGGGATAGCGAGGCTAGTTGTCGGGCTGCCTTTTGGGTTTCCTTTGCGCTTCTGGCTCCCGATCTCGCCAAGAGGTTGATAGGGGAAGATACATGAGATTCCTCGAGAAGTGGTAATACAGCCTCGATATGAGCTGGTTTCTTGGAATGCGCAATCCATCGTAGTACTTGAATTTGACAACCTGTAACAATCGGTAGCAAACTCTCGGGAATTTTATCACCATAGTCGAGCAATTCCAAAATGACTTGAGCAGCTGTCTGCCCTTCGGTAGAGTTCGGTTTTGTTGACTTGTTAACTCCAGCATCGAGCCGTCGCTTTAAAATCCTCAGCTCCTTTAGCGCCTGATCTTGGAACCCAAGCGCCAGAAGTTTACCAATGAATGCCGACATTCCATTTTCGAGTTGGAAATCTGTTTGTGCCGCCTGCATTGGGCCCATGATTGATCGCAGACAAGTGAAAGCCACGCGCGCGCATTCGACAGCGGCAAGACATCCTGTAGATTGTGTTGCTGCTTGTGTTGCTGCTTTTGCGGCAATGTTGGGTGAGGTAGCTACGCGATTCAAAGTTCGTGGCTGTAGCGGTGATAACGGCGCGGATAGGGATCTCCGCAACGTTCGAGGACCAGAGGTTTTCTTGGAGTCACCCTGAGATGCTTGTTGCTTACTCGGAGTGGCGGGAGTTGTAGGTTTCGCAGCTTCGTTTAGGGACTTGATGCAAAAGTTGATTACATGTGTTGCCAGAGCTGCACGGTCTTTCGATGAAAGCTGTTCGCTGGTAGACTTTACCATCTGAGTTTTGCCGCCCGCGGTTCGTTTTGTCTTTGAGTTTGCCGTTGCCTTAGAAGTCGCCCGTGAATTTGTTTGTGATGCTGTGTATGAAGTCTCGACGTCGGGTAGCAGTAGTTCCTTAAGAGTCACGACGGTCGCAGTCGTGCATGTCGATGTTGAAGCCAGAGCTGTCTTGGCCGCGTCGGCCTTTGCCTGCAGTGAAGCCATTTAGATTATGAGTGTAATTTCGTTACCATGCCGTCGTCAAAACCAAAAGCTCCTAATATGGAGGTACAGGTACAATATGCAAGTTGAAAACGAAAAGCTGCAGGTCTCTATGCTGCAATTCATAATTAGTTGACTTTGTGTAATCCTGGCAACCTAACCCCGGAATTGGGCAAACACAACTGGTTGCCTGGGGCAACTGTCGGTTCCCGGTTCAGATGGTCCGTGCTCTCATGGGTATTCTCGGGAGAAGATCTTGAAAGTCTCGGGTCTCAAGAAAGCTAACGACATCAATCATCAACATTTAACGACATCACAAAATGTCGCTTCGTCAACTTTCGATTCGCTCCGGTCACATCCGCGCGGCTTCCTTTGTGTTAAAGACGTCGCATACCTCAAGATGCGGCTTTCGATACTCGAGCACGGCCCCAGCTACAATTGTCGATAGGTCATTCTGGCGAAACTTGGTACCGAAGCCACTGAGAAAGGAAAATCGCCAATTAAGGAAGAAGTCCAAGGAATGGAATCCCGCGACATTCTTTATTGCCATTTTTCTTCTTATCGGGTCCATGTCGATTCAAATGATTACGTTACGGAATTCCTTTGATCGATACATGCGACAGTCAGAGGCTCGAATTGCATCCTTGCGAGAAGTTGTCGAGAAAATCCAACGAGGCGAAACGGTTGACGTTGAGACGGTACTTGGAACTGGAGATCCTGCAAAGGAAGCTGATTGGGAAGAGAGTATGAGCAGGATCCAGCCAGTACACTTACTAGTTGCTAACGGATTTTTGCAGTGTTGAAGGCCATTGAACGTGACGAAGCAATTCGCAAGTCGAAACGAAAGAAGCCCGAGCGAAGTAAGCCTGCAGAAACACCCACGTCTACCAAACCGCAGAATGCAGAGCCTGTCAAGGCTGCACCGACAAACGCAAAACCCGGGAGTCTTGGAAATTTCATTTAGACGCATGAATCTATCTTCAGGATTGGGTAGTATTACACTGATAAATCTAGTTTCATGAGAGCATATCCTTGAAAACACCACGATTTCCGAAGGAAGCTTGAAGTGAAGCCTGTGTTGGTGCTTCTGATGGCGCAACATCATTGCGCAGTGCAGAAAGAAGAGCTGGAAGGAGGTCGTCCGTCGATAATGCAACCCTCACGCCCTGCTCACCCTCTTGGTTCGGGTCCATATCCGCGAAGAACTTGTCCTCGCCTCTGATTCCGCCCATGCTGATAATGGCGATGGGCATGCCCCGATCCTGAGCTCGCTTGGCAAGCCTCCAAGCTGAATAAGTGGCAAGCGAGGTTCCAACAACGAGCAGCTTTCCGGCGTTGTCGATGGCTTCCTCGGCAGCGTGCTTGATATGATTGCCAATGCTTTCTCCGAACATGACCACCGCGGGCTTTAGAATTCCCGCGGTGCTGGGAAGCTTCCATGCACCATCTGTGTCAACCTGGACGACATGTCGATGGCCATCAGCATTCTTTGGGGGACTGGATAAGCATTTGGGACAAGAGGGGTATCTAAAGGTTGTGTAGGGAGCATCTGGCAGATCCACATCGCCGTCGGGGTTCACCTTCAGGCCTTTGAATCTGCGCTCAACTGGGTCTTCAGTGTCTAATGCCCCTGACTTGAGGGCCCTCTCGAGTAACTCAGCCCATTTAGGGTTGAGAGTGGCCAATTTCTCCTGGAATTCGTTTCTGGAGAACTCGTTTTTGCAACTCGTGCAGACAACGGCTCTTAAATATCCATGTAACTCTAGAGTTGGTAGATCAGGGTGAGCTCTTGGGTGGAACGAGTCAACATTTTGAGTAATGACACTGCGTATCAGACCAAGATTTGCGAGATCTCTTATAGCATAGTGGCCGTTGTTTGGAGATGCCTTTTGAAGATTAGACCAGCCTAGAAAGCTTCGAGCCCAGTATCGTTTGCGAGATTCGTGACTCTTGAGGAATTCTGGATAGTAGATAGGTCGATATGTCTTGTTGACCTTGTAAGTGCCCTTGACACCCCGGTAATCTGCTAAGCCCGAAGCGACTGAAAGGCCTGCACCAGTGAGAACAACAGCAGATGAAGGTAGGTGGCCTGGAGAGGGTGCAACAAAGAAGCGATGGAGAGCGGCGATAGCTCCAGGGAGTGTTGAGGCCGAAGCTGGTGCAATTACTGAAGGCAGGGGTAGGTCCGTGTAAGGGATCCTGAGCAGAGGCTTGCTCATTGGAGCCAATTTTTAGGGTCGTAATGTTTAAGAATTACGGATACTCGATATGGTAATGCTTAAAGTGAAACTGAAGCCCAATCTTCAGTGGCTGACGAGGCTGTTTCCAATTGCTTGAGGAGGATTGGTCGGATAAAGACCAAGTCAACAGCCCTGCTGAGGCACAGGCTTGAGTTGACCAGTGATGACGAGCTTGACAAAAATTATGAAATACAAGGACTGATATTAGACAAGAGGATGGCGTGGACAGACAGTCATGAAGCTGGTGGTAAATTTGGCTACAGGGATTATTCTTAGAGCCAGGTATGGAGAAGAGCGCGTCATTGGTTTCAGGGACGATTCTCAGCCTTGCAACTAAGGGTTCATGCGGCATTGTGGCTGAATTGACCAGCGAGTGAGGTGGGCGCTTATTACCTGATCCCCCACAACCCGAATCTGATAATGGGAAAGAAGATGGTAAACTCGAGTCAGCTTTCAGGGAAGAATTGGTAAAGGTAAGCCTCTGCGATTGATCGGAATAGGGTACCTAATTCTTGAATGATCGTACCGAGTGTGTACAAGACGAATATTGCCTTGGTAAGTAAGGTAGATGAGGTACCTGGGTTACTCAATCGCCATACAAAGCAAATGCCCTAAAGCAAACTTGACCACCCCTGAAAGCAGATGCCTCAGCGGTCAAGCCCAGGCCAGGCCAGGTCCTGTCCGGAGACCGGAACCTCGCGATCACTCATCAGGCGAGAGTGTCGTAGATAGTGGGTTCACCTCGCATCCTATCCTCAATGGCGTCGTAGGTCGGTTTCTTTTCCTACCAATTGCCGCACCAAGTTTCGATTCTGGTGGAGCTAGACTACTCTGTTTGTTTGATGTCTGATAATCTTGATAATCTTTTTTTTTTCTTTCTTTTTTTCTTCGGGGATTTCTCTCTCTTTTCTTTGCATGTTAACTCTTAACTCGCTCATGTGGCCTTGGTCCGCTTCCGACCGAGCCAAATCCGCTCGCTCTATTGAACCCGACTCGAAACTTGAACTGTTCCGTTAACGGGCATATGGCATTGGATAACCCGACGTCAACAAAACACACCATCTTTCCTTTACAACATCCATCTATATCAATATCTGAACCGTGCTTCAGACCCTACGCAACTCCAAGGGAAAACACGCAACCCAATACCCGGCCCCTTCTCCCACTTTCCCGTGTTATCCGTGTTTCCCCTGCAAGACAACATCTCGGATATACTGTATGAGTCTCCCGCAGGCCGGGCGTCCCACGGGCGCAGGCGCTGGAGTGACGTCGCCAACAGCTGGACCCGGAGCTGGAGCCACGCACAGTCACAATCAGAGTCGTGGCTTTGCCTCATGGGGACATGGACATATCAATGGGCACCCTAATGTCCATATTTCGCAACAATCCAAATACCGAGGCCAGATGACCCTTTTGAGATCAAATATAGCAACTCCCCACGTCGCTTGTCTACGTCTTCGCCTACGCGCCCTACAAAAAGCATCCATTGTCGCCGCTCTATCGACGTGCGCCTACCTCTCAGCCTCGTCTAAGCTTTCATCCTACCACGTATCAAATACTGCCTCCGTCGCTCGCCCTTCAACCAATTCGCTACCACATCTCGCCCCCTTTCGCAACAAACTTCGATCATCACCTTCACTCGTAAAAACTTCAATGTCGCAGATACGTCCGCATACTGGCCAAGGCCACGACCAGAAAGATGGTCATAATCACAGCCACGGTCATGACCACAGTCATAGCCATGGCATCTTGGGCCATCACCACCATCACGACAACGCATACCTAACTTCAGGCAACAAAGACGACCCCGGCGTCCGAATCACCCGAATTGGCTTGGTCTCTAACCTGGGCATGGCAATTGCTAAATTTGCTGGCGGGTGGGCTTTCAACTCCAAAGCAATGACTGCGGACGCATGGCATAGCATCACAGATCTTGCATCCGATATCCTGACACTCGCGACAGTCACATGGAGCCTAAAACCACCAACAGACAAATTCCCCATGGGCTTTGGCAAGGTAGAGAGTTTGGGATCACTCGGTGTTTCGAGCATGCTCTTGGCCGGAGGTCTTTACATGGGTTGGGATAGCGGTATCAGTCTTTATGGACACTTTTACCCTGAAGCGGCACATGGTATTCTGGAGCACGTAGGACACGGTCATAGTCATTCTCATGGAGCCGCAGCACTTGGAATCCCGAGCATGCATGCCGCTTGGCTTGCAGCAGGTACCATTCTGATTAAGGAATGGCTTTACCATGCGAGTAAGTATCCTCCCAACTCTCAGGGTCGCGGTGCCAGGCTGCGCGTGCAACGTTAGCCTTAGGATTGAAAGGATTAGAGCTGACCAATCACAGCAATGAAGGTTGCTCGAGAACGTAAATCGTCGGTTCTCGCGTCGAATGCTATTCACCACCGAGTCGACAGTTTAACGGGTTTCGTCACTTTGGCAGCCATCATGGGAGCTAATGCAATGGAGAACGCGGCGTGGCTGGATCCCGTTGGCGGTCTTCTCATCTCCATTATGGTTATCCAGGCTGGTGCCGGAAACACAGTTGCTGCTTTTCGCGAATTGGCAGATCAAGGTATTGATGATGAGATCAAGTCTTCAGTGACAAAGCAGGCCAACAAAGCATTGAAGAACGTGGTTGAAGGACACGAGGTTGCCCTGCGCGAAGTAAGCGGTATCAAATCAGGCCAGAATTATCTTGTGGACCTCGAGATGACCGTGCCTGGTGCGTGGTCTGTTGATACAACGCAGCAGGTTGAAAACGCAGTGCGGACACAAGTCGGAGGAAAAGTGCGCGGTGTCAGAAGAGTCCGCATCCGATTCTCACCCAAGGAGGCTGCCGCCAAGGCAAGGTTTGACGATTTTATCCCCGGGACTGTGGTTCTGCCACCAGAGACTGAGGAGGATGTATCTGAGGCAGAGGGTGAGTCGAACCATAATCACGAGCATCACGATCATCATGATCACAAGAGCAGTGGCCATGATCATGAACCCAATGGCTCCCATGAACAGGGCGATGGACTCAGGAACAGAAACAAGCATTAGAGTGGAGGATGCTTTGTAAGAAGCGAGACCTTTAGCCTGGGATCCTAGGATCAATCACGGCCACGCTGCGTCCTGTTCTCTATGAAGCTGCCCTTTGGTATGACACCTCCAAGCCAACCTTGCCCCTTGACTAGGGTTTAGCTCGGCTTCTGGGGGGGTTGAGCTGCGGGCCAGTGGAGCCTGGCCGGATGAGAGGCTACAAGAGGTTCGGACTAGGATCTCTCAATAGCCGGCAGCTGTCGACCTGACCGTCGGTGAAGGAAGACCGATGGCATCTGCATGTGCATATGCAGTGAAAAGTGCACACCCTTTTCTTTTTCATGATTTTACTATCTTGTTCCGGACCAGAGCCGGAAAAGATATGAAGCAATTGGTGCATTAGAGCAGACCATAGACATTTGTACTCTAAAAACGGAAGAGAAGGTACAAGGAAGTGTGTTTCGCGGAACACATAACTTGAAGGGACAAGAGGAAGGGTCTACACTCATAAAGACAACAACCCATGGGATTTGGACTATGTTACACAGACTGTAATGTGTGTACCCTATGTACGAATAGAAAATGCAGATAAGAGAGAGGTAGATGCAGGTCATCCTTGTGGCGTTGTTCAGCTTAGACGCGCCCCAACGGGAGAAGAGGGAATTAGACGGAGAATAAGAGAAGTAAAATCGAACCGTACATTCATATTGAAGAACATGATATTGAGATACCAGGCGGCAAGGATGTCACCGGACCGGAATGACCCCCACGTTTGAGGCTCATGGCCATAGGTAATTTTCAGCACATTAACCGAGATGCTGTTGAAGATGGAGAGTCAAGCAAAGAAAAGCCAACTCTCATAGAAACTGAATCGAGCTTCCTCACGCCCCCTTCTTGCTGTCAGTTAGAAGCGCTCGTTACTCATTGGCTTGACTTTGTTCACGAGGAGCAGCCAGACTTTGAAAGGTCACGGGTTCTATTGGCCGGGATATAAATTGAAGACGGGACTGGGGTGGGAGCTGTTGGTGGATTTAGGCTAAATGCAAATAGAACTCTGGAATTGGAGGAAGAAAGTGAAGAGTTGATTTTCGAGGACATGTCGTGATAAGATAGCGAGCTTTTGTTAGTTGCTTTGCAAAGACTGAATCGTAAACTGAAGATATTTCAATGGATAGAGTTAAGTAGAGTGTCGATCAGGGAGAAGTCTCTTGGCACACATCCCAATGATGGTCGTGTTCTATCATGCTTCTTTTCTTCACTTTTGTAGTATTTGTACCTGGTGATCAATTCCTTTTCTTCCGTTTCCACACCTCCCTCGGCTTGATCTGTTTCACGACTTGCCCGAATGCGAATGCTTAATTTATTTATCTGGTGTTGAGTGTCGTCTTACAACTGTTGTACACGCCCCTCCTTACGCTCGCTAGCCCAGGCTTCCTTTTATCGATCATCAAGGGTCTTGTTAAAAACTGGGGTTTGGTTGAACGACTCGTTCGGCGGAGAAGGCAACCCCACGTTGATACGGAGGATGGAAAGTGAGAGAAAAAATCTCCATATTTTTGAGAGTTACGTAGTTGGTTTTGCTGGTGGTATCTTAGTAAGTAGTACTAAGGTAGGAATCAAATAATTGCGTTAAAGGAGAGAGAAAAAAATATGTCAGAATAAGAGAACCGCATCTTGTTCATCCTTAGGCAAGGATGACCCAAGTACCAGGTAAGCTATATGCAATACCTTGCTGAACGGATATATTCCCCAGACATGGAATTGCGTTCATATGACCTCTCAGCCCAATTTTTACAACACAATTTTGGTGACTATTGTCTTTGGATAAATAGATGAAGTAAGGGCACAGAATTAGCTTCGTGGGTGTATTGACATTGTCATTACTGCATCCACGCCATTCAATTGGATGCTGGCTTTGGAGTTGATTCTGATGCATGTTACCCACTGAAGACAACCTTAGTGTGCGTCTATCTTGTTCTTCCCTGTTGGAGGGTGGCGGTCTAACATGATGCAGTTACTGACTGGCAGTGACTGCTCAGCTAAGGCAAGGTACACGCGTTATAAGGTATAAAGCCCAGCTCGTGGCTTTTTCTGGTGTTTTCCCTTGTCTCACACAACTTGACCCATACTGACTCTTTTCACCCATTGTTCGTTGTAAAAGATTATTTATCTACAATACACGCACTTACAAGACTGCCAATTCTTACGTCATCTACTGAATTGGCCCTCATTTTGTCATCCTTGCTACTATTGACGTCGCCGTGGTTGGCACCCTTGGATATAGTATCCTTACCTAGAATCAACAGCTCGACGTTATCCGAAGCTATTCACAATGCCGTTCCTCGCTCGATCCAACTCCCCAGATCAGTCCACAGACTTTAAGCCGCTATACCTCGGCTTTGATCTATCGACCCAACAGCTCAAAGGCACGTCAGCCAGATTCTCAACTGGCGACACAATTCGCTAACACCATATCCAGCTCTGGTGGTCGACTCAGACCTCAAAGTCAAAGGTGAAGCTAAGGTCGACTTCGACAAGGACTTTGGCCACAAATATGGCATCAAGAAGGGTGTCCATGTCTACGAGGAGACAGGCGAGGTCTATGCGCCCGTTGCTATGTGGCTAGAGTCTGTAGATCTAGTTCTTGATCGATTGGCTGAGTCTATGCCTGTTCCTCTATCTCATATTCGCGGCATCAGCGGCTCTTGTCAGCAGCACGGCAGTGTCTACTGGAATGGCAATGCCTATGAAATTCTTCACCATCTCGATCCTCGTCTCCCTCTGGTTGTTCAGCTACCACAGGCCCTTTCGCACCAATGGTCGCCTAATTGGCAGGATCAGAGCACTCAGGCTGAATGTGACGCTTTTGATGCTGCTCTTGGCGGTCGCCAGAAGCTCGCTGAGGTGACAGGTAGCGGTGCTCACCATGTAAGTTGAAATTTCTGAATACCCAGAGAAATTCAGTGTTGACAGATCTACCAGCGATTTACTGGGACCCAGATTATGCGCCTTAAGAAGGACCTCCCAGACATGTACGCCAAGACAGCTCATATTTCCCTCGTCTCGTCATGGCTCGCATCCGTCTTCCTCGGCGCCATCGCCCCCATGGACGTCAGCGATGTCTGTGGTATGAACCTCTGGGACATGTCCCGCCAAACATACAGCGAACCTCTTCTCGAGCTCGCTGCTGGAAGCAAGCGCGATGCCCTCAACCTACGAAAGAAGCTGGGCGAGCCTTGCCTCGATGGCGCCGCTGTTCTGGGATCAATCTCTCTCTACTTCGTGGACCGTCACGGCTTCCACCCCGACTGCCAGATCACACCATTCACCGGTGATAACCCCGGAACTATTCTCGCCCTTCCCCTTCGACCCCTCGACGCCATCGTATCTCTCGGTACTTCAACTACATTCCTCATGAACACACCAAAGTACAAGCCTGATGGTGCTTACCACTTCTTCAACCACCCCACAACCGATGGCCACTACATGTTTATGTTGTGTTACAAGAACGGAGGCCTAGCACGTGAGCGAGTGCGAGACCAACTTCCCAAGCCTGAGAACGGCCCTACCGGCTGGGAGAACTTCAACAAGGCCATCGAGAACACACCTGCTCTGGGCGCTGTCAAGGAGGACGATAGGCGCAAGCTTGGTCTATACTTCTACCTCACCGAAGTGGTACCCAACATCCGCGCAGGCACTTGGCGATACTCATGCGAGCCAGATGGCTCTGACCTCCAAGAGGTCAAGGGAGGATGGGACAAGGAGACTGATGCTCGGGTGATTGTTGAGTCTCAGGCCCTGTCTATGCGTCTGCGCTCTCAGAACCTTGTTGAGAGCACTCGACCTGGCCTACCCGCTCAGCCTCGTCGTATCTACCTCGTTGGAGGTGGCTCACTGAACCCAGCTATCGCCCGCGTTATTGGCGAGGTCCTCGGCGGCAGCGACGGCGTTTACAAGCTCGACGTCGGCGGTAATGCCTGCGCTCTTGGCGGAGCCTACAAGGCTCTCTGGGCTCTCGAGCGCCAGCCAAACGAGACCTTTGACGAGCTCATTGGCAAGCGATGGACTGAAGAGGGTAACATCCAGCGCATTGACGACGGTTACCGCGAGGGAACCTATCAGAAGTACGGCAACGTTCTCGGAGCCTTCGAAGGCCTGGAGAACAAGATCCTCACTGAGCAGGCTTTGGAGTCAAAGGACGGACGAAGACGGTCGCAAGAGAGTGCTTGATTTAAAACTCAGGGTATCTAATGTCTAAAATGGAGGAGTTTGTCTATGTCATTATCTAACGTACTTGCTCATGAAGCGCCTATGAAAGTCGGAGCGGAGGAGATCCTAAAGGTCTGGGTCAGCGAATGATGTCTTTTCATCTTTGAAGAAAAAATGCATATAGAATTGAGACGCTGGCAGATAATGCTTTGCGAATGCAAGTACCAAAAGACTTACGTTTACGAACTCCTTTTTCTTGCCCTTGTCTTCTGTGCCTCGTGCCTGGTTCTTGAATACCACGTCATCGTCCCAGCGGCGCTTCATATTGAAATCTTGTTTGTTGAGGAGAGGATTTCCTAGGGCGATATCTCGTTCTCGGGCCTCTTCCTCTTCTTTGAGTCGTTCGGCCTCCTGTGATGTGTATCAGCAAACCATTAACCGCATATGAGAATCGCTTGGACTTACCTCTTTCTTCTTCCTCTCTTCTCGCTCTCTTCGAACACGGTCCAACTCTCTCTGCAGCTCTGCATCAGAGTCATCATCGCTATCGTCGTCGTCGTCGCTGTCATCATCGTCGTCCTCTTCGCTGTCGTCGGCATCGATGTCTCTTGTTTCTGCCAATATCCGCCGTCTCTTCGCCTCTATATCTTCCTCCTCACCATTGGCGCTTGGGAGCGCTCGCTTTGCGCCACCAGACGCGCTTGTCTCGTCGTCCTCGTCGGCATCGTCAATGAGGGCAGGGGCGCCGTTCTTCTTAGTGAAATGGGCGGCTTCAGCAGCGAGAAGCTCGGCAGCGAGATCGCGTGTGGGTTCGTCAGCATCGCCGCCTTGACCGGCTTGACGATATTTGAGTTGGGTGTGGGCTGGGAGAAGGCGTTGATGGTAGGCTGGGCCTCGGAGGGCTTCTTTGCCACGGGCCTATAGAAGTCAGTATGCGCTGGAGAAATAGAATGGAGCATACGGACCGGATCAAACGTAGGTCTATGGGCGGTAGTCATGGCGATAATTCCTCAATAGTTTCTTGAAGAAAATGGTGTTTCAATGTTAATACGAAGTCTTTAATAATGCCGACGCGAGGCGTGCATGAGAAGCAGGCGTACCATAAATGGCACTTCACCGCCCGGCAGAATTTCTTCAATGTTTCTCTCTGTCTATTACGCTTTGGCACTCTATAAACACAGCATTTCCTCTCACGACAGATTCACACAAAAATAATAGTCAATCATGCCTCGTGAAGCTGAGCCTTCTCTTTCTGAGAGGACTTTTGTCACTCAAGCTCTGGACGAGGGTTTGCGATTAGATGGGCGCAAATTCGACGAGTTTCGACCTCTTGAACTCACTTTTGGAGATGAATATGGAGTTGCAGAGGTCAAGTATGGAAAAACAAGGTATGACATTCTTATACGTTTGTGATGGATTTCATGCTAACAAGCAGCTCAGAGTTCTAGCAAAAGTCTCAGCAGAAGTCACAGTGCCATACTCAGACCGTCCCTTCGACGGAGTTTTCACAATTACATCAGAACTCAGTCCCATGGTTGCCCCTTCATATGAGGTCAACCGCCCTTCACTCGAGGAGGTTCTTCTCTCCAGGCTTCTCGAGAAAACAATCAGAAGATCTGGTGCGCTAGACACCGAGTCACTATGCCTCATCGCCGGCCAGAAATGCTGGTCTATCAGAGTCGATCTTCACGTCCTCACACATGACGGAAACCTCACAGACGCGGCTTGTCTAGCCGTTGTCGCAGCTCTTCGACATTTCCGCAAGCCTGATTCTAGCATTGAGGGAGAAAACCTCACCATCTACACACCTGCTGAGCGAGAGCCCGTACCTCTAAGCTGGCTGCACTCCCCTTTCTGTGTCACCTTCAGTTTCTTCGGTGAAGATGGTAGCCAAGTCCTCGTTGACACCAACTGGCTTGAAGAACAACTACGAATTTCCCACTGCACATACAGTCTCAACAAGCATGGCGAGATTTGTCAGATTGCCAAGCTGGGAGGAACTTCTCTTGACGCACCACTCTTCATCCAGTGTGCTCAAGGAGCACTCAACCGATCTAAGGAGCTATCTGACCTAGTGGATAGTAAGCTGGCTGAGGACGCAAAGCGAAGGGACAAAGGAGGACTCATGGCTGAGTTGACAGCCGAGAACGACAGGTGAGGCTAATATCTGCAACTTAATACCAAGAAAAAACAATAAACCCAGAGGAAAATAGAAACCATGATACCCCGCAAAATGTTCGCCCAGTGTTTCCCGTGCTTCAAGGCTAAGCAGTGATTTACTGATGCTCCATACACATTCCGATACATACGCCAATCCAGGTACTGTCGTCGCTCATAAGCTCTAGTAATCGCACATAAATGCCACCCATGTTAAGAACTACCGCATCACGGGCGGTCGAGACTCCTTGTTCCATTGTACTCTGGTTCTTACCCACTCGATAGCTTCTCGGACTCCATCACCAGTTAGAGCGCTCATTGCCAGCACACGAGAATCGCGGACAGCGGACCCCTTGTCTCCCTCCATGACTTTCTTTACCAGACCCTCCTTGATGCGTATTGTCTCGACACAATCCTCGCGATCCTGTTTGTTTGCTAGAATTAGGAGTGGCACTCCTTCAGTTTCGGAATGTTGTAGGACGTCCTCGAGGACTAGCCGACACTCCTCCAGTCTGCCAACGTTCTCTTCATGCTCAATGTTTCCGTCGCCAATGTCTGTGCTGTCGATGATAAAGACTATTGCGTGACAACTTGCATAGTAGCTCTGCCAGAGCTTTCGGAGCGAGTGCTGACCGCCTACATCCCAAAGCTTGAGGTACATGTCTTGTAGGGGTATCGTCGAGACGTTCTGGCCTACGGTGGGTACTGTCTTGAGCTTCGGGTCGGGTCTATTTGGTAGGAACATGGATTTGACTTGTTCGTGAAAGGTAGTTTTGCCGGCATTGTCAAGACCTAGAAGAATCACGGAGTATTCTGGCAAGCCAGCGAGGTTAGCATTCACAGGAAGAATTAATGGGGAGTTGAAAGTACCTTCTTTGCTGGTCGCATAGAGGTAAATGCCTTTGGCGAGGTGATACATCGTGATTGCGAGTGTCCCTACAGATGATGTGCGTGATCGACGGTGTGATTCTTAGTGTACGTTGTAGAAGCGACAGCAGAGTTGTTGAGCTTGTGAAGTTGACAGCTTCCGAAGTAAAGACTTTCGAACACGGGGTTCAAGCAGCTATGGAAGGTGAGCAGGCTCCGGGGACCTGACAGCGTCGTTGTCCCCCGCCTCTCCAGGTGCTAAGTTTCAGTGCGATTTAGTGAATGGAGCCACTGAAGAGCCTCATGAGAAGCCCCCAGTCCCCCACCAACGGCCCCGCCAGCTTGCAATGGGTGGAACTTATAATAAAGGACTGTGAATAGTTGGCTACTAAGCCAGTGTTGGTTGGTTAGCAAAACTGTTTACATGGACGTCGATGCTGTACGAGTTGAAAATAAATTAGCCCGCGAGTCTGGATATGTTTGCTTGTTTCTTTGTTTCAAGTCCCGAGGTTGGTATTACTTTAGCATGATGGGCTAAACTACAGGAGACAAGGCATATCATGACAACTTCATGGTAGAATGATCGATCTTACGTCATCTTTCTATTCATTGTTAGTAAAGTTTATCTGGGAAGTCCGTATTTACGGTTGACTTACCAGTTAGCATATGGCTTCAAATTAGAAACGTTTATTAGAGGCTAACTAACTAATCAATTCGGGTCTGTCAATAACAGCTCAGGTTGGTAACTTTAGGAGGTAATATCCTATGCATCAAAGATGAGCCAATCAGAGTCTTGATCTATTGAAAGCTGTCGCCTTTCATCTGCTGTACCTATCTTGGCTGCTTGGCCCACCTTGCACTTGGGTAGCCTGGTTACTTTAACCTTAGGTAGTATCCCTCTAGCTTCCTATCGCATACCCAGACCAGGGCACGCCAACTTGTTCCCTCCAACATTCGCTATTTTGCTGCCTGGACTCTTCTTCCGAGTCGACGTCGTCAGCAGCAGCAGCATCTACAGTACCTCGTCCCGCGGTTCGAATACCGCTTCCTCTCGATACTCACGCTCCCTTGCGAATGTTCCAGTGTCGCAGCTTACGAGGCTCGCGCAAGGGGTTTCCCACTTGATCTCGTCTTGGTTTGGCCTGAACGATCGCGACGGCTTTTAATTATCGCAAAGAGACGACGCAAACACAATGGCTTCCGCAAAGCTCGTCGGAATGGGCTTTCAGCTCCTTAGTACGCTATTCATCGCATATGGAGTCTGACTCTAATTCCGCGACGTGAGACTGACGAATTGAACATAGAGCGAGCAACCGATGAAGAGAGTGATCCTGAGGGTGCGTTTTCCCCCTCGAAAAGATACGATTCACCGCAAGAAATACTGACGATGACCTCCAGAGGGTGACTCTGCTCAGAAGGAATTGTTCGCGGCATGGGCGCTCTTCATCTCGATTATGCTGCTCATCATTGCTTTCTTCACAAGCTATATGCTGCAGATGAAGAAGGTTACTGCTATACATGAAACGGTTATATCCATCTTTGCTGGTGCGCCCCCTGAAATCAACTACCGGGGATCAATGGCTTACATGTCTTCTCCTTGCAGGAATGGTTGTTGGGCTTGTCTTGATGATAGCTTCTGGCGACTCTATCCGCAACATGATCAGTTTCGACTATCAGATCTTCTTCAACCTTCTTCTGCCACCCATTATTCTATCCTCGGGTTATGAGCTACACCAGGCCAACTTCTTCCGCAACATTGGTACAATCTTGACTTTTGCCTTTGCTGGAACCTTTCTGTCGGCTGTCGTTATTGGCTTGATCCTATACATCTTTACGCTTCTACCTGGATCGCTGGGCATGACCTTTGTCGATGCGATTTCTGTGGGCGCAACTCTCTCCGCTACTGACCCTGTCACTATTCTCGCAATCTTCAACACCTACAAGGTTGACCCCAAGCTGTATACCATCATCTTTGGAGAGTCGATTCTCAATGATGCTATTGCCATTGTCATTTTCGAAACTGCGCAGAAGTACAAGAAGGGCGAGGCTGCTAATCTTGGCATCGTCAGCTTCTTCGAAGGCACAGGAATCTTTCTGCTCGTCTTCTTCTGCAGCATGTTTATTGGCTTCATCGTCGGGGTGGGCACTGCTTTGCTACTCAAGTTTACCTACCTTCGCCGTATTCCCAAGATTGAGAGTTGTTTAATTGTCTTGATCGCCTACGCCACTTACTTCTTCTCTCACGGCCTTCATATGTCTGGTATGTTCCTCCAATCTTAGTTTGTGTTTCACACTTTCTAACTTCCACCCAGGTATTGTGTCGCTGCTTTTCTGCGGTATTACACTTAAGCACTATGCCTATTTCAACATGTCACGACGAACTCAGCTCACCACCAAATTCATCTTTCAGATCTTGTCGCAGTTGTCTGAAAACTTCATATTCATTTATCTAGGGCTGGCTTTGTTCACAGACAACAACCTTTCATTCCAGCCGCCTCTCATCATTGTCACTATTCTGGCTGTCTGTGCTGCCAGATGGGTCGCTGTATTCCCTTTGTCCAAGGCTATTAACTGGTTCATTCGATATCGCGCCAGTAGACGCGGTCAAGAGGTCGGTGATGAGCTGCCCTACAACTACCAGGCCATGCTCTACTGGGCTGGCCTTCGTGGAGCTGTCGGCGTAGCGCTTGCTGCTTTACTCACTGGCGACAACGCTCCCGCACTTCGAGCTACTGTTCTGGTTGTTGTCGTGCTTACTGTCATCATTTTTGGTGGTACGACTGCTCGAATGCTTGAGATTCTTGGTATCCGGACTGGCGTTGTTGAAGAGGTCGACAGCGACGATGAGTTCGATATCGAGACGTTTGGCGGAGGTCTTCAGGTCAAGCGTTCAGGAACAGGGATCGGATATAATCCTCGCCGGAATGGCAGCGTCGCCCTTGGCAGTCTCGAGGCCGGCCAGTCTGCTAGTTATGTCTCAGGCGCCTCATCTCCGCACACTGGTGGCCGCCCTGTTAGCAAGAGTCGAAAGAACTCTATCCCGGAGCGATCTGATCTCCTTCGCCATAACGATGATTCCGATATTGGTAGCGATATTGACGTTTCCGACCTGCCTCCGCCAGCCCGCCGAACCCCCCTGCCACGGGCTAGTACTGCTCCTCCATCTCGAGTAGACAGTGCATATGCAACTCCCACGACAGAAACACCCGGCGGCCAACCTATAACAGCAACCAATGCTCTCCGACAGCTCTGGTCCTCAGAGGATCCTGCCAGCGTGTTTCACCATCTAGACGAGGACTTCATCAAGCCCAGGCTCCTGCTTCAAGGTGATAGCTCTAGGGGTGGGCACGGTGGACCAAGCTGAGTGAGATATAGTAAATGATGGATTTTCATGAGATTCCCGCGTTGAGGCGGGCTGTATCATCTTATGTGCATGAACGGCGTTGGGTTTCGTCAGTATAGACATGGCATTAATGTTAGATAAATGATGTGTTTATTCTATCTTCTTGTGCTCGTATTTCTTATCCATCGTGTCACTTCAGGGTGCGAGAGATGGTGATAGAACTGGAGTATGAGGGTGGTGTTTTTTTTTTAATCGCCTTGAAAAGACAAGGACTTTGAGAGGCCTAGCGTAATGATACGCCTATTTCACGCCTCGACTAATTAATAAAATGTATCTACAGATGATCTCCAACTCATCACGAATATGCCATACCAACCATCCGTTGCTCATACATAAAAAGGGTAAGCAACTGTACAACCAGAACCAGAATGATGCCCTTTCTTTTGCCTGCACGCTTTTTTTCATGACAAGATCAACTCCAATATTCATCGCTTCCTATGCACCAACCAAACCAGTGGTTCTAGAACCCAAACAAGAAACTTTCCTTTATTTTGCCCGTTTTATGCGATTAACCTGCCGATGGAGTAGCGCTGCCGCTTGCCTGCCTCTGTTGATGTGCTTGATGCTGGGCCTGTGCCTGTGCTTGTCCTTGTCCTTGTTGCTGCTGTTGAGGCTGTTGTTGTTTCGCTTGCTGCTGCTGGGGCTGGTGTTGCGCTTGTTGATGTTGCTGGTGAAGTTGCTGGTGCTGTTGTCCAGGGCTACCAGCCGCTTGACTTGCCTGCTGCTGTTGCTGTTGGCGAAGCAGCGCGGCGTATTGGTGAGGACTTGTCGTAGCTGCGATGCTAGCAGCAAGTCCGCCTTGGCCGTTAGCCGTACCAGCAGCAGAGTTCATAGCAGTGCGCTGAGCCATCATAAGGCGTGTCAGATGCTCTGTTGCCATCTGGCGAATTTGATCAGGGGGTAGGGTCGGATTCTTAGTACGAAACTGGGCCTCGAGCTGAACAAGCTGAGCGGCAATGCTAGGAGGGAGCTGTGCTTGTGGTCGTGGGGCTATTGAGCCAGCAGGACCAGCCGGCATATGAAGGCCATTGGCCTGTGGTGAGCCGAGATTACCGGAGTTAAACTGGGCCATCATCGCCTGGGCGTTATTTATGAAGTTCTGCTGGTTCATTGTATTGGCTCCGTTGATGCTGTTAACACCGTTTCGCATGTTCAAAGGGGGGCTCTGCTGGGAACCGTTCGCTCCTTGGCCAGGGGTACTAGGGCCGCCTTGAGCGTGCTGCATCTGTGCAAGCCGTTGTTGTTCAGAGATGCGCTGGGCACGCATCATCAAGTTGACGTCAGGCTGAGGGTTTGGCATAGGCATGCGGTTGTGTTGTCCCTGCATTGCTTGCAATTGGGCTTGTTGCGCACTCGTCATCTGATTAGGTGGAACGAGCCCGCCAGCCATTTGAGACGGAACACCCCCCATGCCATTGGCAGCAGGAGATTGCATTGGCATTCTAGGACGAGCTTGTCCGGCGGCGGCTGCTGCAACGGCAAGCTGATTAGGTACATTAAGACGGCCAACACCATTCATACCATTGGCTGCTGCTACGGCAGCGGCTGCAGCGGCAGCGGCTTGAGCTGGATTTTGACCGACCTGCGCAGCTCCAGGAGTGCCAGCCATCTGAGCTTGACCTTGAGCCCTGGCTTGCAAGGCAGCCTGAGAGGATGTCAGCTTTGTAGTTATGTTCTGATGTGTAGTACTTACTCGTCTTTGAGCTTCTTGCCTTGACGCATACTGCGCCATCTTTTCTGCCAGGGCTTGGTCTCGCTCATGTCGCAAGATGCTGTATTCTCTCGGTGTCTTGTTGGTGCGTTGTGATGCAGGTTCGTTGACCTTCTTATTGGCCGCATTCTGCGAGGCTGTGTGCTGTTGCTTCTGAGCAGCTGTCTCCCGTTTCTTCGCCAGCTTACGCATTGCGTCAAGAAGTGTGAGGTGCTTCTGATTCCGTCGTCTCTCCACTCTGACGGGAGTTGATGGAGGTCGTCTCCGTCCAGGGGTAACTGCTCCATTGGCTGGGTTAATTTGCTGTGCCACAAGTTGATTTTGCTGTGCAATGATATTCTGGGCCGCGGTGATGCGTCCTGTATAGGCTTTGAAATATTGAGTCTTAGACATATCTGCTGGAAGTCCCTCGAGAGAAATCCATCTCTCGAAACATTCCCAAGGGGACCGTCTCTCGGCGCCCGAAGTAAAGCGGGATTTGGGTGCTAACATGCTGGCAATAAGAGACCAGTTGTAAGAGTATTCCCGGACAAGACTTCGAAGTTCGTCATCCTCGTTGATTGTCCACTGAGAGGGGCTCCTGCACTCGAAAAAGCTCTGTGATGGCATCGGATATTCCGAAGGCGGTCGGAACTGATGGCCAACATAGAGGCGATCGCGAATATGCTTCATCTCAGGGTTAAATAGGGCAACCTCATCAGTAGCTGGTGGTAAAGGAAGGCTGGGTGAAGGATCACTGCTGACAAAACCAGCCTCGCCCTCATCATCGGAATCTTCATTCTGGTAATCGTATCGGCTGCGCTTCCTTGGCGGACCATCTGAAACCAACTTCATGTGGCCTTCAACATATTTACTCAGTGGTAGAGCTGGTCGTCGCCAATGAGCATCAGGGTCCCATTCAGGACCTGTAAGGTCAAATTTGGGAACCTGGAGGGGCTTTCCAAACATGGGTAGCTCCTCCAGAAGTTGGTCTGCAGCAGCTGTTCGTCGAAGTCCAAAGATAACGTCGTCGTCTTGGAGAGAGAAGATGGCAGACGGTGCTATCGTCTCGGGGAAATCCTCAGTCAAATCATCCAGGTTATCAATAGACTCGACATCTCCACTTGAGATGAGGTCAGGTGTGAGTTGATTTTCGCCCTCGACATCAGCCATCGGAACGTCAGGGGCAGGCTGTGTCTTCGGGGGTATCACAGCAGAAACTTGCATCAGCTTTCGCTCTTCGGGAGTAGACTCGTGCCATTCTGCACAAGCATACGCAAGATTTTTTGCGACAGCCCTTTTCCATTTGCGTTCTTCTCGGAAGTCAGTTCGCATCCATTTCATTTCTTGGAGCATTACATCCCAGTGCGACGGGGGCCGTGTTGGCTCAGGGCAACGCTTGGGTTGTCGTAGAGACCATTTGTCATGCTGCTGTAGATGGTAAACGCGGCGCAAAACTTTACAAGCCTGATGATCTTGAATGGCAAGATTGGCATCAGGGGTAGTCACGGTCTTGTTGGCTGTATACAGGATCTTCTCGATGGGCTGCATCCAGGAGGAGCTACCAGCGAATCCCTGGACGAAAAGGGGAGTGTAGTAGTCCTCGGTCGGTATGATCGGATCGCGCTGGCTGGCCACTATAGACCTTTCGTCTGCCTTCTTGGGTTGCTTCCCAAAAACAACGGTCGACGGCTGGCTTCGGGATCTCTGTCTTTGGTGAGCTGAAATATGGCGATGCCTTAGGCTTGGCGATTTGGGTGTCGAAGTCAACGGGGTCAATTGATTGTCCAGGCCTTTGTTGGTCGAAGTGTGCTCTAAAGTCGGCGTTTGCCGAGGAGTTGCACCAACAATCTCGCTGACCGACTTTGGCCGCATGGCTCCAGAAGACACTCTGGTGACAGCGCGCTCAGCTATTGGAGGAGTCTCTTTGATGACCGACTCCGCAGGTTCAGTAGCAACATCGGGAATGGGGATTGGTGTAGGTGTTGATGGTTCTTTCTCGGTAGCCTCTATACTTCCATTTGATTTGACGTCTTGACTTTGACTTTGACTTTGAACGGTTGCTTCAGGCTCATGGACGTCCACATCCATTTGCTCAGAGGGCTCCTCTTGACTGTCTGGAATCTCTTTACTGCCCGACATTTCATCCGAGGTCTCAATTGCCTTAACCCGTGCTATATCAATATCAGATTTAGCTTGAGTACTGTTTTCTTTGACTTGTTCGTTAGCATCGGGTGTAGTCGGTTTAGCAATAACATCATCGGTGCCCGACATATCAACATCTTCCGAAACTGGCGCTGAAGTTACGGGTTTTGTTTCGAGACTAGTACTTGCTGCTGTTGCCGCTGCCTCCGCCGCAGCACTCGATCGTATAGATTCTTGAAGCAATTGAGCTTCAGCAGAGTCAGGGGGTGCTTCCAGCACACGATTCTGCAAGTCTTCGCTTAAAGTAGCTCGAACGTCACCATTCGTTTCTTTCTCATCCTCCTTCTTATTGCCCCCCTCGTCTACCTCATCCCCGGTCTGTTTCTCTTCTTCAGCTGGCTCCACAAACTGTGGTCCCTCATGCTCTGGGCTTGTGTCCGTCGAAGCATCGTCGTGAACCGCGGGCGTGGTTGCGCTTTGTGCAGTTGAACCAGGTGAAGACAAGGCATCAGGCACACGAACGGCATCCGTGGGTGGCTTGACTGTCAAAGGGGCACCTCTAGCATCAGTTGAAGTACTGGGCCCTCGACTAGTTTTCTCCGCCGTAGATGCACCTGGCCCAACATTTTCTCCCTTTGTCCCCGATTCAAAGGTAACTTGAGGCTGACGTGGTGCAGGCGTGTCTGAGATCTCTGAGGCATTGGTGATATCCTCCGCTTTCGATTTGGGGTTTGCATTGGCGTCGGTAGGGGTTTGCGCAACAGGGCTAGTCGTTGAGGTCGGCTCTACAATCGCATCCTCAGATGGGGGCACAGGTTGGCTTGTCGGTGTAGGCAAAGAGCCGGCTTTGTCGGTCGTAATGGGCTCTGTCGAAATCGGAGGGCTCGGCGTTCGTTTTGCAGGGGCATCGCCGACTTTGGGAGGTACATAAGTTCCATTAGATTGTTCTTTGTCCTGCGCATTCGCAATATCAGGTTTGCTGGCTTCCTCAAGCGTCCGTTTCGGCGTGGGCTCAGGCGCAATAAATATGGCTTTCGCTAGAGACTTCTTGAAAAGTTCAAGCGAAATTGTTGGTCTCGTTGGGATACTGGCTTCGTTGAACGTCTTGCCTCTGTATCCATATTAGCACATTATATATATTGTCAGACCGACACGGGCGCAAATCAATTTCAGAAAACGCGCAATAGTATCGCAAGACATACTGGATGATATCGTTGGCTTGCAAGAACTGCCATTCGGCTGGTGTTGTGGTCGGCGCGTCGGGGTTGGTCAAGACTGGGTGTGGGAGACCCTCAGACTGTGTCGCAACTGCGAACAGTTCGCGCAGCTTGCGCTTCCGCGACGTCACAATTGAACTGAGGCAAGTTAGCAGCCCGAAAAATATATCCTGACGATCGGAAAAATCAGCTCTTTCATCTGAGCCCATACTGACCTGCACTCATTGCGCTTTGTTTGAAGCAGCCTTGATAGATCGGCGGCTCCGACCTCAGTCATAGCATCGACGGCCGCGACATCCGTTTTTGGACGAAACGGACGTTGCAAAATAATATTCTTGAGCGCCTGAGATGAATGCACGTGTTTTATATGATGAAAGACGCTGGTGTTGATTGTTTTTGGGGTGTCGTTGTTGAAGGCGACGTCGCTGGAGGGCGTCAAAATTTCTGTCTCTGGGGAGACGATAACCGGGCGGTTTGTTGGTGGTTTACAGCTCAATGCACTGAAAGCAGTGGAGCCTAGTTAGAGTGTGAGTGCACGGGGGATACTGGACGCTGTAGGCTGGGGAAGTGTCGGGGAGGGGGATGTTAGTTGATGTGCTTAGGGGGGGCAATCAAACAGGCTTCAGCGAATAGTGGGTGTAGAGCCAGTGGTGGGTGGGAGAGGGAGGAGCAAGGTTTAGGATAAGGCCAAGATTAGAAAGAAGAGAGTCAATTTGTTACCCAAGAAAATACCATGATTCGTGATCAATTGCTAAGGCTAATAACGGCTTTCCTCACGCTTACGGCGCCAACACGCTAGTGTGCATAACGCTAGTGCAGAGAAAGGGGGATAGAATGGTAATGCACCCTTGTACATGTGCAGTACCGACCAACCCAATTACAAGCCAACTAGAACCTAATAGAAACCAACGAGAGTGACGAGTCCTGTACGTAACAAATGTCTGTAGCAGTCATTTCATACATATCATAAATAAAATCTTAAGTGTAAGTGTAAGCGCAAGTCTAGAGCCTGTTTTGCTCTGGCACATCATCTTTTCTTCTATTATAATCACTCGTAGCTAAAATTCTCCCTCCTCTTCTTGTTCAGCCACAGGTCTAGGACTTAGAACAAAGAGGTGGCTATTCGACATGCTCCGGAAGAGGTGGTCCTGGATAGTCTCACAATACGGCACCTTATTTGCAATAAAGGAACATCATATGCATTGAAGTACAGAGAGCTACAAAGATTGGGGACCTACACAATAGAAAAGTAATTTTCTAATATATGAGATATCCCTCGTCTAGAGATTTTTCAAGTTTTCAATGATAATTATCTATGATGTTTCCTGTTAAATGTGGCTGTTTTATATCTAAGGTAGGTACACATAGTAAATTCCATCGAGAAGACTCAGATGGTTGTTGGCCAAATCTCAAAACGAAGCACCGCCACATTGAGGCACGCCACAATGCCACTGGTGCCTGCGGGCTGACGTCTTCCAAAAATAATTCCGTCTCTTCACATGAACTTACACAGCTTCAGTAACAAACATCCACCAAAATGTCCGAACAAAGCAAACCTCCGGCTCCGCGAATAGCAATCAAGTTCGGCGCTCCTATGAACAAAAACAGCTCGAAGAAAGCTTCAGAACCAAATCCACCCTCGTTGCTAGGGAAGCGACCACGATCACACGCTTTAGGAGGCGCCTCCGACTCTGAGGATGATGAGGATGAGCATCGAGGACGGCATGAGAAGATCACGGGCTTTGGATTGGGCGGAGCGGAGACGGAGCGCAAGGCCAAAGATTCGACAACGGAGAAGAAGGACTATGTGATTGCCCGACAACCAAATCACGACTGGAGATCAGAGGCCAAAGCTCAGAGGAAGAGCAAAAATTCGCTGCCCGAGGAGGCAAGAAGGCAGCAAAACAACACAACTGTCGAGACGGAACCTGCGGATCAGGACAAGGGACTTAAATGGGGTCTGACGATTAAGGACAAGACTGAAGACGAGAACAAGGATGTTGAATTAGAGTCTAAGGAGGAGCCAGTCTCCAACGAACACGACCCAAAACAGCCACCACCCAAACGAACAGCAGATGACGAAGCAATGGATGCTCTGTTAGGTAACAAGGAGGGAGACGAAAAGATCATCCATCCAACGGAAGAGGACGCCTACCGTCGCGACATTCAAGAAGCAGGAGAGACATCCACGCTCGATGACTATGAAGCCATGCCAGTGGAAGAATTCGGCGCAGCTCTTCTCCGCGGAATGGGCTGGGACGGGAAACCTCGCGGCACAGTTAAGCAAGTCAAGCGACGTCCGAATCGAATCGGCCTTGGTGCTAAGGAGCTCAAAGGTGAAGAGGACTTAGGTGGCTGGAACCAGAATGGAAAGAAGCACAGGCGACCGCGCTTGGACGAGTATCGCCGCGAGGAGAGCAAGCGAAAGGAGGGTCGTCGCCATGAGGATAGTTACAAGCGCGAGCGTGAGCGTGAACGCGAACGTGAGAGGGATCGAGACAGCAGACATGGACATCGTGGCCGAGACCGCGATCATGATCGTGATCGGAACAGAGACTACGACCGGCATCGAAGCCATCGAGACTATGACCGACGACGGTAAAGTAAGCAGTCGCAACTTCGCTATGAAGGTTTACTACCGGCATATCAACACGACACCATGATATTAATTGGGAAAGGGGCCAATTCTTTTCAGCGATGCATATTACGTAGACCAAACATGATCCCAACGCGAAAGAAGAAAAAAAAGGAGGAAAAAAAAGAGAGAGAAAAACAAAGATACTCAGTCATTGCGCAGACACGTAAGAATGACACTTTTACCTAGGGAATTATACAGTACAATAAGCTTACAGTGTGATTATAGTCTAAAACAGGATCCTTGGGTATATGATATGCGTTCAAAGACCACAGCAACCTAACGCCATGCACTTCCCCATGAGCAAACGATGCTACCTTGCTGGCACGGTCAGTCTATCCATCTTAGTAGGCCGTTCATCTCCTCCGCCTGTCTTTGTGCTCTCCTCGGCATCAGCCAGCGATGTGAGGCGTTTCTCCTCCCTCGACTTCTTGGTCAAATTAAAGGATCTCCGAATCGACATGCTTCGGTTTCGGTCAGATTTTCCTCCATCACGACCTCGTTCTCGATCTGGGTCTACCACATCTTCTAGGGTCTTCCCCTGTTTAAGCGCTTCCAGAGATCTCTTGGCAACTTCCACGTCTTCGAAGATGACTTCCGTATCGAGGAGAACTCGGTCGATCTGTCCCGCTATACCTCTCTGCTTCTCCAAATCCTGGATCTTCTCTCTCAACTCATTCATTATTTGCCATCCCTCCATAATTTCCTTTTCCAACTGCTTTCGCTGGTCTTCCGGGAGCGTCTTATACTCTCTCTGCCCTTGGATAATGCGAGCCCGGCGGATGTATTTCTGAGGCGTCTTGGACCGCTCAGCCTGCTTCACGACACCTTTGAGTGTGTATCCGATCGGGCCAACAATAGCAGAGAGGTTTTTGAGGACCAGACCTGTCAATCCCATACCTGTGCCCTTGACAAATCCAATCGGTCCATTTTGTTTTGCTCCACGAACTGGCAGGCGAACTACTCCTGTGAAACCATCGTAGACTCCATACGCAAACTCATGCCGGGCCGCCCGGAGGCCAGAATGGAAGCCTGTCACTCGAATGGGTCGTCGTACCGTGTTGTCACCATAGAGTCGAGGAGCATTGTGGAAACCTTGCGCGAGTGCCATCGAGAGGTCCACTGGTGCCTTGGCGATGGCAGTAGCTGTCCTTTCGACACCACTCGCTATGTCGCCAACATACTGACCTCCGGTGTCCCCAGCTGTCGTCTCAGTGCACAACGAGGCAGCATCCACTGGATCATCAGAGTCCGCCAGGTTGTGTCGTGTTATGCTGTTGCCCGACTTCTTAGATTTCCTAGCATTCCTCTTGTTCTTCTTCTTACTGATTGATCTTGTTCTTTTTGCCCAATGGTAAGGAACGCTTGCAACGCCGTGAAACGCTTCACCGACTGTGCTAGCTATGGATCCGGCAATTCCTGTGACAGGTTCGCCGGGACCTTCAAAGTCATTCCATTCCACATGCCTGAGAAGTCTCAGGCGCTTCCAGGTCAACAAGCCGTTATCCACTAGGATGTCAGCAGCCAAAGCACCCAGTTTAATATTGGTGTTTTTCAACTCCCAAACGGCCGTGTGATCCTTGAGAAGGGAACATCGCAAGATACTAGGGCTTCTTAAGTTCAGTTGTCTGTGAAACTCTTTGACGGCATTGACAGCGCCATCGCCCTCCTCTGCGATTCGTTTGGCGATCTCTCCAGCAGCATCTCTTGCTTTTTCAGTGAGGCAAAACTCAATGCCTTCGGCAAGCTTTTCGGCGTTCAGGTGTTTGTATGGCACTGGCTCGGGTCCAACATTTGCGCTGCTCACCATCTTACCCCAAAAGTTTTGATCGCCGAAGAAGGGAACGATCATTGTAGGCTTGCCACACTTGAGCGCAATGGCTGTTGTTCCGGCGCCTCCATGAATGACGCATGCCTTCACTCTCGGGAAAAGCCAGTCATGGGGGGTATTGTCGAGCATGAAGATATTCTCCGGAACATCGTCGCCACCAAGTCCACCCCAGCCCTTAGATACCAGGGCACGAACTCCAGCCAGCTCGACAGCTTTGAAAATCATTTGCGTGAATTTGTCTGCATCATCAACAACAATTGATCCAAACCCAATGTAGATTGGAGTCTCCCCAGCTGCTAGAAAATCCTCCAGTTCCTTCGGTGGCTCGAAGGTTGAAGCCAAGTCAAGAAATACGAAGCCAGCCACGTCAACCTCGCTTCCCCAGTCTTGTGGCTTTGGTACAAGACCCGGTGACCACAGATACGTGAATGGCACATGCAGGCGATATGTTGCACCTGGAGCCCAGAGAGTCGAAACAGGATCCAGAGATAAAGTCTTGACACGGAATTCGTTCACCAGATCTCCGAGACCTTGCCATACCATCATCTCGACTAGGGGGTAAGAGATGAAGTTTGTATATCCAGGGTCCACATTGGAATTCTTGATGCTTGCTAAGGGATGAGGGAAAGCTTGTGTAGGTGTGTAGGGAAAGGTAAACATCAAATGAACAGGAATGCCAAGTGCTTCGGCGCAGTGAATATGTGCAAAGCTTGGAGGATTAGCAATAATGACGTCCGCGACAAAAGGGTCCTTTTCGCCCATCATCTTTAAGTTCTGGCGGTCCGATTCGTCGTCCGTGGCATTGATGCATGCTCGCCAGAAACCATCAAACATAGTGGCCATTGCGGCTCGTCGTCTCCCAATATCTCCAGCCTTGACTGTCTCAAGAGTTGGGATCAGACCTGGATTCTTGACCATAAAGGCCATAAGCTCTGATGGATCACCTCCAACAGAGAAGAACTCAAGACCAGAATCTTTTTCGACAAAGTCACGAAAAGCTGGGTGTGTAGCGATGCGTACTCGGTGTCCATAATCCTCTTTCAAGACCTTGCCTATCTTCAAGAAGGGCTGGGCGTCTCCTCGTGAACCAATAACCATGATCACGATGTTCAAGCGTGCTCGAGGTCTGGGATCCGCAACAGCAGTCGAAGAAGATGACCGGCGTGGGCTTTCGGGAATCTTGAGGTTTGACACCCTGTCCGCTTGTTCGGCCTTTGCGGGAGTGACCTTATTGACAGCTGCACCCAGAGCCTTAGTCAAGTATCCAGTGCCTGCAGTTTCATTGACCGTGATGCGCAAACGACCGTCCTTTTTTACTTTGCCGGATGTTTGGTAATTCTGGTTACCGACGCTGAAATGGCCGTATTTGCCCTCATCGTGGCTCGCCTTCTCGCTTCCCTTCTCGCCTGCTTTCCCTGCTTTCTTCTTTCGCCCACTATGATGGGATTCTTGCTGGATGGTTTGCGGCTCATCCTCGCCAGCCGATGCTACCGAGCTATCACTTGAGCTGAGTCTTGGGTCCTCTGGTGCTTCCCAGATCGCCTTGTTCAAATATGAGGTGCCAGCTCTAGCTGGACCGGGCCGAAAGTAGGAACGATGGTGGTGATCGCGCCGCGGTTGCTCGGTCTGCCAGGACTTGGTCGGTCTCGGTCGACTCTTGTGAGCTTGCGACTTCTTAGGTGAGATTGGGTCGTCTGTTGTTGGCAGATGTGTAGGTTCTGACTGGACTGGTGTTTGTTTAATGCCGTCGCCAGGGTCGATGTACTCCTTTGGGCTTCGCGGTGACAATGGACTTTCGGGGGATTGTATCGGGCGCGGGATAGGAGCAGGGAAGGCGACGTCTCCATGGGTATTTGTGATTAGTGTTGTAGATTGTTGCCCATCATCATTATTGTGGTGTTGCTCTGATACTTCGAGTTTAAGCTTGTTGGGGTCTTCTTGTTGAGGATCCATGGCACTGTATGAGCATTTCCTTTCGTTTTCTCAAAGGTTTTATGGTGTATTCCTTGAGTTGTACGAAAAGGGAAAGCTGGGTTAGGGACGATTGGATCGGTTTATGGCGATGTCTGAGTGACGAACTGGCGTCGTTATCGTGTCACAGGGATGTAGAGTAGTACGTTATTCGCAAACTTGGCGGTATGTTAGTTGCTACCAGAGTCGCAAATAGCAGCCCATGGTTTACAGGTTTATGGAGTAGAAAGGAGAAAGAAATGAAGAATCGATGACCAGGGCCAAGGCAGTCCGAGGCGTCATTAACAATTTCCGTGCCGTCCTGTTTCCATGAAGCGTCACGAGGTAAAGTACGGACCTCTTTGACGTCCAATGTTAATGCTCCTTCCCCAAATTCTGGTTGGAAAGGATACAATGATGTCACTTGCCGTGTTATCCACAGCGGAACCCCTTGGCGTTCGGCGGTTTTAGCTGCTTTTGCTCCGCAAGGCTAAGGCTAAAATAATTGATGGGGTCACACAAGGTCTCATTCAGAACAAGGAACAGGCGAGAATCGTCGATGATGGACCGCTAATTTAGTCCCCCCTTCGGGACAGATGTCGCGTTTCAAGCTTCAGAAGGGCTGCATTTATGCTTATGCGTTGCATCGCATCGCATTGATTTGCTGTCAGGTCAGCGTTTATAAATAAGTAGGGTAATAACAAGTCTTATCCATGGATGTCTCGTGATCGCCTCTTGCTCTGGTATTAAAAAGGTATAGGTCCATCATGCCATACAAAACCAGCCTCGTTGTGTAGCTCTAACGAGTCAATGAGTTACACATTTCGATCTAAGCGTACAGTGACCGGTACTATAACTTGTCCTCCTCCTGGTTCTAAACTCAATAAACAGTGGCGTGTTCACCTAACCAATAACCTGGACTAGTAATTGACCACTGTCATCCAACTACGGAAGGTAGCGACAGAACTGAAGACCCTAACTCAGTAATAGAAACAAGGCTAATTTCCTTGTGCATCGTTTGCCTGAGTCGTGGCTTGGCTTGGCTACGGATTGTATGCTCCGGGGCAGCTTGGGCTATTTTACACTACCCTAGACCTGAATCACTAATTGTGATATTGCATTTCTTAGACCTCCGTTTCCTAACACTCGAATGGAGAAGGAAAAAGAAAAAGAAGAAGAAAAAAAG